GGTGCAAGTTGAAGTGGAGGCCGATTGCTGGTACGTTGCCGGTGCATTTTGGATTCGGAATGCAGCAAACAAAGGTTGAAATGTCAAAGTATTTAAGTCACACGATCAGACGAGTCGCTGGCCAAATGACAATTTTGCATTGTCTGCCTTCTTGGCTTTGTTTTCTTTCAACTCGGCTTCGGATGTTGGCCAACAGTGGGTTAAGAGCAGCCTTCAGACCTTTTGGTCAACCTGTAATACTTCATTTTTGGTTTTTTGTTTGTTTCCCCGTGGAATTTAGTACCTGACTGTTAATTTTGGCCAATGGCAGCTTGGCGTATACTTAATATTTCTTGCTTTTTGTGCTCGTTTTCGGGTGTATTTCAAGGAGGGTTTGACCAATGACAATCAATTGTGTGTACCTCGTTGTTATTTCAGTTGATTACAACTTAAATGGAAAACATTCCGCATACGAAGTTATAAACGTGTCTTCGATTCGCTGAGAAGAAGTAATCAAATGACAGCTCCTCGAAATCAACAATTGTTCGAGGTGATCGTAATCGGTTTGGGTTTATTTTGAAAACCCCGAAAACTGGATACACATCATTATCATTATCGCTATCTATCTGCAGCTTTCGTTCCGTAATTATAGGATTCCGGACTTTGATCGGTTAATTAGATATTCGACAAGATTTTGCCCCAAAGCTCAAAATCAGTTTCTGTGAACAATTAATTTTCGATTAGCACAATGATGAAAGCTCTTCCCATTACATAATAAATGTGTTTTGATACAACAGAGATCTTACTTATAATAATAAGAATAGGGCGACCTTGAGATGTCTTTTCTGAACTTGATCTGTTGAAGTGGAGTTAAGGGAACAGATCACCTTCTTCAGTTTAATTATAATCGTTGGTCAACGAAGGGAAATATTTTAATGATTTAATCAGCGAGAAGTCAAAAAATGGTTCTCAAAAAGATGTTCCTATTTGTTTATATTTATTTACCCTTGCATTTTTTTATTTAATTTCTGTTCTTGTTTGTAATAAAGAAGACAGTTTTAATTAAGTATGTGTATTTTTCGATAATTGTCGCTCGAAGAAATTCTCGAATATATCGCTGAATTTTGTGTAAAATGTATTTAACCAATATTAAGATTTTATATTATTATACTTATTTATATTTATTAATATTTACTCTATTGCTGCTTTAGGGACTATTGGGCCTCAGTTTGAAATTCCTAAGAATCGTGACAAAAATGGTTTTCAAGACATTTTCGTATACCTTTCTCTTTTGTATATTAATTAATATGTTACTTATTATATGGAAGTGTAAAAAACTTGGCAACTTGCTCCGCTTTCAATTAAAGTTACAATATTTATTGTGTATTCATTGCTAAGGGGTGAGTGATCCGAGGTGATCTCTGCCAGAAATGCGCAAGTCCGCCGGCTGCTGTTTATATTATATTTGCGGATTGGAGTCGCAGTCAGGTGCAGTGGCAGTCGAATTGAAAGGCGCCTCCGCCTTGGCCACATATTATTATATATATGAGTGTGGATAGTATGCACCTATGTGAGCCGCACGATAATATATTTGTGTATATTGCATATATCGCATAAGGTTAGTCCGCGACGTGCCTGCCTAATCTGGTTTGAACAACAATCGTTGCACGCATTCGCATTCGCATTCGCCATCGAATTCGTATTCGTATTCGCAGTCTCATTACCCGATCCCCCCGTGGATATAGCCCCTATACTGCAGACAGCGATCTCCGCTCCCCGATCCCCGATCTGCCGACAATTAAGGCGGCAAGGTCGTCGCCGTTTGCCGTCGCTGGAATTAACATTTGCAATGACTTCATACGAAAATAATTGCACGAACGGAAAGAGGTAAATGGGGCTATTTTGCGGAAAATGGTGGCCGAAGAACTGACTTACGCACTTGCCACGAACACTCGAAATCGAGTGCAACGCACGCGGCTAATGGCGGCTGGCCAACTGGTAAATGGTAACTGGCTAACTGGCTAACTGACTGGATAACTGAACAACTGGATAACTGGCCAATTTGTGGCCGAGCTTATGAAACACCCAAAAAGTGGCCACGAAACATCAAACACATCTCGAGCGCACTGCAAACGAATCAAAATAAATAAAGTTAGAAACGAAACACTTGCCCGGTCGCGAGGAAATCAAGTGGCGAGCCAGGCATATCATTAGATGCAATTGCTGATTTTCGTTGATTGGGCCGTACACTTGGAAAAATACCTAGCCAATTGGTTTTAAAGCCTTGTTATGAGCAAGAAAGGGAAGATTGATTGGACTAGTTAAAGTTTGAGTCTTCGATTTTCAGCATAACATTTTTCATATTTCAAGCGAGCAATTTGATATTGTCGCCAGTCCGATTTTAATTTAATTTAATTTAATGTAATTTGCATGTAAAAAAGGCAAAAGTGTTTATCATATAATATGATAAGTGATCCGATATTTATAAAATTGAATTTGTATATTTTATTAAATGTAAATTGCCGTATTTACATTTGTAAGGCACCTTTTAGTTTTCTTTTATATTCACTCCATATTTCTTTTTAAGGTAAATTCCATTTATATTTCAACAATTGTAATTTCATACTATAATTCTTTTTCTATTTATTATAAAAAATATTTATTATCTACAATAGCAACAAGACTTTTGATTAATTTCTGCCCAGATTGCATTTAAAGTTAGACCCCTGCCGATACTCAAAGTTTGAAACTATTAATGAATTTATTGAAGTAAGTAGTATAAAAAATTAAGAAAAACATTATTTTCCCCACGTATGTAAGTTCATTTCGTTGTGATCAAATTTCAAAGTGCTGGTAGCCTTTGTTTTTTTCTGTGCAGTCCCATGTCTTGCGAACTGCGTCTGGTTCCCCCTTTCACTTTCAATTAGCCAGTGGGCAAGCGCGCGGCTTTTTTGGCCTCTTTGCAATTTTCTCGTTTTCGCTTCGCATTTATTATTATTTATAATATGCGCACTTCAAGGAAAAACTTTCGCTGCATGCAACATTTGGTGTGCGGAGTGCGCTGCATTTCCTGTCATTATCGCATAGGTACGCGTGCTGAGGGCGGTAAATGGAATATATGAAGTGTGGAGTATGGAGTATGGGGTATGGAGTGTGGGTGGGCGTACTTGTCTCAGGTGGATTGCGAAACCATAATCCCGATATGGGTGTCCACAAATGAACTCAGCGCAATTATGCAAAGTGCAGTGCATGTACAAATCAATCCAAAACTATGCGAGGGAAATCACATTCCACCGATGTGGAGTCTCTGACCCCTAATTAAAATCGAGTGTTGCCCAAGTGGCCATCGAGGGCATTATGAAATAGCTTTGCCCACTAAGGACTCACCAAATCGGTGGCCACATAATTGGCACTCAAGTTATTGCAAACAGTTTAGTTACAACAGCACTCCATAAAATGATCACAGTACAAAGGGCCACATTGTATCTTAGATTATGGGAAATATAATATTTGATATGCATTAATATTACATTATGATGTGTATTATAATACATTTTTATTGCCTGTAGTAATAATTGGTTTGCCGGTTGTATTATAATTTTGATTGGATGTTCGGTTTCCCCATAACATATTTATAATCTTATCTAAGCGCACTCATCAGCTTTTATATATTTTGTAAATTTTACTAAGGGTTGCCGTTTTCAACTATGAACTACTTTCTTATTTATTATCTTTTCTGCTCAAATATCTTGTTTTTAAAAGACTATTTATATATATCAAAGCGAAGTGGTAAATTAGCTTAAACAAAAAAAACCGTTACACTCTACCTAAAAGTCCAAATCATTTGTTATATCGCCACTCAAGACCTATCTATTGACCAAGACTTCGGAATCATTTTCACCGAACTGCAAAATTCTGAGAATTGCAATTTTTGCAAATTCCTATAGGAAGGAAATTTATTTGTAAAAAACAGCATATTTTGAAATTTCAGTTTGGTGTTTAAATTAAGTTTATAATTAAAAAAGCAACACCTAAAGTTCTTTTTATATTTTTACTTCGACAAAATTAAAAACAATCAGCAATTCAACCTTTTGGATTAAAAAGTGATTATTAGTTATTATTTTTTTTATTTTTTTTTTTAAGTCCTAACTCCAACCCGAAAATCTTAAAAACGAGTCCAGTTTCTTTTGTAAAAGTCTTGTCAATTGCTATTTTTATTATTGTTATTATTTGTGAGCTGGTCAACCCAAAAGAAACAATTACGAACGGGAGGTTAGTCCACAAAATGGAAAGTATTTATGAGCAATTTTTACCATTTTTTTGGTAAAGAGAATAAAAATAGACAACCTCAACGAACGGAAGTTTGTTGGGTTTCTTAACGACTTTGGCCCGGTCTTAAAAAATCCTAATGTGAGTATACCTAAGTCAATTCACCACAAAGTCATTATAGTGGAAGCAAGCTTTTAGAAATGAATGAAGATTTTGTAGAATATGTTTATATTCAAAGGTAACCTTGAAATTCCTAGAGAGTTGAAGTTGCCTAGAATTTGTGCGGGTTAACATAAGCCAAAAAAAATGACAAGTGCAGCTCACTTAACCTGACTTTACACCTTTTTTTTCTGGGCCAAACGATTACCTAAAATACAACCTTTTTGTTGGGGCTTACAATACAATGTGTTACTTTAACAAAAAAAAAACAAAGACATTCCATTTTGGGGTAGATAATAAAACATTTCTTACTTTACGAATCTGAATATTTGTGCTACGACTTCAAAACAAGTTTTTATTTTTTACTGTAAGAAAATATATCTGATATTTTTACCCCCGGTAGCCCACAAGACCTTGAATGATTTGGACCACATTTTCTTGTGTTTTTTGTTAGCCTCTAAGCTGTTTTTCAAGTTGTGATGCCTTGCCTTTTGCACGTGCTTGATAATGTCATTTGTAATTCATGATTATTGTTTTCTTTCGCCGCCTTTTCTTTTCATGGATTTTCATTCATTTTCTCTGTGCAAACTTACGCTAATTGAAGCGGCGTCTCTGGCCTTTGTTTGTATTATTTATTTATTATGGTCTATCTATCAGCAATTTTCTCCTGCACTCTCTGTTGTCGTTTATTGTTATTGTTGTTGTTATCGCAGGCTGAATGAAATCTGATCGCTAATTTCGATGTTGTTTTCGCCGGCAGCGTGCTGCGTGCAATTAAAATTTAACAAATTCCACTTCACTTCGACACTAAACAACAAAAAAATATTTCCAGCGATCGATGAACGATAAAATAGTCGAAACAGGCGAAAACCCGGCCGATTGATCCGCAATCCACACACAGTCCCGTTATTCGCAGGCAGAAGAGAACGGAGAGAGAGAGCGCATGCGCGTGTTGCTCGGTGGCACGTTCGTGGCTGACTGTATTCAAGTTGATCGTCTCGCCGCGCTTTCAACCGCCGTTCGGTCGACGTCGCTGTCGACGACGAGTTGGCAAAGCGGAGCTTTAACTTTTTGGTATGCCACCTTGTTGTTGTTGCTGCTGCGATCGGAGATGCGAAGAGTCCGCAAAAGGTAGCTAAGTAGCCAAATTAATCAGCTAAGTAAAATACGTTTTATTGAATTTCAAAACATTCGCCTTTTAAGAAAAAAGGCAAACTTTATTAGGCGGTTAATTTGTTTGATTGATAAATAATGTAATATGTATGTAGAAAATAAAAAAGATACAAATAAAGTAATAATAATTAATCAATTTAAATATACAAATATGTATACAACTTTTAATTAATCGATAATATTTGTTTAATTAATATATTTGTGATTAATGACATACATGTAGGGCACACTGAATTGAAACGTTTTCTAATTTCAGATGATGAGGGTACCCGGAATTGTGAGCGAACTCTACTTAAAGCTACTGACATCACTGATGTCGACTGCTTTACAACCTGTTCGCGTAAATCTACGTTTAAAGAAGTGCCGACAACCAACAACAAACCGTAATGAGCGTGCTGCATCCACAGCAACAACAACGCACTTTCGAATACTAAACTTCCTGCCAGCATCTTCAATGTGCTATCGTCGTTCAATTTCCATTTCAATCCGTTCTTCAACTGAAGCTGGGGGAAAAAATTGGTTGCTGACGTCACGTCGGAATTCTATGATAGGCGAAAATAATTGAGAGTGATTTTGGCTGGAAAAATCAGGAGGGAAAATCAGGCGTTAAATCTGGTGAGAAAAATTAAAGTGAAATCATAGGAACGTGTGGAAACAGCTATGAAAACATTCTTCCAAAACAATTTGAATTATGTATAAAGTGTTTCTTACTGATAATTATATTTAAATTACTTTTTTTTAGTTGTTAAACTCCTTATTAATTTATTCCCTTCTTTTTTGTTTAATTGGAACCAAAAAATTCTAATTATTGAATGTTAAAATTGGTCAGCTAACCATTCCCTTTGATCTCAACAACATTACTTGGCCAGTAAACGAGACCATTGGACTTAAAAAACAAAATTGCTTTGCCTCAGTCACTAAAATGCGCTCAAGTGATCTACATTACAATTAGGCCACAAGTCAAAGAATTATTCCGATTAGGCGGAGCACGCAGGCCGTTAAACGTTTTTAAACCGAGTTGGGGATTCTGAACACACAACCGAAAGTGAAGTTGTAAACTTGTTCTTCGCAGTTTCGTTGCTGCAATCTGTAATGTGTACTTTATGTTAATTGAAATCCCATAAAAAATTCAATGCTGTTGCCTTGGGTTGGATTGAAAAATGCGTTTTGTTTGTTTGTTGTTTCTTTTCTTTTCTTTTTTGTTTTTTTTTGCACTTGTCGAGAGAGACGTGACTGGAGAATCTTTTTTCGGTTTTTCGGTTTTTCGGTTTCGGCTTTGGTTTCGTACACATATTTCTGAAGCTAATGGTGTTACATAAGCTTCTTCGTGTTTGAGTATTTCTGGGATGGTGTATATTAATGTGCCTCTTGTAATTGTAAAAGGCGTATAACGGTTGCATTGCGAATGCTTAACGGCAGCAGCGAGAAAGGTAAGAGATCCATAAACAAAAGCCACAAAAAATATAAACGAAATTATAGGCCATATAAAATAAACCGAACGAAGAAGCGGCCTCCACTCGAGAGTGCAGTTAAATGTTTTGATCACTTTTTGGCGCGCAAAGCGGCCACAACAAGTACATTGGCAAGTGTTTTCCACTAAAGTGGCTTAAATAGAGCGTTCAACTCGCGTTATGTGAAAGCAAAAACAAGACGGACAACAGCGGCAACAACGAAATCGCCAATTGCTGCAACAACATCTTAAAAACTTAGCGCCATCCAACTGCAGGAGGTGCAAACGAAGGACCTCAACGAGCAGCCTCATTAATAGTCAGGGGAAGCACTGGCTAATGTGTTGACTATTACTCAATGTATTTTTAATTACATATTTAATAAAATAAATTGGCTGAGTTATATTATACTTAATTCAGCTATTATTCATACATTTCCGTTAAGTGACTCTTTTACTTGCCCAAAACCAATTTTTCTTTTAATTTCATATTATCTTTGCGATAATAACTATGGTTTACCCGACAAGTTTTGGTTTTTTCGAAGGATTTAAAATGAGGTCAAGGCCAAACATTTTTCCCAGTTCAATTTTGCATTAATATTAAGTTTTTCCCTTAAAAAAAAATTCTTTTTTAGTGGGATAAAAGCCAAAAGGAAAATTTAAATAAAAACTCAGCAGGTAACCCAATATGTGTAGTATGCATTCGATGAACAGATGTTACGATGCCTTTCTGTGTGTTGCACCGCAAACAGCAACCAAAATCTGCGGTGGCAATAATAGCAGAAGCTTTTAACAATAGCAGCTATAAATCCAGCATCATTAAGCATCTGCAATCAAGCAGACATCAAACACTCTAAAGATAAAAGCAAAAGTAAGCCAGCGATAAGTGTCGTGCTAAAAAACTATATATAAACTCCAAAAATAAAAACCAAATGAAGTTGACGCGACCTCCCCCCGCCTCTATAAAGTCTGGCGCGAAAGTGCAGTTAAAATATAATTTACGCAAGTGGTAAAATAAAAAAGTCGAGAAACAAAAGCCCAAAAAAAGGAGAAATATCTAAGCAATTGCACAAAGACTCCTGGCCGGCAACTTCATGACTGGTTTCTTACTTGTTTTTCAGCCTTTTCCCCGTTGATTTTTGGCTTCGTTACTTCTGGCACTTGCTTTATGTAAGTTGCAACCTGCTGTTGTTTGATGCCGTGGCTGCTGCGACAAGTTTGTGTGTTTCGTTTTTGTTTTTTTTTGTTTTGGCGGCGTGCTCATAAATCGCAGATCTCATTGCGAAAGGTGACTACATGATAAGCAGAATGGTTATCCGTGAACACACGTGCATAGCGGCGGATTATAGTTTCTACATCTCAGCAGCTAGCAGCAAAAAATATTAGGAAGGGGAAGAGATAAATTTAGCAACTTTTACTATTGGCTGTGCTGCAAAATTACCACACGTAAACATTGTTCTTGCCAACTTTTGAAACGAAAAATGTATGCTATAGGGCGTACTATATAGTAAATCTCATGTTTAATATATTTGAAAAATAAAATATGTAAGTTTTTTTTTTTATTATTTTTCTATGTACCTAAACTTTAAGCTGATGTTATATGACAACCGCATTTATTGTTCAGATTTTTTAATGATTTTCCTATTTTTCCTATTGTTTCCATGACAGCTTTATAATATTTCTGACCAATATTTAGAAGCTCTTACTGCTTTGCAAACTTCTAACTGAAATGAAAATACCCTCCGCAAGGGTATGAACATAGGAATGCATTGAAAATACATATTTTCAGCTAGCATAATTGCAGTTGCTACCAAATCGGAGTGGGTTAAATGCACTCCATATGCCCACACGTATCCGATAAATTCCCCCTAACTATTGACCAGACATTCAATGAGTCTAAGGCGACCGAAAAACGAGTTTACTACTTTGATCGTTGATCGGGCCAAGCCCAAAAATGAAAACAAGCAGCAAGTGCGGCACACAAAAGCCAGAGCTTAAACCCACACTGGGGCAAAAACAAGACACAGATACGAAAATCACACAGATACAGCAACAGTCAATGATCTTTGGGAGTTTTTTCGGACGTTTTTTATTCGGGGGCCCCGGTAAAGACCAAACGAAACTCGCGCATTTTGCCGGCTGCTTTCACTCTCCATTCGATTTCGGAATTCTTTCATAAAGATTTTCAAGGGGGCAAAGGGAGAGAGCGCTGCACACATACGTATATTTTGAAAACGTCGCCAGTTAACGACTTTTTTCTTCTCCCGCTCGCATCTCGCTATCTTGGCTATCTTTCACTTGTCATGCGGGGCGTATGCGCAATTTGCAATTCGCAACTCGCGGTGACCAATCCTCAGCCAATCCCCAATCCCCCCTTCCCTGTCCCTAGCCCTCCACCGCCTGCCCTTTGACCACACTGATTACCCCTGGCAGGGTGCGTAATTAGCTCCAGGTGAGATCAAACAGTGCACAGCTCCGGCTCATTGGACACATGATTTATGAGGCGCCTTTCGAAAGGCAAGTCAAGCAAATGGACAGCAGGATTGTCGAAGCTCTCGCATGAAGTCGCGCCGAACGATGATAGCTGTGACCCTAATTTAAATTGGGAAAATCACATCTTAACGGGCATGGCTTATCTGGCAATTCAGATTAAACTTTTAGGCTAAGAATTGATAAAATATACAAAGTATGCATACCCGCCCGCTGGTTCCGTAAAATGGAAAATATTTTCATACGACATCGCCAGCCGTCGTCATCTTCAGCAACTCCGTCCACTTAAGAGAAAGAAAGAGAGAAAGATGGAGGAGGGGAGGGGGAGGGGGAGACCATTCCTGAAGTGAAAAAGAAAGTGAACAACTTGTCGAACGCCGGGTGGCTCTTTCTTCGCAGATCTGCGATCTCGTCGATTCTGCCAGCGACCAAGAAACGAGACGCCAAACGAGCTTAAACATTTTCTATTATGCAAATAACACGGGGGCCGCCGCCACGCTCGTTTCCATGAATATTCAGTGCCACCAGAAGAGAAGTGGTACATATGGCCAAAAATCGAAGACTAAATTGAAAATAACCACACTGAACAACACGGTTGCGGAATGTCAGCAGGTATCACCGACAGTAACTTGTTGGACAGATGCCTTTATTATCTTGCAATTCAATATTAGCTAACTTCAGTGTTTTTGAGGAGAAATCGAATCCTAACTCTAAATTCGTGTTCCACTCGTACCAACACAAGCTGCATAATTACTTAATTGTTCATAACATTTTTATCTTAAACTGTTTTTTCTTCGGTGGTTTTTCACAAAATAAAACATCATAAAAAAATTATTATTTATGGTGGTTATTAAAATATTATTTTGAGTTTTCGATTATTTGTAGCTATTGAATCTCCTTATAAAAACTACTTAAAATTATTTAGGTATGATAAATGCAGCAGTGAACTTTAACAATGGAATTCCAATTTCTAAAACTATTTTCGTATTTGGTTTATGTTTATTTGGCTGCGCAATCTTGGCATTCGAGCCGAAAGGCATTTGCATAAATTGGCGGAGCCAAAAAATATAAGGCAGCAAAATAAGGGTCACACTCTCGCCTCTTTTAGAACTTTCGCCAGAGGCGAAACTTTTGCGGCTAGACACGGGCGCACCTGTATACTCACTCGTATACTCACCCGTATTTTTACCTGCACCTTTGCTGCCACGCCCCCGCCCCCCGCAAGCGCCAGCACCCCCGCAGCTGGCCCGCATACAACCAAATGCCAAACAGCGCACAGCTAATGGCCAGCTTTGCATACACTGTGAGAATTCGGTGCTACATTAGAAGTTGAAAAATAAATATTGATTCAAATAACAATTAAATAGCGAATGAATGTGTTTTATTCACGACTGTACTTTTACATATGGGTTCCTTGCAAAATATATACAGTAGAATCCCGATTATCCGAACATCGATTATCCGAACATCCGATTATCCGGACTCATTCATTTTCATTGATAGCGTTCAACTTAAAGGTTGTCTTTTATTTTTGTTTACGTTTTGTGGTGGAAATTTAAAATTTCCAAGCGAAAAAGAGTAGTGTTGTCTCTTAAAGGCAAAATGAAGATATCTTCATAATATATCTTACCTAATAAAAATTATTAAAACTTAAATAATATTTGATTTGCTTTGAAATCGGTTATCCGGATTTCCGATTATACGGAATACCCCTGGTTTTAATTGATCCGGATAATCGGGATTCTACTGTATAATAAAACTGCGAAGAAAATGTATATTCAAATAACAGATTTGAATATTCATGAAATGAATATACATTTTAAACAATATACTGTTTTAGGTAATTTATAATTCATTTTCATGTAATTTTTCTCAGTGCGTGCACATGGTAGAGTGAGAAAGTGTATGCGTGTGGGGCCCACACTTTGCTGCTAGTACAGTTCGAATTCCCCCTACGCCCACCCCTGTATAATTGCCAAGACAGAGGCGTGCTTGCAAAATTAACCAAAAAACTAAATTGAGTGGAAACATTTTGTTTTTCTTTTCTTTGTGCTTAAGCCGCTCTCTGTTTTGGTTTTCCTATGCTAATTACAGTGCTTAAATTCAAACTGGAGTGAAAACAGAACATCAACATGCAGTACGTTCTACCAAGCAGCAATCACAAATGGCTGCAGCAATGAGTATAATTGGCTAAAGCAAAAGAAAAGTTCTTTGTGGGAGATAAAGATAATAAATACAATGCCTGGCTGCATTTACAAAAAAAAAAACACATTTAAAAAACCATATTTTAATAAGTTTTTACATAATATAATATTATATAATGTGTAATTATATACCTTTTACTCAAGAAAACCTTTATGTCAATAATAGGCAGAGGTCATTATGATCTGTACGAACGGCAAATTAGGAAACTAGAATATTGGCATTGAACAAGTGGACTTTAATGATGCTGAGCAAGGTTATTTCAAATTCGTGCCACGCCCACTTCAACGCCCACAAATCACGAAATTCTATGGTACTTAAATCGATGGTACTATTTTGGGTTAGATCATTTTCAATCAGATCATATTTAAGTGATTTTTTGTACCAGGAAAAGGATATCTGGTAGTTAAGGGTTTTAGTTCTAGTTTTAGTTTATTTATAGTACCACTCTGATTCGAAAGCTATAATTATTTACTAATGTTTACGGATTGATAAGGAGCACAAGACCGATGGATTTTAAAACTGAAAATATCAAGGGTTTAGAAAATTGGCATTAAAATAAGAAATTTCCAATAAGCTAATAATAATAATATTCTTTGAAGTCGTGACTTCTAATGCATTGACTTTCATATCAAAATAAAGACATTACATATTTGTTATTTTGATTCGGCTTTTGGTGACATTAACAATCTACGCACCTGAAACCTTAAACTTCTCAGTTGATAACTTATTTTGCGACTTCACCTATTATATTATATCAGCCCCCAAGAAGCCCGCTCTTGGTGGGGATTACTCAACCAGCGACAACAATGGCTCCGCCGATGGCAACAATGATGATGGTAATGAAGACGCTGACGATGACGACGGGCGATGGTGATGGTGATGGTGATGGCCTGCAGCTGGAGATCGGGGCGATGATGCCATGCTAATGATCGGACCAAGTGAAAGTGCGATCGGCTGTCAATGACCCACCGGTTCTACAGACACGGCGGCTTTGGCCGGCGGTTTCACTTGTCAACCTCGATCGATTCTAAATTGCGTATGGGAGGCACGTTTGCATAAGATATGTATGTAGACCTTGTGCGGCACCCACTGCTTGTTTCAGCTTTTGCAAAAGGGGACAGAGTCTGAGTTGCGGCTGATACAATTTCGCATGCCAGATTTCTCCAAAAGATTGTTGCAAATACCTATCAGATTGTAACTCGGTGGGGTAAAGGTGTACTGCAATTGTTAAAAAGTTAGCAATAGGAAGGAAGGACCACGGATAATAGTATTAGTATTATTAATTAATATTAATAGTATTAGTATTAGTTGTCCTATTATTTTTGGGTCGATATCTATATTAATAAAGAGCAATATTTTAAAATGTCATGTGCTTAGGCTGGAGAGAATAGCAAACTATCAACAAAATTGGCGAATATTTTGGTTTTTTTTCTAAAGAGAAAGCTAAGATCAAGTAGTTCCACTTAAGTTAATCATGAAATGACCAATTCTGTATTTTTCTTTTTGTAACCTAAAGACAAAGAAAGGATAAAGGAATATGGTCTCTTCATCCGTATATGCATCAATATCTTAAAAACTTTATGAGCTAGAAAAATGTTTTGCAATAAAAACACATTTTATTTACGGACAAAAAATAGAGATTAGCCTTTTATATTTATTTTCTTGGCCCAACAACAACAAACAGTTTGATTAAGATTAAAGAGCCCGACAGCGAGTCGATATATGCGATAACACCCTCGATAGCGATGACGATTTTTCCGATAGCGCCCGCAGTAACAGCAGCTTGTTCGAGTGAGATAGGCGTGGCTTAAGAGAGTGCGAGTGCTTTGAGAATTTTATTTCGAAAGTTAAGAGTGGCACGGCTTGGAGGCGCTGGGCGCCTCGTCATCGCTGGCCTGATCGATATCGGTGCTATCAAACGAGAGCTTGGCGGGCGACATGGCCGGCAGCAGCAGAAACTCGTTGAACAGGAAGTCGGCGTCCATGGACTGCGTCTTGCCGTGATATCCGCGCACGACGCCCCGCTTCGGCGGTTCGATGAACCGCTCCTTGACAATCAGCGCTCCCGGCGAAGGAGAAGGCGAGGGGGACGGCGAGGCCGAGGCGGAGCAGCAGGCGTTGATCATCCGTCCATAGTGGGCTCGCGGTGGCTCCCGATCCGGCGGCACTCCACCAGCAGCTCCGCTTGCTCCAGGTGCTCCTCCTCCTCCACTGGATCCTGGGAAAAATGTAATTCAAAGTATTTCATAAGTTAATGGGTTTCGAAATACATAAAGCCCCGTTTGCAGCCGACATTTGAAAGCATATAACTAAATCATTTTGGGGGGATAGGTTTACATTAATTGATTTATAATAGTTATAGCATAAGTATCAGGCTTTGCCGCAAACAAAATGAAAAATAGTACAAGAATAAATTCAAGCTCCTGCACATGGAATTCTTCTTGGGTTAAACATTTTTAGCTTTACAAAACGAAAAAAATTTCATTAAAATCGGAGTACTATATCATATAACTGCCATAGGAAAGATCCAAAAATCTATATAGAAATAACGGAAATGAAATTATTATGCCGTTGTTTTTCATCAGACAATCATGATTTTTGGAGTATAGAGTTTTCTAATGAGTTTTGAGTTACAAATTAAATTTCATCAAAATCTGACGACTATATCATATAGCTATCATATGAACAATATGGAAAATTAATAGAAAAATCGTCACAGATTCGATGCTGTTTAGCCTTTTTGTATTTTGTTCGACATATTTAATGACTGCAAGGGTATATAAGCTTCGCTTGCCGAAGCTAGCTTCCTTTCTCGTTGTGTTAATAATGTTATCATTGCAAAACAAAAATCCCTACCACACAGTACATTTTCAAAATAAACATTTTAAGCTTTTGAGTTTCTGAAGAAAACAAAAAAAAATAAAAAAATTAATAAAAGGTAGCATGTACGGAGTAAACCCACAAGTACGACTTATGTATACAGGAGCCAAGACTGGCGGCTAATAGGCACCTCCTCTCTGATGCTGCGGGGATCCCCCGAGGACTCCGCTGCTGCCGCTCTTGAGGTTGATGCAGCTCTGCGTGTGGCTCACGTTGGCGTAGTCGTCGGTGGCCTGCATGGGCACCCGCTTGAGGGTGTTGCTCTCGAAGGGGAAGTTCGAGTTCGAGGTGGACTGCGTGAGGTTCTCGAACTTGCGCAGCCGGGCATCGTGGCGCAGATGCTGCGGCCCGGCGGTGGGCAGGTTGATGGAGGCGTGCAGGGCCGCCCCGGCCCCCACCGAGCCGCTCGAGTCGGCCTTCTCCTGGCCGGCAGCCTGGGCCGCGGTGCCCTCGAACAGGCTGATCTGCTTCTGGATCCGCGGCGACACGGGATCGTGGGCTCGGCGGACGGGTCGCACGTGCTCCGGCGAAGCCTGGGTGACGCGGACCGGCAGGGCGAAGCCAAAGCGCGGATCGTCACTGGGCACCTCGGGAGGACCTTCCGCGTGGATGGGACAACAGTAGCAGGTCTCCAGTCGCGGCTCACAGTCCGCCGGCAGAGAAGGTGTTGTCGCCGCCGACAAAGTGGCATCCTCGTCGTCCTCGAATCCCTGTGGATAAGAAGAGAAGTTATTTACATTCGCAATTTAAAATTATATTTGTTGGATACAGAAGATTCTTTGACTCTACTTATAGGAACAAAAAGGTAAAAAGTATTACATTTAAATTCTATAAGATACTTTTAATTCAATTAATTTATTGGAAAAATTCCTAATAGATCACCAGAGCTAGCTTTCTTTCTTGTTTATAGATACCTATATAAATACTTGGTCTTTTTTTTTTGAGTAATTTTATATCCTTTTTTTATTTAAATTTCAATAAAGTAAACATGTATATTAGTTAATAATTTATATCAGTCCCAATTGCGATGCTTATTTTTTTCTTTCTTTCTGACCTAAAAACTTCAGGTGACCTTCTTGGGAAATGATGTCCCAATTATTTAATCGTTTAAATGGTAGCCACTCAGTAAATGTATGAAAAACAAAAGTATAACTTGCACTCACATCCACAGACAAGGTCATGGAGCCCTTGTTGGCCACCATGCTCAGGTCCAGATCCATGCCGAAGCTGACTGGCGTGAGGCAGGTGCTGCCGCCTTCCTGCTCCTCGCAGACGCTCAAGAAGATTCCCCCGCCCGCCGCCTCCTCGCCAGATTCCATTCTGTTCATGGGCTCGAAGACAGCGGGAGCTGCCGAGGCACCCTGTTCCATAATCTCCATGGTAAGATCCAGGCTGAAAAAGTCACGTAGCAGTCTATGTAATATCGAATATTTAAAACATATTTAACCCTCAGCGCACACACTGGGTGAATTTCACTCAGCGCGATTTTTCGGCGGTTCGGCATTTAAAAATGGAAGGAGGTGGGGGCTTGGGAGTGGTGGGGGAAAAAAACTTATGCGCCACCACTACGCCCACACCGAGTTTCAGCTTCAGTGTCCCAAAATTCGTTGAAGGGGAAATATCGAAAGTTGCTCAGCGGGTGAATTTCACCCAGTGTGTGCGTTGTGTTCCAAATTCCACGTAAGTACAGACATCGTGTTAGTTTGAAATTTTAATTGTAGACCCCCTTTTTCGAGTTTTTACATGTGACATATCATTGTTTTCATAGAAAAGGCGCCAATATGCTGACGCGGGCCCTTGTGAAGCCATTTCTGGTTAGGAAATGCAATTGCGGTTGCAAATTGAACAATTCGTAAACTACCAAGATAGGCTTGAAATGGACGACCCAAAAGACTTTTCACTTGAGAACAAAGTGTCTAAACACAAAAAACAAAGAATTTGAGCCCCAAAATGCATTACTCTATACCACACTTTACCCGCAACAACGAAAAAATTTACCCATTTTCAAATGACTAAAAAAATATACTTTTTAGAGAATACGGTTAAACTGCCATTAAAATCTGAAATTTCGTACCCTGAACTCTCGAAAAAATGATTTCTTTTGTAGATTGATCACTTTTTTCATTTTAATAACAATTTTTGAAAAAAAAGTGACTTTTTCATGAACACCAATCAGTTTTTTACGAATTAAAGTATGAAAAATTGAATTTACAACTTCACAGCTTATACCATAATATTCTTGAGAAAATTCTTCATATTACAAAAAAAAAGTTTTTGAAAATCGGACAATTACAAGTAAAGTTATTAACGGGCAAAGTCGAATGGGTGAAAAACACCCAGTGTGTGCGTTGTGTTAAAAAACAGAGGTGTGTGCGCTGAGGGTTAACTACTCACCTCGGTTTCATTTCCAAATCTGGTAGGGACATATCCTCCTCCTCAGCTGCCTGGAGACTATCTTGCGGCCAAACTTTTTTTTTAACGGGTTGGTGGTTCGTGATCAAGGAGTTCAAGATGTTAGTAAAACAATTATTTATCGAGAGGAGTCACGAAACGAACAAAAAACAGAAACGTAATGGGACAATAGCAAAAAAAATAAAACAGTAAGCAAGCAAAATTGAAATAAGAAAGAATTTTGTTTTTATTCAAAAATAAATTAGAGAATGTTTAAAATAAATAGAGAGATGCGAATAAGGTTTGTTCAGTGTGTAAATAGGTACATCCAAAAAATCAAGCAGACATAGTAAAGAGGAATAAATCCGGAAAGAAAAGAACTCATTGCGAAAGAAAAGTCTGGAAAAAAGCGAGCGAAAAAGCCACAATTAAGAAGGGAAAGTGAAAGTTTTAGAATTACTAAAATGTTAATCGATGTAGCAAAATAAAGAAGAACTTATAATATGTACATTGAGTTTCACTTTTTTATTATAAATCTGAACAAAAGACTTAGGAACTAAGTGAATTCAACATACAAAGACATACGTATATAGATATCTTTTGGTTCGTTATAAATATGTACACCAATAGGTTAAAATAAGGTTTAGTGCATTTGCTTTAAATGCTTGGCTCTGTTGCATTCTCTGAAAAATGAAAATAAAATAAATAATTAAGTGTGTAATTTTTAAAACAAAATAAATTAAATGCTTTTGACAGGGTTTTAAGCTTAGTTAAAATTTCCTTATACTTTCAAGGGAAACCAAAATAAAATAAACAAAAATGGAGAACTTTTCTTTACAAATTATAACTTTTAAGGCTTTTAGTTAAGTTTAATAAGTATTTAAAAAAAAAAAATTATATCATATCTGATGAACTCCAATCAATGAAATTTTATTAAAAATTTTTCAGTTTTCTATACAATTTCAACAATTCATATATATAAATGAAAATATATACAAAGTGTATCTGTGTTTGAGCACCGTTTAATCAGCATGCTAAAAGATAATTATAGATCATTCTGATTTCCCATCACAACAATGCAGGAATGTATCCAAATCAAACTTGTGGGCCCTGCAAGTTTTGAAAACCACTTTCACAATTTAATCGTATTAAACATTGTGCGCATTGCAAGTGTCAATTTAGGGGGTTACAAAAATAAAGCCAAATAAAGTGCCTAGTGATAAGATAGACCAGATCTGATTCCGTTCAGCACTGCCACTCGAGCACCGACTTTGTTCTGCACTTACGCTGCATCTTCCCCGCCGACGGCTGCATCACCGAGGAGTTGCTTCCGGCGATGTCGGGGCACTGACTCTCCGGGTGGAGCTGCGGACTGTTTGTGGATCCGGACTCGCTGCCACGCCGGTCGAAGGTCGGAGTGGCGGTAGTAGAAATTGACTGCTTTTCCGCAGGCGGCGTTTCATTGCTGACTAATGCCTCCGCCTGATTGGAGGCATTTAGCGTCATCGAGGAGACGGCCGGCAAGGTGCTCTTGGCGAAGCCACGTGGCGGCGATCCTGTCGGCGTCTTGAAGATCTGCGCCAGGATCATGTCCTGCAGGAAGCTGTCCAGCTTACGCAGGGACAGGGCGTTGTGCAGCGTCTCAAGCGGTCGGATTGGTGGCACATCGCCAAACCCTGCGGGAAACAGTTGTCATTATCACAGGCCCAAAATATTTTCACTCTTCTCTGAAATAAGCCTCTAACCTCTAATAATCTCCTAGAGTAAACATAATAATTTAAGGAAAGTGTGTTATTTAAATTTCCATTCCCATTTTCGTATAACAATATTCCTGACACAACACAATATCTTACTAATTGAAGTATATGCCGACACAACAAAATATATATATTCTCTTGATCAGGGTCAGTCCAGAAAGAATTTTCTATATTCAATTATTTCTCGTTACTACGGGCTAGTTAGCAACACTGTGTGATCAAAGACTTTCCGTGCCAAGAATTCAAAGAAATAATTACGATTTCGACCATGAAACTATTAAAAATTGGTCCTTCGTGCCGGATTTTAAAATAATTTACTCCAACTCCTAATACATCTTTATCTACGCACTCGCTTAGTACAATTGTCTTCAATCGTCTATGTTTTAAAGTTGTCTAAATTTTTCAAGGCAGGTGTTCCAATTCTTTGTTGTTTAGAGCCCTTAATATTGAGCGTTTTTTAGTTTTTAATAAAGCACAGCAGGTCTCGCCTACAATTTTTGCCTTGCAAGACTATTGGCATTTACTAAATAAAGTTTCGAATAAAATACCCTACTCTAGTATTTAAAAACTACAAGTCCCGTGAAAGATCGCATATCCTCAATTGGAGTAATCTGCTGATGATCTTATTAACACCTATCAAACATAAGGTTTCTATATTTGATGGTAAGCCAAAGACAGTGTTCTTGTAATCTACTAACGCAATTCTTTTTTTATAGCAGATTATCTTATTATTTGATTTGCGCATAGCTACCAAAGTGGAAGTATAATCTTTTCCGCCTAGAATAATTTTGAGATTGCGAAGGGACCTTATTGATTGTATTTTTTTTTAAAGCCATTAATAAGAATTAAGTGAATTCAAAAATGAACTTTGTTAATAATTTAAATTTACCTAAAAAAGCTTGGTTAACCTGAATTTATTTCATTATTACAACACTTGATCAAATCAAAAGTCTGGGCTCAAACGTAAATTTCTAACATAAGCAAGCGTTTTGAGATTATTCTTATTTGGACCACCCGATTTGCCCCATCGAAAGTGGATGCATCCCAAGTGTTGTTGTCATACTACAATACTCTACAGCAGTTTTGGGTACTTACCGGACGACGAGACCGGTATCATGTCGCGGAGATTGGGAGCGGACGAGCTGCCGCTGATGACGGCGGTGCTGAAAAGGCTATTTGTGCTGGTGGCCATCTTTTTGCTAAAACCACCGAAACCCAACATTTTCATATAGGACATCTGGCCGGCAATACTGTGTCTTTGGCGACGCGACGAGGTGGACGAGTTGGCCGATGACACCGAGGCCGAAACCGACACCGAGACTTGGCTATCTGTGGCGATGGTATTGGTACAACAAGACGGGGTCGTGGTAGTGGTGTTGGTATTTGTTTTTGTATTCGTGGCAGTGGCAGTGGCGGTGGTGTTTTCGTTCAGTGTATTGTTGATGGTGCATGATTGTTGTGGTTGCGGTTGTGGTTGTGGTTGTTGATTGGTGATCGTTGTCGAGTTTTGGTGGTGATGTTGGTGTGGTGCGGCGTTTGAGGTGGGATCGATCGATTGGAATTGGTTAGTAAATGGTTGATTAGAAGACATTGTTGTTGTATTATCAAACAAAGCCGCTGCTGCTGCTGCAGCTGCAGCTGCTGCTGTTGTTGTTGTGGTGGTGGTGGTGGTGGGTTGTGGTGTAAATGTGGGTGAGGATGTGGGGCTGGCTGTTGGAGAAGCTGTGTGTGTTGGTGTGACACTCTTTATACCTTTTGTGAAATCGGTTGCTGTAATTGTTGGTGTACCCGCTGGTGTACCTTTTCCCGTGCCCGTTGCTGTATCTGTTGGTGTAACCGTTGGTGTATCTTTCGCTGTAACCGTTGGTGAATCTATTGTTATATCTGTTTTTGTATCGGTTTCTGTATCAGTTGCTGCACTAGTTGCTGTCTCTGTACTTCTGTCTATTTCTGTTAGTATAGCTTCATCTTTGGATATCTTTCTATCTGTTGGTGTACCCATTGTGAAAGCTGTTGTTGTAACTGTCGTTCTACTTGAGCTGCTCGAGCTCGTCAGTTCTGTGCTACTTGCGGTGCCCGTTATCAGCAACGTGGGCAAGTTGTAGACCACTTGCGGCTCTGGCTGCGATGGCCTTGCTTCCGCCTCCGAAGTGGGCGTGACCAGCTCTTCGATGGGCTCGAAGCAGCTCACAAAAACGCCGCTAGGTGGCGCTGATGGCGCACCCACTGACGAAACAGTGAAGCGAAACGGGTTTTCTGCCACAACAGGAGCCGACGCCGGCATGGACAGCTGGCCACAGGAGCTACTGGTGGCCTTGCGCTGGGCAGATGCTGAAGCCGAAGACGAAGCCGATGCCGATGCCTTGTCCATGTCGTGGCAGAGCCGCAGGGTGGAGGCCGTTGGAGAGGTGGTGGCATGGGTCATGGGCGACAGAGTAGCCACCGCGGGCCGTTGGCCAAAGTGCGAGCTCATCAGGATGGCCGGTGCCGAGCTGGACAACTGGAAGTCATCGTCGAAGCTGCTGGCACTCACCTCCGCCGCCGCCGCTGTCGGCTCTCCACCCGCCTCCGAATCCTGGCCAGCTTCTGGTGGCGAAGACGCCGCCGTTGTCGCCTGGCCCAAGTCCATCAGACTCTTGGAGTGCGAGTGCGCATGCGAGGCCGAGCCGCTGCAGTTGCAGTTGCACGAGCTCAGCGGACGCTCGTTGGTGGCCATCGGCGAGATCTGCGGCAGGTGGCGCAGCTGCTCGAGGTCGTCGCCCTCGTCGCAGCTCTCCATGCGCCGCATGGTCAGCACGTGGAGGCGTTTGTGCGACATCGGACCGCATTGGGGCGTGGCTGGGTGCAGCGAGAAGTCGATGTCCGACAAGGGCAGCTCGTTCGTCGAGGAGTCTATTTTGAAGAAGGACAAACTGTTCGTGACCCGAATCTGGAAGGCCGTACGTACTCCGGCCTTTGAGTGAGCTCCTCCTTCCGAGTTGCCGGCCACGCCCACTCGAGCATGGGCTATCTCGCCGAATTCGGGCGTACGAGCCTGGGCCATGTCCCCGAATTCAGAAGTTGAGGCCTGAAAGTCTCTCTCTCCGAAGTCTGGAGGTGCAGCCACTAAACACCGAGGTCAAAGTTCAGTCCGATAGCGAAATGGAGTCGGGATGAGGGGTAATTAGTTGGGCGAAATGGTGGGGGTTCGGGTTTCCAGTCCAAAATCAGCCAAGTTCGTATTGATATATTCGAGAATCGGAGTATCGGTGCGTTGGTGTATGTAGTTGTGTGTACAGATAGAAAACTCATTAGCCGAGATAATCAAAAAGTCGAAGATCGCGAAAAGTTCGTGGAAACAAAGGTTCGTAAAAACAGGGGGAAAGAAAAGACGGGGGATAAACAGTTTGTAAACCATAAGGAAACACAAGAAGGAGAACAAAATCGGCAAGCCGAGTGGGAAATGCTCTTGCAAGATTCTAAAGATGTCGGTACGCAAACTTAAATAAAAGAAATCAATTTATAAAAAAGGATAACTTTAAGGGGATAATATTTAAAAGAAATCTATAAGTTATTTATTTCAAACATCGGAATTCAGTCCTGTGTTGTCTAAGAAGATGTTGTATACTTTAAATCTCTTTCAAATTAGTTACATTTTAATATCAGGAATCTACACCGCACAAACTAAACTCAAGGATCTTTAAGACCCCACAAGAGCACTTAGCGAATCGCGGTTTTTGGAAAACTTTGAAGCTGCGGCGGCCAAGGCTTTAGTGGAAGCTTTTAGTAGAGTACCAGCCTTCGGAGAGTAAGTGGGTTTCTCGAGTCCGGTTAGGTCCTTGTGTGTCTCCGTAAATGAATTGTGTTTCAATGTGGGTGTGTGAGGGGTATGGGTGGGTGGGTTGGTTTGGTGGCGGGGTCTGGGTCTGCAAACAACAACAACGAGCAACGCAACGTACAGACACAGACAAGAGAACTCCACAGAACCAAGCTTAATTTTTCGGTTTTTTCCGCATTTTTCCAATCTTTGCTCTTCATGCACTGAGACAAAAACAGAGATAGATAGACAGGACAGAGGGAGGCAGACAAACAAGCAGATATATAGAGATGTAGATACAGATAGTGAAAGAAACTGGGAGCAACAAAGAAGGGGGATAGAACCGAGTGTGACCGTAGGCAGCTGGACCCCAGCAAGAATTTTGGAAACTCTTCTCTTCAAAAATAAGAAGAAGCGGTGGGTGAAAATCCTTCCTGGGGCTCAGCTGCTCCCTGGGGGCGGGGCAGGTGTGCGGGGGCGTGTCTAGAGTGGCTGTGTATGTTTTTCTTTGTGGCTGAGACAGTGTGACCAGCATTGCCAAGTACACGGGATTCCGCGGCCAGATGCTTATAGATTTTCAGTTTTTCTCGGCAAACATTTTGGTTTGTTCTTTCATTTGAGAATGACAGATCGAGATACATATATATATAAAACGAAAAATGTGTGTTCATGTGTGTAGTATGTCCTGGGTGTGTGTGTGTGTGTATGTCCTTTCGATCGCTTTACAATAGAAAAAATGAAAACCAAAAAATGTTGGGCACAGCTCGAGAGAGATAAAGATGGAAATTCTTGTAAAATTTTTTCTTGAGCAATAGTGTGAAATGATGAAAATCACAACTGAATATAATTCGTTTACCATTCGAAATAGGGAGACATCTAGCTAAAGGATATATCTTATATATAATATATAACAGGATCGAAATATATATATATTTAAAAAGTTTGAATAAGGTTCTTCGAAATATGTTGGGTGGTGGGAGGACCTAAAACATAATTAAAGCGAGTTCGGGAATATGGTTTGGGTTTGGGCTTGGGTTTCGGGTTTTCCTTTCCTTAGTGTAAGCCTTGGGGATTCCCCAATTGTGTTAGCTGGCAGTGCTGACGGGAAACCGTGAGACGCAAACACAGAAAACAAAGGAACGGCATGCAAGGAACCCCACAAAAAATATTTTAAAAAACCATAAAGGATGACAGGGAGAGATGGATAGAGGTGATACTTCGGAGCGACCGAAGGCTGAATAATCTGGCAGACTTGACCGATATATATTAAGTTTTATATGTAAAGTTGTACTTTAAGCAATTGAAGACAGCCATCTTCCCATAGCTTCATATTTAATGCATCGGACAAAATCTATTACAAAGTGGCAAACGATATAACACGATGTTTGCTTCCCTGTTTCTTCTCCTCTGCCAAATCATATCACACAGCCGTGTTTAAGTTGGGGGAAAAACCAAACCGTGTCAGTGCGGATTAGTCAAAAATTGGAATTAGCCAATCGGGCGGATGTGAGATGTGTTAGACAAGAAGGAACGCAGGTTTCTTTTGTGGAAGGTGGGTGGGTGGGTTTGGTTGGTTGGTTGGTTGGTTGGTAGGTGGGTAGGTGGGTGGGTGGTGAGCTCCCGACCCTGAGGAACAGGCGAAACAGGCTGCGGAGGCGGCGGCGGCGGCGGCAAGCTTTGCTCGATCGACCGTCGGGCCCTGCCCAGACATACGTACCCGGCTCCTTGGCGCAGACGCCGGAGGAGGGACGCTGCTCGAAGCTCCGGGAGCGCGGCTCGCAGTCGGGGCTCACCGCCCGGATGTCCGGACTGATGGGGCGGAGCTGCTGGTTCTGCTGCTGCTGTTGCTGCTGCTGCTGCTGCGAGGCCAGCTCCTCGTTCAGCCGCTTGGCCAGGTCCATCGCCTCGTGGCCACTGACCGTGTGATGGGCTCCGATGGGTATGGGCTTCGACTTGAACTGCTTGGACCGCAGCTCCAGTCGGTTGAATCCGAAGGCGGGCGAGGTGCGTTCTGCGCTGCGGTCGGAGCTTCTTTGTCCAGTGGTCTAAATACAAATAGTAAATAAGCATTGCATTTAATGTATGTATATAGTAAGCTGGTTGTTAGTGACGGCCAGTCCAAGCGATTTTCAGAGATAAAGGGAGCTACGATCTGAACTCACCGAACGCTTCTTGCCCTCCCGCTCCTCTCCCGAATTCGAGTCGTTCTCCTCCTCGATCCTGGCGGGGTTCGACTCATCCGAGGACTGCAGGCTCACGTTGCAGGCATTGTCGCCGTGCGAATGCGGCCGGAATCCGGGACCCGGCGGCAGGTTCTTCTGCACGCAGCAGTTGACGCCCGGACTGAAGTGCAGCTCGACGTGGAAGCGCTCCTCGGAGGTGGGGTCCTTGGTGGGGTCCTCGTAGAGCATGATGACGATCTGCGACATGTAGTTGAGCTCCGACACCATCGAGATGTAGTCCATGGCCCGCCGCCACTGCTCGTCGGTGACCACATTGAGCAATCCCCCGTAGCGCAGCACTGTGAGCAGCGAGTGCACGTGCGATTCGCTGGTGAAGTAGAGCCGGGTGCGGACATGCCGCTGCGGACTGGCCACGCCGTGGCTGTAGTGCGGATTCAGGCGGTTCATGAACTCGTCCTCCACCTCATCGATGTTCCGCTGCAGGTCGCCCTTGATCTTCCGCAGCAGCGGCGAGCAGATGCCCTGCCCAATGGCCAGCTTCTCCTGCGGCGTCAGTCCGTACTCCTGCGGAATGACGATGTCGGCCAGGTTCTTCGCGTAGATGTACAGCTCCTCCGCCTGGTCGTACTGCAACGTGTGCTGATTGTGCTGCAGGTCGTACTTGATGCAGTCGTAGATGTCCGGGATCTTGGAGATGTCGAACAGCTTCGACTTCGTGCTGAAGTCCTTCTCGATCTTCTCCCAGCGGCAGCGCATCAGGTCCCAGGTCTCGCCGTGATACAGAATGGCATCCTTGGTCTTCGGGTCGTCCTTCTTGATGCTGATGATGTGCAGCAGCTCGCGGATGAGCAGGTGCACGTGGTGGCAGCAGTCCACCGGGTTCTTCACGAAGTCCAGCGCCTGGGTGATCGACTTGCTGTTGCACGGATTGATCAGCTCGCGGTCCTCCTTGGTGAACTCCCGATCGTTCTGCATAAGCTCATGGAGGCGACCTTTAGCCCTGTTGCGGAAAAGTATTTCCATGAATGTTATCTTCAATAGGTTATATAAAATATGATAGTAAAAGTCCTTAGATAAGAAAGGAAATATCTCTTAGTATCATGGTAATGGATACATATTTAAAACATATAAAAATATAAACAAATTCCAAGATAAATAGAGTTTAGAAGATTTTAACTAGACGAAAGGCTGTTACTTAAATGTTTGTAAAAGATTTCACAAGAACAGGTGATACATCAAATTCAATAGATTATTTCGCGGAAAAAATTGATCAGTCCACGAACCAATCGTTTCAACCTCGTTGATGGACTCCAACGAACGACTTACAGGTTTTGATACTTGCTGGAGTCGCAATCGTTGTCCAACAACCCATTCGTGTTGGCACTCTTCACCATCTGGACGAGAATGGGAGTGAGCTCGCCTTCCAGGGCCAGCAAACCCTTGGCGAAGGCAGCAGCCGTCATCTGAACTCGGCCCTCATCCGAGGCGTAGATTTTCAGGTCGTGCCGGAACGTCGAATGCAACCTGAAATAAAAATTAAGATTCCAGATAACTTAAGCAATCTCAAACTAGTAGTTTTTGAACACCATTAAAATATTAGAGAGCCAAAGTGCACCCACCTTAGTAGGCCCAAGCCCTGGGTGCCCGAGTAGTCCGACCTTCCCTGGCCTCCGGGATACATGCACCGGAAGATGCGGCCGAGCTCCTCCGCCTGGATGCGACCGGCTGGCGTCAGTTCGCCGCCCCACTTGAGGATGAGGACCAGCGATGGCTCCACGGGCTGTTCCGCTGCTAGATTGGCTTCGCATTGGTTAATCACGGCACTCGGACATGGGGCAATGCCAGCGGACTTACTGTCATCGGAGCTGGAGCCGCGCGGCCGACCCTTCGGCTGGTACTTCATCTGGACCTTGCGGTTAATGCCCGAGAAGTGGCCGTACATCTCGAGGACGTTCTTCAGCTGCTCCAGCTTGCTCTCCTTCTCCTCGATCTCGGCGTGGGCCTTCGTGTGGATCTCGCTGAGCAGGAAGCGGGCGATGTCCAGGATCTCCTGCAGCTGCTTGGGTCGCTTCAGCTTGACGTGGCCCAGCTTGTAGCCGTCGTACTTCTCGAAGATCTCGAAGAATCTGGTTGGGGGTGGGATCGGTTCGATTGGTTAGACGGAGGCTCCCAAAGAGCAGGGATAAGCCACTCACTTGGGGTGCCGCACCTCCACCTTCATCTTCTGCTTGGGCGTGCGGTCGCCGTGCCGGATGACGGCCACCACGCAGCGCAGCTCCATCATCTTGCCGAAGGTGGTGGGCACGATGGGCGGATCGTCCAGCTGGAAGGGCACACTCCAGGGGATGTGCAGCGTGGGCGTCAGCTCCCTGAGGATCATGTTGCCCAGGATCTTGGCGCAGTCGTCGTAGTACTTGTTCGAGTTCTTCACGAAGCTGAACCCGTTGACGTCGCACACGTAGCTCTTGCCGTTGGCGCGCAGCAGATCGAATCCGCAGACGGTTTGCTTGAAGGCCAGACACACCTTGCGCGAGATGAGCTTCTCGGAGTGGTTGAGGATCACCGGGTAGCGGATCTCCTTGCCCTCGCTGTCCCGCTCCACCTTGCCGTCCAGGGCGGGACTCTTGCGCGCCTCCGCGTGGGCGTAGTCCGGCCCCACGGTGTACACCTTGACGTCCGTGCCTGAAAAGTACACTAAGTTGTAAAGGTGATGCTGGATTCAGTGCGTTCGACTGGCGGCCACTGGTGTGTTTCGGTGTTTGCTATTTTGGTTTTGTCTATTTACTAGATTTCTGTGAGCTTGGCGATGAGCGGCGCGTGCGGAGCGAAACGCAGGACAAGGCACAATGAGAGCGATGCTTCGTTGGAGGATTAGAGTAAGAGTGAGTGGTCTACGATGTTCGAGCTAGCCAAAGCCATAACATACAGACAGCCAGAGCGAATAGGGGATTAGCGGTTATAGGGGTTATTGGGGCAGCGATCGAGGAGGTACACCATTGCCAAAAAACCAAATACGAAATCTTATAGCTTAATCCAACCAATCCAAGGAATCCAATTCGTAATTAAAAATAAAACAGTTTGCTAGTTTGAAGCCGGTGTACCACCAATCGCATCGCTTTGGATCGGGGAGAGAAGTGGAGGAGCTTTGGGTAGTACCTACAGCTGAATAGAGCATGGGAGGATAGTGAGCAAGTGGCATACCATCGGTGGGCATGAAGTCCTCGTAGATGAACGACCCCGTCTTGCGCACCCTCGACTCCGGGGAGTACACGCTGCTCCGGCTCCCGATCTTCCGGAAGAGCCGCTGACTGCCACCGCCCGCCGACGTCGGGTAGTAGATGTATATGTTGTGGTCCTCCGCCGAGACGGGCTTCTCCACGAACGGCTTGTTGAAGGTGATGCCGTTGACCTCCACATGATCCTCGGACTCGATCAGCTCGTGATCTGAGGGTGGAAAGTCAAATTGGCGAGTTAGCAATTGGTTAAGGTGGCTGGAGTATCAGTACTTACGCTTCGGATCCGGAGAGTCGCGATCGAGGACCGCGTAGCGGGGTATCTCGATGCCCTCCTTCTCGAGGATGGCGTACACCCGCCTCCTGTCCTGAATGTCGTACTGCATGTGCAGGTTGTTCAGCACAAAGGGGTTCCGCAGCTGGGCGTACTCGATGGCCTTCTCCAGCGGGAAGCCCTTCGAGTGGAACGACACCAGGCAGTCGCAGGTGGGCCAGTTCTGGACGGGTTCCCGCAGGATCACGTTCTCCTCGAATGTCACTAGCTTGATGAACTCGAACTCGCCGAGCCGCGTGAGGATCTCCTTCATCGGCTTCGACTGGGTCTTCTTGGCCATCGCGCAGATGCCGACGACCACCTGCTTGCTGTTGCTGGACGAGGTGCTCGTGTCGGAGTCCATGCCGTCATTGCTGTCCCCGAAGTCAGTGTCGCCCTTTGGAAGCAGAGAAAACAGAGGGAACAGGTCGTTAATGAGTTATCCTTCACCCGGATGGGAACACCGGTTTGAGCGGGCATGCAGCAGGCAACGGGCGAAATATCCGGAGTCTCGCCTCTCCGATCTTTTGTGTAATACAGTTTTTTAGTTACTTAATGTGTCATATTTCCCCCCGCTCCCTTTAGGAAGCAACTACTCGAACAAGAAACGAACCCATAAAGTGGTGAGTTGTATTGAAATATCTTTAAAATAAACTACAGGGATTGCGGTTAAAAAGCAATGACTTGTTGCAATTAGTCATGTCGGCAAAAAACTGGAGTTGTGACCTAATCGAGCTGCGTTTTTGCAAAGGCGTTATTAGAATTCTAGCTTATTTCAGGAGCTGTTACTAAACCATTGTATGGTTTCTAAAGCCAGGGTAATACATATCAAACTGATAAAGATCAAACGCGGAGCAAGCTCCAGGACAAAGTTAAAAAAATAGCTTTTTGATTTATATACCAATTTGAATTTGAAATTTTATAATAAGAGAGCCATCACTTGGCAAAACCAAACCAATTTCCAACGACACTAATATGTTTTGATTTGGGTGAGGTCCCTAAAATTTAGCTTTCCCATTCATTGGAGTGCACCGAATACGAATACCAAGATATTTTAAGAAAGTTTGAAGAAAACCCCCAAATTACATCAAACTAAACCGGTTCAGGTGCCAGCCGATCAACAGAGCAATTAGCGCTCAATTCGCCCCGACTTTTTCGACTCATTAGCGTCTCAGCGTCTGATCATCAATATCGTTAAGCCAGCTAGACCTTCTATACTTTCTTGACCTTCTATACCTTTTAGACCTTTTAAACCGTTTATACCTTTTACCCCATCTATACCTTCTGGACCATCTATGCCTTATAGACTTTCCAGACCTTCTAGACCTCTATACCGCCTATACCTTCTAGCTCTTCTATGCTTTCTAGACCTTCTATACCTTTTAAACCTGCTAGACCTTCTAACCTTTTAGCCCTTCTATACCTTTTAGACCTTCTATGCCTTCTAGATCTTCTAGACTTCCCAGACCTTCTATACCTTCTAGACCGCCTATACCTTCTAGCCCTTCTATACCTTCTAGACCTTCTATACCTTTTAAACCTACTAGACCTTATATACCTTTTAGCCCTTCTATACCTTTTAGACCTTCTATGCCTTCTAGGTCTTCTAGACTTCCCAGACCTTCTATACCTTCTAGACCGCCTATACCTTCTAGCCCTTCTAGACCTTCTATACCTTTTAAACCTACTAGACCTTTTATACCTTTTAGCCCTTCTATACCTTTTAGACCTTCTATGCCTTCTAATTCTTCTAGACTTCCCAGACCTTCTATACCTTCTAGACCGCCTATACCTTCTAGCCCTTCTATACCTTCTAGACCTTCTATATCGGCTAGACCTACATTCATACAGACATCGCAGAAGCAGAAATCATCGCTGTCCTCTCCGCTGCCATGACTTGGACCGTAGTCCTCGTAATCGCTGACGTTGAAGGGTCCGTACTCCCCGTCATCATCTTCGTCCTGGTTGTCTTTGCCTCTGCCGAGCGGAATTCCCGTGCCCGGCTGACTGTGGGCTCCGGCACTTTGGCTCCGTCGCTGGCGTTGCAGCAGCCGGTTCCGGCGCAGCCTGTCGCGACCACGCCCCCTGCGACGCCTGGCCCCCGTTCCGTGGGATGGCAGTGCGTCCAGGCTGTGGCGGCGACTGTTCTGCGGATCCCCTTGGCCGGCTCCCTCCAAGCATTCCGCACCAGGAAGCACCGCCGCAGCGGTCACTGCAGCTCCAGCCGCTGCGGCAGCTGCCTCGAGCTTCTTCTTGTGCCGCTGGTGGCGCGACCTGAGCTTCTTCAGGCGCCACCAGTCCTTAAACCACGTCCACTCCATTGCTTCGCCAACCGAGCTGTTTTGCTAGCCCTGCATTGGCCGTTTCTTAAAGTTTTATTGCAGTTTTTCTATGGTCGAGACTCGAAAACCCTTAGAAACTTGAGGATATTTTTCTGGTTTTGAGCACAGGTTTTATATTGGAATAGGAAAAACCGCACCGAGCGACAAACAATTGAAATGTTTAAAAAGCTTTCCTAATTAGTTAATTATATCCACAATAAACTCATATTTCGAACAGATTTGTAGTGTCGTTATTTATATTTCAAATTGTTTTTTGATGACCCTGTGGCATCTTTAAAAGTTGATGTTCGACAAAATACTGTTCAAGTTAATTTGTTTTTATTTTGGTTGTGGGCACAAAGCACTTTAAGTGCTGAACAAAAATTGTATGCTTTATAACATTAAGTTTCACTTGCAAAAAAGGCCTTTTCAGGTTTTGGTCTTGTTTCTACCGTCAAATTGTGGTAACCCCTTAAAACACTCCACTAATCTAAACGCGAACTGTTTGTTTTGGCTTATTACATCGTGAGTTAGTTTCGCTTTTGGTATCTACAGTTGAGAACACTGATGGGGAATCGGCTAGAACAAGCCGTACGTGCTCGTCGTGCGAATTCCCCCAAAACAGGTGACCCAACCCGAGGAGGTACTAAAACGCCGATCGCCGAGGTCAGCGGAATAACGACTGTTCCGTCGAGCGCGGCCAACTGACTAGCGGAACTGAACCGAACGGCCCGTTGGGATCTCGCCGGGGATCGAATCGGATCGTATCGGATTGTTTCAGGGCGTACGGCAAGCCAGTTCGACTGTGCGCCCACTCAGAAAGTCGGAGGAGAGTGTCGGCTAGATCGGCTAGAAACAAAAAGACGGGAAAACAACAAGAGAAGTGGTCCCACAAAGAGAAAGATGGGGCGCTACACTCTGGAAAATGCTCGCCACTAAACTATTTGAACGTTAGGAAAAACCCAGAGTGGACAACTCCACTTTTCTGTTCAAAGCAGTAGCATTTTTTGTTTGATCAACTCATTAACGCAGTGACAAACTACAATAGGTTGTATAATTGTAGACATTTTCAGTTATGTATAGCGCAGTCATCACCCAATAGACCAAGTTACTCGGTTAGGTTACGTTTCAAGCAAGTGTTGAAACACATAAATTTTCGGATGACAAACAAACTTTTCCAAAAATGTCAATCACACAATAATTTCAATAAAACTAAATGAATTTCACGCATCATAAAACATAATTTCTGCAGAAATCAAAAACACCTTTCTAAGGAAAAATAAATAATAGATTTGTTTAGTTTTCAAAATATTAACTACTAAAGCAATTTCAATTATCAATGATAATTCAACTCATATTTCATATTCTATTTTTTTAAGTACACTGAGACTGAGAGGGCGCGTTGTTCTCTTTGTATAATTGTTTCGACATGCTGGAGGCGTCTTGTTATCATCGTCGCTTTCATTTGTTGACGACACGACTTAACTACAACTTATATAGCGTACACGTCCGGCCGATCGGCCAGTGTTAATGAAAGCGACTACAAAGACAACGAGAGCGACACAAAGAGCAGGCTGGGAAACGGTAACCGGTAACGGGCGGTGGAGCAAACCCGATAAGAATTCCGAAGATAAGGGCTCTGCGGGTCTTGAAGCACAGATCTGCCCGAAATCCCCTTAGGCGTAAATTGGCCAACCAAACATTTGCTCTATATGTGGAACGAACCGATGGAGACCCTTGACAAGTGGCACTGGATATGATCTTGCCGATCTATTATCGCCTTTCGAATGCATATGTGTTTTGACACGATCTTTTCTTCTCCGTATTTTATTATGAAAATCTGACAACTGAGTCACGATTCGTGGATACAAAGATACAGGTGTAACGTATCGCAGCGTCAACGCTCCTCTACGTCAGAGGCTCATCAAAAGGGGATCTATTTAAATCATTTGAAATTTTTATACAATTAAGTCCGCCCTTACCCGAAGAAAGCTTTTAAAACTAAACAGCATAGCTAAAATTATCATCTTAAATTCAGATGTTTACCTATTTAATATAAGAAAAGAGGACACTTTAATCTGATATAGAATCATTAATAGAAACCAACGAACGCACTTTTTTTTGCCTAATTTTCATATTACCATTTTTTCAATTTTATTTTCTTCAATTTAACAATTTAACTAAACAAAAAACATAGATACATTAGTCATTAGTGCAACTGCTTACAGTTTATAAAACCACCCAAAAGTATGAAACGGAAAATAAATATTGAGACACACACATATATCCCCGAAAGACTTACTAAACATTAGCTTTTTGAAAAAGAACTTCTCTTTAATTGGGTGTTATATGGATTCCAATAATTCTCGATAAGCATCATAGGGATATTAGAAGGCTCACCCAAAAAAAAAGTGTTTTCAACGCAATTGCGACACTTAAACTGCTTCGTTCGAAAGTCGGATCTTAACTGCGGTTCTGAAGATGCAATTGGATTCGATTCGGGGCCACCAGAGATTCCGGACGGCTTCCGATGCCAAAACCAAAACCAAAACAAACAAACAATACAAATAACTGCGACAACTGGGTAATTAATTAATGCAGCCAAGAAGCCGAAAATTTAATTAGGATTTGGCGCGTTCGCCAATTAAGCAAACAATGAAAACGTAACGGAAACAACAACAAAAATATTGTTAAAAAATACCAACTGAAAGTGCGAGCAAAATAATGCAAAACAACGAGAACGGAATTAAGTGCAAGAACTGAAGAATCACCGGATGGGAAAATGATGAGGAGCGCGGCTCCATAGGCTCCAACGCGCTGGCGTCTGTCTCTGGATTTTGGGGCGGAAAAAATAGAAGCGAGTGGATAGAAGATAAACAATAACAAAGCGTTAATCGATATACATTTTAACAAAAATCTCTTTGTGTCGATTTTACAATTTTAGCTAAAATGAAACTACACCAAGTATCAATCTTCTGTTGTCAATTTCATACTAAGTACATACATATATACGAAGTTTAGAAATTTAATTTTGCACTACATTCATTAAAAATTTTTATTATCAAAGCAACAGTTTTGTATAAATGGTTAAAAAATCGACTACAGTTACTTTTTGCGAAAAATTATTTAATTTTTAAGTTATCCCATTGAATTCTTCAATTTAAAACAAAAAACTTGGTCAAAAAAAATTTAGTTTTTGAAATGTGAAGAGTCGGATCGGGTAGCCATCGTTTGCACGCCAATTAGTTTAAGGAATAAAAACTTTCCAAAATTTTTCAAAATTTTGGAAATCAAACAATTTTGACTTTCAAATAACTTTAACTGCAAGATAGGAATTGTTAAAAAACTAACTCTTACACTCAAAAAATTTTAACCAATGAATGAAAGGCGGGAAAAAATGTTTTAGTGATTAAATTTTGAGTTTTACCGCAAGAGGTGTAAATATAAAACGAAAAAGTTCGAAAAAGTTCAAACGCGTTCATCTCAAAGCATTTTTTTTTGAACACATCTTAAACAAATCTTAAAAGATTGATTTAAAAATTTTTGAAATCGAAGCCTAAAATGACGACGTAGTGGTTTTTGTGAATTTTTATTATAATTTTAGCCAGTAGTTTGCAACGCAAGGAAGAATAACTTTAGTTCAACTTCATAATGAATACACTTTATAGCTGCATTAGGCAAGACTAAAAAAATTCAAATTTGAATGGAACAAATTTTTAATGTTATTTTTCGGATTCTGTGGAAACAATATGGAGCAAATCATGTTTTTTTTATTATACAAACATGATTTTTTAGAAATAGAGTTTTCTAACGATTCCTGAATTTGAAATTAAATTTCATGAAATTTGGGCGACTCTATATTATAGAGTCTATAATATAGCTGTCAGAGAAATAAGAGAAAATAAATAGAAAAATTCTTGGTGATGTTAAAAAGTTATTTCTATAAAATCCGACTACTATATCATAAGTTGACAAAACTAGAGAAGTTCTACATATGTATGTACATATGTATGTATAGTAAATTTCACCGCTGACATTCCAAGAATCGAACTAACAATCTTGTCACTTAAAATTTGCGACGAGTCCATTCTACATTTAAGTTCTACATAACTGATTATTATTTTAAATTTTCGAAGTGTAGTAATTTGAATCTGGAGGAAGTAAAAACACTAATTGGCGGCCAAACAATTCAACTTCACAAAAATTGTAACTCAAATTACCCAGTTACACTGAGCTTTTTAAATATGCAAATAATTTAGGAACTCTACTTTTCACGAGTTTAATAATTCCAAAGTTTTCTAAATTATCTCGTATTTTTCGAAGTGTTGTTTTAGTCACGCACCGCCCAGATTCGGAGTGGAGTTTACGTGCGTCAGCCAGCGGCGTCCTACTGATGCGCCACGCCCTCCGCCCCCGAACTTATCGAAGCTGTTGCCCATTTGTTGTTCCACTGTTTTTGATTGTTTGAGGCGAGAAGGACACAGATATGTACATATCTATATAAATTATGTTCATTCGAAACCACAACACAAAAAACACGTGAGAAAAAGAGAAAGAGAGAAAGTCTTAAGGAGAGCAAAAGCTTTTGGCATTGACATTGAACAGTCAGCTGTTGGCAAAAAGAGAGGGGTAGAGAGGGGTGGATAGGAGAAGGGACGGGGAGGAAGAAGGAGAAGAAGCTGCCACTGCAAGAAACCCACAAAAAGTCAGGGTCAGCCCCGTATGCAAAAATCTGCAGTAGAGGTCAACATAATAGCACCGCAATATTTTATATATTTTTCGTTAGCCTTGTTTGATAGGCTTAATTTTGTGTTGCCATGTTGAATGTTCTAAGTATTACTATCAAACCAAACAATACCTGATACACCCAAAAACATGTTCTCTGTGAACACAAATTATGTTAGGATTGGAATTAAATTTGTATGTGCATTTAAAAATTCACAAATATCCCGTTAAAGAGCATTTGCATCATTTTAAATTTTGAACATACATATATATATTTATTTATGTGTTGTTATTTAATAATTGTAATTTTAAATGTTAAGGCATACTTCAAGAATAACCATTACACAAGTGCTATTATTTCGACCTCCACTATAGACACATAGAGGTCTCAAAGTACTCAAAAGTAAAAAAAACGCATTTTTTAGTGGGTTAGACTATGTTTTAGTAGTAAAAAATAGTGAAGCGCCTACGTTGCCATCCTGTAATCCCAAGTAGAAACCGACGCGCTGCTGCTGCGGCTGATTTTGGTGCGGATTAGGCTGGTGCTGAGAGATATCCTGGTATCCCGACTCCAATTCGGTGTAGGACATGATTATCCTGCGCGATGGTGTTAGTGGGGTTATTCAAACAAAAAAATAGCATTTAACACAGGGCAATGTTTTTATTTTCCTCGTTTTTTACATTTTTCACACGCACACACACGCACGCAGTTCTTGCCGCGTGTTAAAGCGCGAGTGTGGGTGTATGTATATTTTTAATAACAATTTTTTTTTTTTCACTGTCGTTCGATTTTACGAGTTACGAAATCTGTTTTTGCTTTTGTTATTGTTTGTGTTGTTATTATTATTATAATTTGGTTATTGCAGAGTTCGCCACCGGTGGGAGGAGTGGGAGGGGGAAGCGCGACGGCAGCAAGGAAAGGTGCGGGGCGGGCGAGGGGTCGTTCTGCTGCTGCGGGGTAGGTGATTGTTATTAGTTAATTGTTATTGAACTGGGTTTCTCTCGCTGTTTATTCTTCTTCTGCTTTTTCTGATTTTTTTTAGCCCAACACACGCACACGTCCGCTCGATGCAGAAGTTCCGTTTTTTGCCGCAGTGTTTTCAGATGGGCAAAGAGCTTTCGCCCAAAGCTCAAAACATAAATGTACTAAAAAATCCTTCCTCTTTAATTGCATTACCCACTTTAACTTATTCCTCTACCTCGTGAAATATTTTTAAGAATCGTGGATCAATCAACGTTTGGAAAAAAAACCGTATCTGAAATTTTCTTTAACGAGAAACTATTATTTCAACATTTCAACATGCAAATCAAATTTTTCAGTTCAGCTGTTCAAAAATCTGAATCTGAAGCTTTTACCGATCATCTGTTTTGCCTAAACGAAAAACAAGGCAATTATAAATATAAAGCCGCTAAAATAAAAGGACGATTACGAATTATGTAAACATACTTGCAAGCAATGATATTGACTGTTCATCGATATATTTCAGATTAATTTCTAGCTGAAACTGCTGATAAAGTACAGTTTTAAAAATTGCTAATTCAAAATAAAACAATGTTAACGGAGTAATAATTGTAATCCCGAAATAAAATGCTCAAGTTAAGTTTAAACTCCCTTTAATGTTAAAAAATGAATGAATATGTTATGTTATGTTATGTGAATATGTTGAAAAATGAATTGTTGTGTTCTTACATTATTTTTTAGAAAGCAATCTAATTAAAAAAATCCTAAAATCAACATTAAATTATTTATCATTTATTTTATTTATATATTTTCTAAACATTTTTCGTATAATGGTTCCTGTGGAAGCTACATAATATGGTCGTCTCGTTTAATCGTCTTAAAAAATACAGTACCCAAATTCTAAAGAGTTTCTAAAAATCCGAAAGCCAGGGGCGGACGCAAAATCTCAAACTTTTTTCAAATTCCCTTACAGCATACGGCTTTCAACCATATAAACTAAAAATTTTTTTGATCGGACCCCCCCAAACGAAAAAAGTTTTCATCGGAAAAACATTTTGATCGGACCCCCTCAAACGAAAAAATTTTTCGACCGGACTACTTGATCAATTGTTTTCAAATTTTCAGAATATATTTATACATGTTTGAAGAATATACAGAAAAATGTTTAAAGTAAAAAATTAAATATTTTTTAAGCTAGAGCCGATCTCCAACGGCGCTAAAAAAATAGTGCCCCAACTGCTGTAGTGATTTCGGCCTTCTCCGTGGATGAAATCAAAAAATGAAAAATTCTCGTTAAACTAGATGATATTGTCCATACAATGACCTACGATAAAAAAAAAAAATATCAAAAATTGACAAAATGGCAGCGTTGTAAAAAAAAAAATCGAATTTTACCCAAAATTTTGGGTCGTTTATGGCCTGCCAAAATTCGATTTTTGATCGGATCAAAAAACCGATAGGTCATTGTAGGGAGGACTATATATAGAACATCTAAAAAAATTTGATAGTGATCGGATCATTAGTTTTTGAGTTATCACTGCAGCAAATTCGGAAAATGCAGTTTCGAGAAAAACGCGTTTAAAGATAAAATGATCGTATTCACTGCTATAGGAGCGGCTGCTCTTAAAATTGCTATAACTCAAAAACTATTTAAGATATCGATTTGAAATTTTAATATGTTATTTTTAAAGGTGTAATCTACCGAAATATGAAAGAAAAAAATAAAGATTTTTTTGAAATGTCACACTAGTTGTGCCCCTTAAGATTCCCAATTAAAAATCGGTTTTCTTGATTTTTTAAATTCATGTTTATTTTTGTTGCTCACTATAACTTTGATCTCAATGATGGTGATTAAAAATTATTTCATAAAGTAAAATCTGAGACGTGAGGTGAGTATTTGAGAACAGATAAAACAGAAACACTTAATTTAGTTGTTAATGTTTTTATCGGTGCTTATATCAGGGAATGTATCGCGCATCGGAATAAATACATATATGTTTTTTAGCCTAACCTACGATGTCCGAGACGAAACGGGTCAGCGATGTTTGAGGAGGAGCTTGGTCTTGATCCGCTTGCGATCCCTGGCTATGATCTCCATGCGCTCCTTTGTGTTGGTCTGGAAGAATATCAGGTGCAGCGTGCGACTGGCCGAGCAGAGCTGTGGGAAAACCCATTTAAAGAATGGAAAAATAAAGAAATTAATGAATTTTTATTAAACTGGTTAGAAATGCCGATCTTGTTTAAAAACACAAAAAATACCCTACGTATAAAAATAAATTTAATAAATAATATTCTCAGTCTTCCTGGGTTTAACTTTTGAAAATTTCTCACTAAAAATACAATATTACCAACAATTGATATATTTTGACACAATTTTATTTGATTTTCATAAGACATACGTTTTGTAATCCGTTTTCTTTTATTTTGACGAGGAAACTAATTTAAAGTATACTTTACTAACTTGTTATGTATATTTCTTTTATTATCAGCCTATGAAGTTGACAAAATGAATTCATAATTTCATAATCCTATTAAAAACAAAACAAAAAGAAAAACGTCCCGCAAGTCAAGTATTTGCAGATGGCTTTAAGGGGTTATATCCAGTTGCGATTTTGAAAAAATCGAATTTTTTTTTGCCTATTTTGAATGTATATATATCTAAGAAGATTATCTGAAAATTTCAAAGTATTCCGGTAAATAGTATTGGAGTAATCAGTGTATTTGTAAAGACGTCTCCCACGTAGTTCAAATAGTAGCCATAACTTTAAATGCGTTTTTCTCGAAACTATGTCTTCAAAGTCGGTGAGGAAAATTTCTCAGAGATGGTTTGAGCGATTGACATGAAACTTTCACATTCTCTTCTTAGATATTTTTTTCAGGTAATGAGACTTGGAATTTTGGCTCCGACAAAAATTTCGATTTTTTTAGCCACTTCAAAGTTGAAATTTTTGTGCCAAAAACAAAGTTTTATGTTTGGGAAGCCGCCATTTTGTCAAAAATCAAAATTTTGAAAATACCAAGTCTCATTACCAGCATTTGTCTATTCTTTACGTAATCCTTCTGGTTTTTTGTATTTCTGATCATTTGGACCGGAGATATTTTCCTCACCGCAAAACCCTTTTTTGAAGTGGACCCTCGGGAGATCCTTTACAGGACCGACGGAGTCCAAAAATAATTTTTTTTTTTAAATGTATTCTAAAACTAGAAAAAATTACCTGTCTTTTCATATATAACACGTATACATACAATAAATAGCCTCTCCAAAAATAATTTTCAAAAAAACTAATTTTTTTGGCCTCGCAACTGGATATAACCCCTTAAAACAGATTACTCTTTAAAATGGGCAATAAGACAAGTCTATACATAAATCGCGGTGGACTATAGATTTTGGGTCGAGCAACCTATGGATGCACCTGGGTCAAGTTTATCTTTGTACAAGAAAAGCGAAACAAACATTCACCATTGTAGGTATACTTTTGGCATATATCAGAACTTCTATTTAGGTATGGTCCAGGTTAGCGACCCACCTGTTGAAGCAGTCGCGCCTTGAGGCGCAGATTAGCGGGCTCCTCTGCATTTTGACGGCCGTGACCACAGGTCTCCAGGTGTAGATTCAGCACAAAGATGAGGGTGTCTCTGATGGTCTGGACAATCCGCTGCACCTGCTCAGTGGCAAAAAGGCGGCGGGTCAGGAAACCGCGCACAGCGGCGTTTATGCGCGTGGCCGCCCACTGGCGCTCCTCCTCCTCGAGGCTGGTGCGTTTCTGGCGGGGATCAGAGGCGAAATTAAACAGGGAAAGGAGGCACTTGCTGAATGGGTTAATAATTCGATTAGCTACGGGCGCTAGAGGCTTGGTCCCTCGGATTCCTCGCAGTCTTTGTTAAGGCACTTGGTTAGCTGGCCACCCGATTTACTATGGCTTCTTGCGCTGCTTGCGTGAAAGTGGGGAAGTAGAATATAGATAACATAGATAGTACAGCCCACCCATTTCCCTTTTCCGACACCCACAAATAGGAATATGTATAATCATAGAGCTCAAGTTTAAAAACCAGAATTAGGCTGGGTTACAGATTGATTTTCCATTAGAAAAAAACTTTCGGAACTATCTGGTTTTAAGCTAAGCTTTACGATTTGAACTAACGTTTGCACATAAAAAAAAGTGACAACTAAGTTTTGTTAGAGTTAGAGAATAGAAAGGTATTGCTTACTCACATTTATCAGCCGCTTGGGCGGTGAGTTGCTCCTCGCTGGCACGTTGCCCCTCTTCGAGAGGGACGAACTGCCGCTTCCTGCCGAGCTCTTGGGACGTCCTCCTCCGCCCGCCTTCGCTGGCGATTTGACAGCCTCGCGTCCAGAAGCACTGTTCAATTTCCTGGGGCTGCTGCCCACGGTTTGCGAACGCCTCCTGACGACTTGCCCGCTCCGCCGGCTGTTGGTCAGGCTGCTGTTCCTGAGTGGCAGGGAGCGCGGTGTGCTGGGCGCACTGATGTTGCCCAGCGGCTGCGGTTCCGAGTCGTAGCCCAGCGAAAGTTTCGGGCTGAACAGCCTCTTGCGGGCGGAAGAAGGGCCGTTCCATCGGCAGCCGTCCTCCAGCGCGAGGAAGTCTTCTACCCCCTGGCAGCTGCGCGGCGTGGCGTCCAGGAAGGAGGACATCGTAAGAGTGGGTGAGCTGCGCGGCAAGTCTCCCGTACTGGTGCTCTGCGACACTAGACCATCGGGATTATCGGCGCCCGGAGAAACATCGATTTCCGCGCACAGTTGCTCGATGAGCTGACGCTGCTGGTGATCGAACTCGGCCTGCATGCGACGACGCTCCTCCTCCTGATGGAGGACCAACTGGTTCATCCGCTCCCGATGGCCACGCAGATAGTTGCGCACCCCCGCCTTTCGGCTGGCTTCCAGGGGCCCGTGCTCGCCCAGCGCCCTCTCTATTATCCGCTCCACCTCGCGGTCCCTTCTCGAGCAGCTGCTGCTGGTCGTGTTCGCATTCGTGGTGCTGTTCGTGGTGGCGGTGCCGTGGCTGGCTTGACTGGTGTTGCTGGTGTAGCTGCTGTTGCTCCGAGCACTGCGACCAACCCGCTTGGCCTGCGATTCAATGGTCTGCCTCTGGAAGTGGGCCAAGCCCTGGCTGGGCTTGACCGCCAGGCCTTCCCGCTGCATGTGCTCCACGAGAACCTGGGAGGGCTCCTCCAGCGTGAAGCTCCTCGAGCGCTGAATGCCGGCTGGCTCCGGCTGCGGGGTTTTCAGTTCCGATTGCCCTACCTCCTGCGGCTGCTCCTTGCCCTTGGCTATCAAGGGACTGGTGCTGGAGCGTGGGATTCTGTTTTCCTGCCCATTGGGACTCATTTTACCCAATCCCGTTTGCTCGAACTGCAGGATGCGGTCCGTGATGCGGTTCTGCCGCCGGGGAGACGAGTTCTCCACCGGCTCCAGCGGTGGCTGCGGAGTGGGCGGATCCACATGGATGGTGGGCAGCTGTATGTCCAGGACCAGGGATTGGGGACGCGCCTGCCTCTGCGTGCTGTCGTAGATGACGGTCTCCGTCTGCTGCAACTGCGACACGCTCCGCCGACCGGCCATGTCGGATCCCGCCGAGTGTCTGGCCAGGCGGTAGCGCTCCTCCAGCTTCACAGCCATCTGGCGGGCCATCTGCAGCTCGCGTCTCTTGGCGCTCGTCATCTGGAACGTGGCGAGAGGGTTACGCCCGAGTGAGTGCCACTCCCTGGCCAAGATTTCGACTCACCAGCGGTGGCAGTATGGGCTGACCATCCAGCCGGAACCGGAAGGCGGCGGGGTCCAGGGAATCGGAGCCACTGCCCTCGGAGTGGGAGCTCCAAATCGATATGGTGGTCGTGGCCGTGGGCGTGGTGGCCTCGCTTTGGCTCTGGCTCAGCTCCACGGCCGCCAGCAGCTGCTCCATGGCCCTGCTTGAGTATGAAAGCCAACGAATTGGACAAATCCAGTAAATAAAGACTATAACCAAACATAGTCGGCAGTGGGACTAAATAAGGCTACTTACCAAGTCGCATCCATTGGTGTTCTGGTACGGGAAATTTTGGTCGGGACGTCAAAATTTGGGGGGACCTATTCGGAAGGCGACTAAGCCTATTTGTGTTGTTAAAATTTCACTCAATGTTTCCTATGTTCAGTTGCCATTAGAGATGACAACTAACGATGGCACTGCGCGAGCCGGAGAAGTCCCGCCAAAAACCCATAAAACCCAGATAAAGCAGTCCGATTCGTGGAATTTCGACCAAAAACTGTCATTTTAGCTTTGAATTAAATAAATGTGATTTGGCAAGTAACAGTCGCTCAATAGCGACTCTTACAAAGTCTTTAAACCAGCTAATGAAATGCAGTTTTAAACACAAATTTAAAACCGAAAAAAAAAAATAATGCAACTCTACTTTAAGTTATCGATAACGTGGTGTCAGCTCTAGTCAGAAAGCGGTTTTAAGTTTGACAATTTCAATTGCATTTTATTTTACTTTAAAAATAGTTTCCTTTTTATCCATTTTTTTTTAACATTTTCAACCAGTGCACTTGGTTTTACACAATTTTTTCAGAAAAGGAACGCTTGCTGTCGCAAAAGGTCTAAGATTGCTGTGATTGCTCCTGTATAAAATTAAGTCATCTAGCAATCGTAACCGTCATTGAAGTCGAAATACCAGGGATATTCTAATTTGATATGTCGATAGCACCAACGCTGTTTAAATTTCAAAACATTATGAGCAGAAAGAAAACCAGCAATTAATAAGTCTTTTAATTTCAAAATATTTTAAACAAAATAAATGAAGCAAGTCATGTAGTTAAACATTACCTCGAAACTATGTCATTTCTACATACTCCGCAAGTTGAATTGGACAAAATTAACAAAAGGAATTTGGGGTAAGTACGATGCCTATACTCTGCAGTAGTGTAGCACAGTAGTGCAGAGATAGCAGTTAAATTTCCGAATCTAATTGTGGACTAAATCGTGAATGTCATTTCCAACACCTTCTAGGTTAAACCTAGAAAATGCTTTCCAAGGTGGAAAACTTTATGGTCGCATTTTAAAAAAATTTATAAGCATTTTCTAAAAATGGGTTTATTTTTAGATGTTGCATTTTTCTAAATAAGATTAGCTGTTCCTTTAGTAGGTAACCATTATGTTCATTGTGATTTATTAACTCAAAACGTTTGTATCTATAAGTTATATTTTTATAGGAATGGCTTTAATGGCCATACTATTCACGTCAAAAATAAAGCAGAGGATTTAGTTTGTGAGATATTTGTTTATTTTAATATCTTAATTTATTTTAAAATGGTTGCTGAATTTGCTAGAAGAGTGTACCAGCTAGGTGACGCAGCCAGCTAAGACCAACCCGATTTTTTAACCAACTTAATTCCAGGAGGAAGAAAAAATTGTAGCCAGCGTTAATAATTGAGCTTAATAATTTAGAACGAAATTCCGCATCTGCAGAGCAGCGTCAGAACCTATTTGTTAAGTCTACCAACTCCCATCGGTAAAATGTAAGAAAACGATACCCCTAGAACTGTGGTTTAAAAATACGGCGAGCGGGGGCACAGTGCACTTACCCAGAGCGGTGAAAAACATCGATGTTTCGATAATAAAATCAATGCATCGAACAATTTCAGAACTCGATACATCGATATTACTAGAACTATGTTTTGGCAGCTCTAACTCGGACGGGTTTTCCATTGCATTGTTGTTGTTGTGGCGCGATCGAATTTGTTTGGAATTCTGTAAATCAGCACTAGACTTTCGGGAGTGTTTTGGTTTTGGATACCACCAGTTATACCAAAAAGTATGCGAAGTCTGTAAAATTGTTTTATTTGTTTTTGTGGATTTTGTTTGCATTTGTGGTGTATCTTATAATAGTATCTAATTACAAAACGATTTTAAATCCTTTCCCCGGTAAAAACGTGCTGGGAAACGTGACTTAGTTTAGTTTTATATCTATTTGCGGTTTATTTCGCTCTATTTGTATCTCTTCAAAATTGCGTTGTAAATGTGTGTAAGGAATGCGTGCGTGCGTGTGTGTGTGTAAAGGGGGTGTAATCTTGCGAAAATTGGGTTTGCTTTGATTTTTCTTTATTTTTTTGAGTGCAGCAAGAAGTCATTATTCCCCCTTTCCATCCTACTTTTACTTAATAAAAATGCAGTGCAAGTGTAGGAAAAACAAAAACAGAAAGCGCCAAGTTTCGCACATATGTATACATATGCACACACACGTTGTGTGAGTGTGATTGTATTTCTGTTTTTTTTTTGTATATCATTCTGCGACGCAATTGAAAAAGACATCGAAGGCCAAACAACTTTGCTTTTTATACGTTTTTCTATAGATTTTGTTTTTGTTGCCGCAGGGCGTTAGTTTTGGCTCCGTTTTTGTTATTATTACAACTTTCAAGCTTTTCACGCGTTTCGCTTTTCTCTCCTTCGCCTACGCGTGCTCTCTTGCTCTCCCACGCTTTGGTGCCATCTCTCTCGCACGCAGCCGGTAAGCAAAGTAGTAAACAACAGCAGCGACAATAGAAGGAAATCAACAAAAGAATAAAGAGAGAAATAAAAAATGTCAAGGAACAATTGCAAAAATAGGTTTTACAAATTGAGTGCTTAATCACTGGTTGAAAAGTCGCAATAACTTGGCCACCATTTCCAAGCTGCACAACGCAGTTTTCTTTGTTTTTAATTGTTTTTCCATTTGCCAAAAACAACCGCGTGTGTGTGTGTGTGTGTGAGTAAGACAAGCCCTCAAAAACAGAAAAACATGGCAAAAACATTTTGGTAAATTGCCATGTATCCGAAAACGGCTCATGCAACAGTAATAAATAATATTTTATTTTCTACGCAGCAGCCTCGTGTTTTTAACAAAGACCAAGTGAAAGGATAGGATAAAGCAAGGGACGAAGCAAGGCACAGGAGAACGTAACTCCGCCCATGCGCACAGCTAATCCAGAACCTGTCCTAACGGTAAACTGATTGTCTCCGTGCAACAAAAGCGGAAATCGAAAGCGAAGCGGAAACGGAAGCTGCCTGGGATAGCTAATCGAAGGGGAAGGCAGCCCGCTAACTGCGGCAACCGGGAACCGAAGGCTGAAGCCCGTAAAAGCCACAAAAAATATAATTAAAGCCAAAAAGCAAATTCAAAATGTTCCAAGCCCTGCCCCGTCCGTCAAGGTCTGCACTCCACTGCGGAGCAGCAGCCATCGCCACACTCGTCCTCATGGCCTGGTAAGTTCAGTATTAGTCCTTATTTATAATACCTTTTAAATAATAAAATGAAAGGATGATAACAGAAATTGGGCGAACAATTTTATAAAAACTTTATATACTAATATTCTTTAATTTGAGTGACAATCGCAAAAATATTACTTCCGTTTAGTATGGATTGCAAAATAGAATATGTCTCAGAATTCTCAGCCAACTAGTTCTACCCAAACCCCAATTAAATTAAATTGAAAAGTCAACAAAAACTAAATAGATAGGGTTGAAATTAGAAAGCTTTCTTATCAGTTTAAAGCCGACAAACTCGTGCCTGGTTGGTACAACAAACAAAGTGTGTTAAATAAGTCTCTGTCGCATTGTGGGAATAAAACTCGTTCCAAATGTAAACTTTTCCACAAAAAAGAAAAGAAATAAATTATAATTCACAGCAAGATTCACAAAGTTTTACATAGGGTTTTAATTGTCCTAGTTACTATAAATACCAGGTTTATATTCTGTTAAAACGACACCCCTTAATTGCCCAACTGTAATTGGGACAACCGAGACTGCATTTCAATCCAATTTAAATCGAAAGAAAGCAGGACGATACAAAGAAAATATAAAACATATTATATAAAATTGTATAGTCGGCGACACCAGCCAAGTTGTGGAGCTGAAAGAAAGAAAAAAGAACCTCGTCGCGTGGCCAATTTCGAGCTGAAAGTTGCAATGTTTTATTTTAGGAATATATGTACACTGCCGCTCAACTGAATAGGTTCATGATCTCAGAGGAAGTAATTTGTCTATAATTCCTAAACCAGTGAACCGATTTCCATAATTTTTTTTTCTTTAACTCTTGAATCATTTTATAATAAAATGCTGAAGAAGGTTTTTCAAAAACATATTATTTATTCCTTATATAATTTTTCTTCTGAAAGGTTAACGAAATTCATGGTTTTTTTTTGGGTCATCTGAATAGGTTCAACCTAAAACAATTAACATTATTTAGGTAACTAAGGATAATATTCATATTTTTTGATCTTAGCTGATACTTATGAACATTTTTAGAGTACATTTTACTAATTTTAATAAAAAGTGAACTCTCCGTTGTCCGATATAACATCATATACACGACCGGGAAGCGAGCTATACAAATTGTGCAGTATTTGCAGTGAAATGGTTGTCCAGGTTATTTTAATTGCCTTAACTAAAGTTTTTTTGCAAGAAAATTACCTGCCTCCTTCATATATCTTGCGCGATAGCAACCCCCATACGATTTCGATTATATTAAGGTCAGGTGAATATGGGGGCCATTCAAGTAAGTCCACATTTTGAGCCTTAATCCACTCTTTTACCACCCTAGCTGTATGATGGGAGCGTTATCCTGCTGGTAAGACCATTTGATAAAGTGAAAAGTATTTAAAAAATCAGGAAACGCAGCCTTTATGATAGATTTGTAGGTTTCCGCGCTCGTTTTGCAAGTAACAAATTAAAGGTCGCAAGTGCCAAAGACTGATACCGACCCCCACACCAAAATCAATTTAATTTAGAAGCGTAAATCAATAGCTACAACTATTATTATCACGATCTTCGAAAGGAAGAGCATTTCCTTAGCCGTCGACATAGCTGTGAGGGTGGGGTAATGGTGTGGGGGTCGGTATCAGTCTTTGGCACTTGCGACCTTTAATTTGTTACTTGCAAAACGAGCGCGGAAACCTACAAATCTATCATAAAGGCTGCGTTTCCTGATTTTTTAAATACTTTTCACTTTATCAAATGGTCTTACCAGCAGGATAACGCTCCCATCATACAGCTAGGGTGGTAAAAGAGTGGATTAAGGCTCAAAATGTGGACTTACTTGAATGGCCCCCATATTCACCTGACCTTAATATAATCGAAATCGTATGGGGGTTGCTATCGCGCAAGATATATGAAGGAGGCAGGTAATTTTCTTGCAAAAAAACTTTAGTTAAGGCAATTAAAATAACCTGGACAACCATTTCACTGCAAATACTGCACAATTTGTATAGCTCGCTTCCCGGTCGTGTATATGATGTTATATCGGACAACGGAGAGTTCACTTTTTATTAAAATTAGTAAAATGTACTCTAAAAATGTTCATAAGTATCAGCTAAGATCAAAAAATATGAATATTATCCTTAGTTACCTAAATAATGTTAATTGTTTTAGGTTGAACCTATTCAGATGACCCAAAAAAAAACCATGAATTTCGTTAACCTTTCAGAAGAAAAATTATATAAGGAATAAATAATATGTTTTTGAAAAACCTTCTTCAGCATTTTATTATAAAATGATTCAAGAGTTAAAGAAAAAAAATATGGAAATCGGTTCACTGGTTTAGGAATTATAGACAAATTACTTCCTCTGAGATCATGAACCTATTCAGTTGAGCGGCAGTGTATGTGCGCGCACATATAGATTGTTCCACATATGTAAAGCGCACCGAAATGAAGCTCATGTGAATGCACATGCCCATGCAAACACATTTAAGGTGATAATATTAGTGGCTGGGTTTCAAAACTCATAGAAACCGGCATTTTCAAAGGTATCAATTTTTAAATAATAATTGCGATTCAAATTGCAAAAAACTGTGTAACTAAATTAAAATATCGAAAAGGTCAATTACCTCTTCTATTTTAATGTACATATTTGTATAAGTTTTCTATACAGATTCAATTTACATATGTATATCCAGCTACGTTTAGTTCCATTTATAATAATTACAACCAGGTAACCAGTACTATTAGTGTAACCCCAGTTGTTGCTTCTCGTGTGTATGCCGGCGATCTCTTTGTACGTGCTTACACCTTCGTTTTGGCTGACTGAAAGGCCTCCCACTCTTTCGCCGCCGCTCACCCGTCCTTGCTTTTTATATAAATACTCACCCGTACATAAAAATGTCACTCCATGCCCATGCACACACCGACCACACCCTCCCCGTCCGTTAAAAGCGTTCTGTGTGGCGCAATTAACCAAAAACGAATTAAATGAAATACAGGGAAGGAATGCACGCAGCCTTTTTGGCATACATATTTACATACGAGTATGTGCACGTGTGTGTGTGCATACAGCGGATAATGTAACCGGAAGAGAAACTTGTATTTTGGTTATTCAGTCAGAAAGCCTCGAAAAAACTTAGGCAATATCCTTGCAGTTATATTTGGTTATATAAGGTTCATATATCTAACCAATTTACATATAATTTTCATATACTGATTTGAGCAATAATCTCTAATTGCCGTACACCATTAATAAAAAGAATCTATTGTTTAAGTTATAAAAATACATTACGTTACCTAACTCTGTACAAGTGATTGTTGCTTTTGCCATTAGTTCATATAAAATAGATATTTACTGCAACATCAAATAGTGTATATACATAAAATCTATTATTATATATTGACCCTTGTGCACATCAGCGAATATCTACTGTACCGTCAAGAGCATTTACGCCCATGTAACGTTTTCCGTATCTAAACGGGACAATTGTGTGTTATTCGCTTTCAGCTTTTCCACTTGTGCCCCAGTATCTCCCAGCCACAATGACTAAAAAAAAGGAGGGAAACAAACCATGCGACAACACTAACAATAGCGTTATGGCACTCAATCGCGGCAAATGCCGTAGATCAGTCGATCGTCGGTCTAAAAAAAAGAAAAACAAACCCGATGACCACTCCATTATAACCTGCAAACATCCCCGCAAAACGCTCCGCCCTTCAACATCCAATACGAAGTGCGAATTAGCAGCAAAACAGCGAGATAATTAATTAGACGTTTTTTCAAGAGCAAAACAAGTCGTCAGCGTTTCGTAGGGCGAGAAAAAGCAAAATAAACAAACACCAGCGCAAAGCAAAAGTCAAACGAAAACAAAAAACACGCTACACGTAAAACAATAAGTTGGTAAACAGCAGGGGGAGAGAAAATATGATATTTGTCGCACTGTTGTTGAAATAAAAAAGGGTTTAGATGATAGGCAAGTAGCTCTAATAGTTTAACGGCAATGAAATGAATGTTATGAATACATAAAACATAAAATACCGTTTGCATAACATGAACAAACATGAAAAGAAATTTTGTTCGGAAATCGTATGTTTATTTTTAAATACCCACAATTTACTTTTTTAGTATAACCCTTTTTATCAGAAAAGGGTCATGTGTCACGAGCTAGTACTCAAGGCAAATAAATCATCGATAGGTTTTTTTTCCTGTGCACTACACAGATAACTCCAGACCATAAATCATAAAATCGAAGCACCGATGTCGATAACGCTCTCCAGGGCTTAGAGTCTTTTTAGTTCCTGTTAGAACCGAGCGCTGCTTGAATAATTCATGAGTCAGCTGCTTCTGTGAGATATTGTTTCGGGTACAGTGATAACTCTTTCCGGTGGATTGATAGTGCGTAATACGACGTTGCCAATAAACAGGCAAAGATTAGTAAAGAGGAAACCCGATCGATCGTGCGATCATTTGCTTTCGTCAGCCGTCTGGAATTTGGGAAACGTTATTTTTTTTGTTATGTTATTAATTTCGCAAAATTTGATAGCGACAGTGCGTTTCATAAGTATGGGGTTATGTAGGATAATTCAAACAGTAATAAATAATCAATTTACTTAAATATCATATTTTATTCATAAGTAATAACATAAATAAATTGAAAACAAAGATATGGGCCTAAACTTTGTTGCATCATTCAAATGATAACAAATCAACCCTATGATTATTCAAAACAATTGTCCAGTTTTGGGATGGTTTTAAGTAGTTTTGATAACATATTTTTAGGTAATTATAAACCATTGAAATACAAAAGTAGAAACCTATTATTTATATTAAATAAAATATGAGTGAAACCGCTCTATGATTTCGAGACTCGCTGTGCAAACATTCTTTAAATGGAAACTTTAAGTCAAACAAGAACGGAAACTGACTTTGGCAAAGCAAAACTTATATACCCTTTCTTAAAAAAAAATCTTATGTAACAATTTTTTTGGTTTTGTTTCTTTATATCTTTTATATTATAATATAATATAGCATTTAAGGGAATGAGTCATGTACTGCGTTACAAACTATTGCCAAAAATTGAAGTACCCTCCGCAAGGGTATTCAAATACGCTCGCCAGTTCGACCAGGTTTGACAAGATATTCGCTTTTTTGGGGAGAGGAACTGGCTAAAAGAAGTTCTGCTTCTGCTTCCTGATAGAACATGTTCCACCAGTCGCTCTGCGGGCATTAATTATCACCCTCTAAGTAATAGACATCACCGATGTTTGGGGTTATCTCAGGCAGTAGCCATCGAGTCTTTGTCCCCTGCAGTTCGGCGCCTTCCAAATCTAAAAATATATATACACTAACGATCTCCCACCTCGACTCGCGCCGTGATTTTCCAGGGTCCGACCGCTGGGCGTGCTCTTCCTTGGGTTGCTGGGCTATTGGATCTACTGGACGCGCTGCAGCTTCCGGATCGTGCCCACGGACCAGCTGCGCGGCAAGATCAACGTCTGGCTGCAGAGGATCGACGACTGGCGCCACAGCAGCCCCAGCATGTTCTGCCTGGCCAGCAGCGGCTGCCTAGGCACCCTCGCGGTGCTCGGCCACCTCATCTCCGGCTCCACGCTGGTCCTCACCATTTTGGTGGTCTCCGCCCTCGTCTCCACCAAGTACAACTTGAAGCTGCTGAAGATCGAGCACAAGGGTGAGTGGTCCGTGGTCCTCAGGGGATATCACGACTCCTATCAAGATTAGAATACGTTCTCGTTATGCCATCTCAAAATTGAACGAAAAAATCCCAAATACGTTTGAATCTAATAATAATGTTTAGTTACGAAAAATTCTTTTCAGTAATTAGTTCATCTAATGAACTTCTTGCTAAAGTATACTCTGCTGAATGCCAAAATGCATTTTTTCATTTATGATTTGGTGGTCCGACCCATGTAGAAATAACTTTTTCAATAAATAATAATAAATAAAAATGTTAAATATCATTAATATCATAATGAAGGGGTAAAAGTCGAGCAAAATGTATAAATGCTTAACAGCTTCGACGATATGACGACTTTTCTATTCATTTTTTATTATTTCTCCGATTGTTTTTATGGCAGCTATGTGATATAGTCTAATTTTAAAAAAAATTGATTCGAATTTAAAGAGTTGTTAGAAAACTCTATGTATTTGATAATAGATTGTTATGATAAAAAACAACTGTTATCTTTTTTTTTTTAACTTTATATAGGATTTTGTTAAAATTAGCTTTTTTATATAATTGCTACAAAAGTAAATAATATGATGGCAATAGTTTGTAATCCATATAGAATCGGACCATAATAATTGTGAATTCCTTATTGCAGACTTTCAGTGGTCGGAGAAGCTCAACTACAACAATTTGGAGGCCGAGGCGGAGGACGAATTCTTGCCGGACGTGAACGAGTCGAATCTATTCGTGCTGGAGCGGGCCAGCGATGTGGCCACCATCAGTTCGCCCACCGATGCGAATGACGAGGAGGACGACGAGCGCAGCGACGACATACCGTCGGAGCTGCTCATTCCGGACGTGATACCCGAGATCGACGAGCACTCCACCGACGAGGAAGATGAGCTGGCCCCACTTGCGGCCAAAAAGCAGGAGAACCAGCAGGAGCAGCTGGCGAAGGAGAACGACGCCATGAACTTCCGGAAGGGCCACTTCAAGCGCGACTCGTCGCTGTCCACCACGTCCTCCTCGTCCGAGGAGAGCCTGTCCAAGGGGCTGCAGTTCCCCGACCACACCACCGTCGACGCGAGTGGCAACAGCCAGTTGCGTCAGATAACCGCGGGAGCGGATCCCGCCGGCGATCTTATGGCCCTGGCCGTGAAAACTCAGGCCCAGGCGCTCCTGGCCAACAGCGGGAAGCTCCTGCCCAGCCTCGTATCTGGCCTGGTGCAGTGGGGGGCAGGTGGTGCTGCCGCAGCCATATCCGGGGAGATGCCACCGATGGCAGTCGAGATCGCGAGCAGCAGCGCATTGTCACCGCCTTGGACTCGTCGGACGAGAGCGACTTTGAGATACTCGAAACGGATGACTTCAAGTAAGGATTGGATCGAATCGCAGATCGTTCCGATTCGTCGTATTATAAAGCTAAATCTTAACATACGAGTACATACATATGCATACAGAACACAGAACACAACAAGCCGACAGACAAAGAACACAGACAACGCGGACGGATGGAACGGTTATATTTTCCCTGGTGGAGATCAGTTATATATTTTGCTATACTGTGCTATACACTAGAGATCGGTCTGCTATATATATATATACATACCTATATACTAAACTTAACACCCAAAACTACCCTATAGTTAAGCCAAAAATGTTTTCCTTTTTCGTTTTGTTTCTATTGCTTTGTACATTATTGTGTTTATGATCCTGACACTTATTACTATTTTACTTTATGACCTTAGTTTGTATTTGCCCTCTTGTGTTTGTACACTGACAAAAACGGAAACAACAATGAGCGACGGCATGCTGCAACATGTACATATGTATACTTCAAATACACTCGCCTATATGTATGGTTTATAAAGATGTCGCTGTGAGGGCGTTGAGCTACTTAATTTGAATCCAAATCAAAAGCCTTAAGCAGATGATGAAGTCGAGAAATCGAGAAAATGTAATCAAGAAAACAAACGAAAATATGAAGAAATCTGGTTCGGTGCTATCTAGAAACCCATTCGCCATATGACGTGCACAAATCATATAAACAAAATACAACCAATTTATGGAAATTAGAAGACGCTATCGTTTTGCTGGCGAATTTTGTCGCTGGCCATCATCGTACGTTGTAAAACATAACTGAAACATGAAATGAAGTAACACATTTTTTTTGTATTCTAATTATTATTTGCGCTATATATTTTAAGTTGTAATTTAATTTGCGAAACAAAACTAAATGTGATTTTGTAAAAACAAAAGAAACTGAAATAAAAATCAAAAAGACCTCGAACTGCGGTGTCGATTGTTGTCAACTGGTCAACGGCTGGTATTCGGTTTCTGATGCGGCTTCCAGTTTATCCTCTGCCTGCTCTATCTTTTGGTCCTGATCCTGCTCCGAAAGCTGCACCTCCTGCTCCTTTCCGTTGGAGCCTTTCGCTTTGGCTCCCTTACGCATGGGTATTGTATTTAAAATGGCAGAGGTCCAATCCTGACCAGCAGCCACCTTGGTCAGCAGCTCAAAGACTGAAGTGATGGGATATATTAGTAAATGATTTAAATGAATCTGGGCATTGGTTTAATAATAAAATAGCCCTATTCCTATCTATGCCGATAGAAACTTGTAGACGTTTTAAGGTATAACTAAGCAATTGAGGGTTATATCAAGTCTGTTTCTTTAAAGCAGAGGATATTACAGTCTCAGTCCGATATTGGAATGCAGCAGCGCTAGGTGAGTCGATGTGGACCTCTCTACTTCCTGGTGCTATTCAGTTAAGATCGAATCGGATGACTATATCATACAGCTACTAACGGAAAAACAACTTTCATACCTTTAAGCTTTTAATATATCATATTTTTGTGTTTTCCTTTACTGCGTTGCTACTACCGAATTAAGTTGCAATATCCTCTGCAAGGGTATTCAAATCTAACGGAGCAAAAACGAAACAAGAGCGACTGCCACTCACCGTGGTAGGTACTGAGCACTGCCCTGGTCTTCATGTCCACGTGCTCGCTGAGCGGCAGGCGGGCGGTGGCCAGGCCCGCCTCCGTGGCTCTCGAGTGGCACAGACCCTTAAAGTGATTGTGGTCCACAAGGCCCCCGATTACATAGGTGCAGCCGGGATGCAGCTTGTCCAGAACCCGGTCCGACTCGCAGGTTAGGTACACCAGTTGGCTGTGGTCGAATACGTCGGCGTGCCCGCGGTCGAAGTGGTACTCCACGTGCCAGTTTTCCCAGCCGTCGTTCTTCTTGAACGACTCGTGGATGTGTCCATTCCGCCGGATGCCCGTGAAGTGCAGCTTACCGGGCTGCGCACTGCGCCGGTTGATCGTGTAGATCCGGAGGCACTGCTTAACGCACTTGGCGATGTCCCGCTCCTGCATCAGATCGTCGTAGTCCAAGTCAATGGCCACGCACAGCCCGGACTGTCCGCCCTCAGCGGCCTGCCGCTTCTTCAGCTCCTTGCGGGAAGGACCCGACCGGATGGGCAGGCCCTGCTCCTTGGCCTCCCGGCGCTTCTGCTTCTTCTTCTCACGCTCCCGTTCGCGCCGCAATTTGCGGAGCTCCGCGTACTCGGCAAGCTTTCGCTGCTTCTTCAGCTGGTTCTTGCTCTGTGGAGTTCCGGGCGTGGTGCCCGGGCAATTGGTCAGGCTGAGCACCGCCGCAGGCACGGGCTCGGGCGCCTGTTCCGCCGGATCCATGGGCTAAGACACTTAAAGCAGGTACTGTGTTTCGTTCTCAGCAGAAGCCCGTCTTGCGCTTTGCAGGCACTGGAGTATTGAAAAACCGAATTTGAATGGGAAAGTTCAGCATCCAATAAACAGCTGATATGACAGTGCTGTCCGCCTGCTGCGTAAAACACGCGTGCAACGAGTTACATAGCTATTAAAGCTAAATTTAGCTAGGGAGTTCCTGTTAAATTCCAATTCATAAATGTTGATAGTAAAACTTATCAGTATTTCAATTAAGGTTTTGCCAACATTTTTTAAGGCCTCATGATAGGTAAACGAGGCATCTTCGAAGTAAACATTATTATTTAGAAAAAAACATTTTTAAGATTAGGGTTAAGGTTGGCGAATGACCCCTATGACATAAATTATTCAACTTGAAAAGATGGCCAGATGTGGCATTTCCTAGCATTCTCAATAAATCTCGAATTAAATGAAAACAATAACGGCAAAAAGTCATGCAAATATTTCAGAAATTTGAGATTAGAAGGTGAAGTTGCAGTGCCAAAAATCAAATTTCGTCACATCAAACCAGCAATGCCAGGGCTGCCGAATAAACAGAGCTTTTTCAATAACGCTTATCGGTTATCGGCAACCCATCAGCAGGCCAGGTGAAATCAGGAGATATTTATTCAACATTTAGCCGGCTCTACGTGGAAATGTACGTGTGAAATCGGCGATCAGAGAAGCAAGCTAATCAACTGAGGCCTCTGGCTCCTATATCTGACGCAAGTGACCCGGAATCCCCGGCGGGAACAGTACCTGCGTTTAAGATAAGTTTCCTGTAGAAGATTAGCCAACATTTCACCGATCATGGCAACGGTGGCCCTGCTTTCGCGGCAGCGTCTGCTCGCTTGCTCCTTGAGGCTATACAGCGGTGTCCACTCCAGGTGCCTAACAGTGATCCCCAGAACCACGAGTTCCACAAGCGACTCCAGGCCTTTTGCAAACCGCCAAAGCCGGCTCCTGCCCGCCGTTACCACCCGCTTTAACCACAAATCGGCAGACCCGACGGCGGCGACTGCTTCGCCCTCCACGGTGAACAGCTCTCCCAGCGATAAGGATGCGAAGCCGACCACCAGCACCTCGTCCAGCGATCTCTTCGGCGAGGCAGCCAACATGGGCCTGTTCGCCAAGTTCAAGCACATGTACAAACAGTACTGGTACGTGCTCATCCCGGTGCATGTCCTGACCTCGGTGGGATGGTTTGGCGGCTTCTACTACCTGTCCAAGAGGTGGGTATTCGAGCCCAGTTGCTTTTGCAATGAAGTCCAATTCATTTTTCCTTCCTTGCAGTGGCGTCGATGTGCCCGCTCTGTTGCAGTACATTCACCTAAGCGAGAACATTATCGAGAAGGTGCAGGGCTCTGATATGGGCCACTATGCCATCGCCTATCTCTGCTACAAGGTGGCCACGCCCCTGCGCTACGCCCTCACTTTGGGTAAGCTCCCTCCATTTAGCGTTAAGAGCATCATTGTTTCGAGAAGATTGGGAAATTGTGTGTTTTATAGTAATTCCTACTGTTACTTTTGTGCAGTAGGCACTTGTATTGTTCCTTTTCTTTTTCAAAAGCTAATTCTAGCCAAAATAATTAACTACATTTTATTTTCAGGCTGTACCACTGTGTCCATCAAGTACCTGGTGCAGCACGGCTACATCAAACCCATGCCCACAAAGAGCGAGCTGATAAAGATGTACGAGGACAAGAAGGCAACGCGGGCCAGCGCCAAGGCGGATAAGGCCGAGAAGGACGAGAGAAAATGATCCTCGGCCGCGGGCGACACCACTATCTCGGCGGTGTCGTCGCCGTTGCCACAGTCACAATATCCCAAACCGCCGCCATCGCTGCTGCCATTGTCGATGCCCCAAAGTATCAGCGATCAGCAGCGACCGGCCGCCGATGACCGGCGTGCAGTTGACCTGTTGTCTTTTTTGTTTAACTGCCGCCGCTCTTGCTGGCACTGGTGCTCAACGAACCTAACTCATGTCCGGAATCACAGTCGATCGCAAAAGCAGCAGCCGCCGCACTAAGTTGCCGATGCAGATACGTCCAAATTCACACTTAAAACCAACAATCCCCACCCATCCCACGGAATCCGATTCAGATACACCCTTGGAGTTGCATGTGTAATTTGCTTATAGTTTCTGTTGCAGTTCAAAAACCGCTGGACATCGTTAATAAAAACCAACACATAAATCACGGAGAAACACGAAACAAATACCTGCAGGACCTGGAGTTCAGTAGTAGTTTGTATAGATATATTTTTTAAATGTAAGAAAGTTGTCGCAAAACAATAATAACTTAACTTTATTAAATTTAAAATCAAATAAAAAGAAGAGGCCGCTTCAAGGACGTAACCAAAGTCATTTGAACGGGGGCCCAAATTGTTGACAAAAAATCAAATGTTTTAGTCTGGCTCTTTTTTAAACATAAAACAAAAATAAACTAAAGCAAAGTTATGACAATCTATAACTGGACGACTGCATTAAAATCTGCATTGGAGAGATCTGAAAAATAATAGAAAAGAATATATTCTGTTTCTGTATTGTGAAACTTAAAATCTTGGCTAAGGAAATGAGGTCGAAATACTCCCTGCAAGGGCTTTATTATCTGTGGTTTTAAAAAGACTTTAAATATTGTTAGGGAAAGAATTTCAGCTAGTCGTTTTAGAAAGCGATACCTTTAAGATGGTCAAGTTGATAAATATATCTGCGAATAAGAAAAGGCGGAAACATACATACGATTTTCAATTTTATTTTTGCATTTATTTTTCGTTTTTTTTTCTCAGTGTTTTTTTGTTTCTTTTATTATGTTTTTCTTTAACGTTAGTAAAATATCCAACAACTATAATTGTAACTAATAGTTAAGCCAGAAAAAAATATAGGAGTTGCTTCTTTTCATTTACAAATAAATAAATGTGTCTTGTTTATTTTTATTATTCTTTTATCAAAATGTTGGTGCAGTGAAGGCGTGGTTGTAGTTTTCAGTAGCTGCTTTTGGATTTGCCTGAAACAAGTTACAAACTGTACACATCCTCTTTCGCAGAGTGTAGAAGTGAGTGTAGGGGTGTTTAAATATCATTTACATAAATACAATAAATAAATAAATTACATAATATATATTATATATGTAGGTATAAAAACAAAATAGGCAACAAAGATATATAGCAAATTTAAGAGGGATTGCTGGGGCTGGTGGAAAAACGCCCGACTTAAACTACAAAATACGCACAAAATAAACAAATGAAAACAAAGTTTCATACATAACTCTTCTTTTTTGAGACTAGTTTTTGGCGATTTTGGCAAGCCAAAAAAAAAAAACGCAAAAATGTCTAATTTTAAACGAACTTCGTTAAGGTCCTTTGTGCCCTTGGGGAATTCCCGGCTTCTGGGTTGGTTGGTGTCTTGTCTGGGAATTCCCTTTTCACGGGTTGTAATGTTTGGTTGGTTGGTTGGTATCTTGGCTAAAGGATAACAATGTTTTTTGGTGTTGTTGCTGCTGATCGCTTCCTCTTTTTAATTTTTAAATTTTACTACTAGCATTTATCATAAGTACGTTTTCACAATGCAGATTTCAGCTTCGCTTCGCGTCCCCCGTTCATTTAATTAATTAATAAATTAATATTACTCTTTTTAAGTTGCTAAAAAGGCATTTTTTAGCTAGTGTGAATTTTGTGGTGCGATTGCGTTTGTTTTGTTTTCATCGTCTTAAGTTTGAAGTATCCATTGTGGGTTTGTTTGTTTGTTTTGTTTTCTGTTATTTTTTTATGAAAAATATTCCACCAGACGAATTTGAAATATATATTTAGTTTTCATTCCCGCGTTTCATTTTGTTTGTTTATTTTTTACACACAACCACAGAACACTGTCCTTCGGCAAACCAATAGAGTAAGAGGGGCCGATGCATCGCACATTTCAAAGAGAGAATTATTGAAACATTTATCGTTGCTGCCGCTGATTGCTTTGTTTATCCTTACAAAAGTATATCCTTCCACTAACTAGTATAAGTATCTCTTGCGTTTATCCTTGGATCTGAGGTTTTTTGGTTTGCCGAAAGTTGTTAGATTCATTGTTTTTCGTCTTTTTTTTTTTTTTGTTTTTTTTTTTTATGTGTAGCCATCGAAGTTCGTTTTTAATATGTACATTCATCTGTTTTTGTATGCACTGTTGCTCCGTTTTTGTTTTGGTTTCTGCTTTAAGTTAGGAGTTAGTTTTGTTTTGCATTTAAGTTGAGTTAAATTAAGTAAATTTGTTTGGATGCAATTCTACGAAGCGTTCCTAAGAGTTCGTTTGCAGGTTGTCCCAGGTCCCCTCGGTCTCGTCCCGCTCCCATAGTCGTGTTGGTTATTGGTGTCCATCTCGATCTGAGAAGTGCGCCGGAACTCCAGGAGCGCTGGCGTCCCCGACACTGCGCACCTTACGGTTGTCGTGGAGCACGGATTGGATTGGGCCTTACGCACGCTCGTAGAAAAGTATATAGGCACTGGATGAAACGAGATGGTTTTCTGACAAGGCATCGCTGACGCTGAAAGTGAAGAAGGTAAATAAAATAGGATCTCAACGAGTTTGGAAATCAAAGCTTGAAAGCAGCAAACTGACTTCAGCTTTAGGTGCATCAATGAGAAGGATATTAGACTTACATATTATCATTGAACTCGTGCCACTTGCGGGAGACGGGGTGCTTGCAGAGGGCCACGTAATGACCGCCAGCCGTTGAGCCTTCCGAGCAGACAAATATTTGCATAAATACTTTCACAGAATTGTAAATGTGTTCGGAACTCACCCATATGATTGGATATCGCATAGAGTGAGTAATGCACATTCGAGTTGGAGTTGGCGCCATAGGAGCCCATGTTGAGCTCGCTGTCCGATGTGGGGAACTCAACGATGTTGGACAGCTTGCTCCAGCGTGTCTCCGAAAAGCGCTTTAGGTCTGTAAGAGATTCGTTTCCATTAGTTCTGGCCAACAATATATTAGATTAGAGGATTAGAGGTAAAAATGGATGCGAGACTTACGAATAACCAGGTATTTGGGGAAACGCTGAATGGTGAAGCTCTTAGTGCATTTCCGCCGCGTCTTGCACTTGGCGCACGTGGGCATTTCGTCGCCGTCGAGGACTTCCTCGCGGATAAAGAGGTCGAGACAGGCCTCCAACTTGCAGCGGGACGAGGACGGCAGCGGTACGCTCAGATCCCAAAACGGGTCGAAGGTGACGCTGGTGTTGCCGCAGGTGGTGCACTTCAGCGTGCTCTTCAGCTGGCCCACGAAGAGGTCGCGCACCAGCGAGTTCTCGTGCCGCGTGTACCACTCCCAGGTGAGGTCCGCCTTCTTATTGTCACTGCGGAGCAAGAGCAAGCATGTGTCGGATGAGCGGAGAGCAATTGAAAGTTATTCGACCTGTGCACTCACCTGAGATTATCGTCAATGTTGAGCGTCTCACCCTTGACGCCCGAGTTGAGGGCCGAGTGCAGTGAGTCGAGGAAGAAGCGCAGGAACTCCTGCGCGTCCTGTTGGTTGTAGTCGCTGTACATGCGGTGCTTGGTGGAGAAGGCGCGCTTCAGCTCCATGGGCGTCACCGTGTGCACATTTGATGTCCACATCTCCTGGATGAGTTTGGCAAATTCTGTCAATCAGAAGGGAAGGAGGCATTAGGGGGAAAGCCACGCACAACGAACATCGCTTGGAGCTCAGCTCACCGTGGAGTATCTGCTGATCCTTGGTGGAGGAAGAGCGGGAGCCGTGGTGCGACCGCAGGAAGCGGGTCAACTCCTGGGTGTGGCTCAGGCACTGGATGACCGAGTTCATGAAACAGGTGTTCCCGATGTTTCGCAGACCGCACAGACCTGCGGATGGGCATTTCAGAGAGAGGATTCGGATTAATTTCAATAGACAGAGGGGCAGGCAAGGCCGTGGTCACTACTCCCCAATTGGGACACGTGCGCGTGCATTCGCTATCGGTAGGTAGGATCTACCATCCCCGCCCGATCCTCAGCCGACTGTAGCCACCTCTGCAACGTCCCCACGCTCCGTGGTGCTGGTGTTGCCTCAGTTTTTGATTTTAGTTTACTGTACTCTAAGCTTACACGGGGAATTTCAATAGACTTTTCGAGAAATGGGAACGATGTTCGATAACAGGTGTTTCTGGCTACACTTTTGGTTTTGCTACTTTTCATTTTGACGAATCCAACAAATGAAAAGTATTACCTTCATTGATTGGCAACCAAACAGCTAATAACCTTTACAAAAAATCACTGACCAATTTAAGCTAAAGTTAATTCCAAGAAGTGTGCAGAAAACGGTTTAACTTAGCTATGTAGTACATCCTCTTCCCCATTCTGTACATGATTCCGGCGTGGATCTAACGTACCTTCCGACTTCTCGTTCCGCGACGAGGAGGCGCTCTTGTAGCCGTCATCCGAGTTGTGCTTCAGGGACGACGAGTTGAGGGCGGAGGAGGAGCTGGCGCTGCTGCGGCTGGTGCCGCTATCCCGGTCCCAGTAGCGACTAGACGTGGGCGTCATGGGCGGCAGGACGCCCCTGGCACTGCTGCTGCTGCCAGTGCCGCTCCTCGCCGCCGTCTGTGCAACAGAGAAAATATCACACATGAGTATCTTTCGCAACTACACGGAGGTTCCCGCACCCAAATGGCAACCTGGCGATTGGTTTACAGTGAGGAGAGGTCTTTCAAGTGGTATCTACAGTAGTTTGTGGGCATACAACGTTTTTCCAAGAGAACAACTAAACTTACGCAAAACGCATCAACGAAAACATTGTACACCCACATTAACAACATTAACAATGCACAGGAATTAGGAATCAACTTTGCAAATTCGATGCTCTCCCTTCACTTTCACCCTCGACAGGTGCCCATTGGCTTGGGACAGAAGATTAATGGTTAGTTCGTAGGTAAAGCTAAGTTAGTAAATCAAAGCAACTAGCAATCAAACGGTTAGAGTTAAAGGAAGGAAACAAAAGTAAGTCGAAGTTAGTTGAAGTTGAAGTGGGAGTTGAAGTTGAGGTGTTCTTGTGTGTGTTTCATAATGCGGATGATGGATGGAGAGTGAGAAGAGACAACGACAGCGACAGCGACAGCGAAAGGAGACCAGCATGCACGTCGGTAGCTAAATCAAACAAACGATAGACGATCAGGTTAAGGTTAAGGTTAGGGTTAAGGTTAAGGTTAAGGTCAAGGTTAAGGTTAAGGTTAAGGTTAAGGTTAAGGTAAGGTAAAGGTAAGGTTAAGGTAAGGTAAGGTAAGGAGGGTAAGGTAACAAAGGAACACAGTGTGCGGGATGGATCCAAAAGATGAAGATGGAGTAATTCAAATATACGCTCTAGCTACGAGTTGGGTCGCAAATTCAGCTGCTGCTCTCGCCAAGTGCAAGAATTGTCATATATCATAATCGGAATATATAAAGTACTATACGATACGAGTATTTATATAAGAAGAAAACGGAATGGAGACAGTAAATAAAACTAAACTGAACTGATCGGTGACCTGGCCTAGGACCGACTTACACTATCGCTAGCGGAGCTTGAGGCTGAGGCTGAGGCTGTGGCGGTGACTGTGGCGGTGACTGTGGCTGTGGCTGTGGCTGTGCCTGTGGCTGTGGAGACGGAAGACGTCGCTGGTGTGGCCGATGCACTGGCTACAACACCAGAGGTTGCTGCTGCTGCGGCGGCTGCTGCATCGTTGTTTACCTTGGAGGTCATGGAGGCCAGGCCATCGCACTCGCTCGGCGGCCGGCTGCTGCTGTGGGCTCCTCTTACCTTGCTGATGGGCGAGACCACTGCGGTGGCGGTGCCTCCGCCAATCGGGCCCCTCAGCGCAGATGATGACGTCGCTGCCGCAGTCGCCGGCGTGCTAACACTATTCATGGTGGCCGTCGTCCTGTACGCTGCCCTGGTCAGGGAACTGCTGTAGCCGGCCGCCACGCGGATGTTGTCCAGGTCGCTGCTGTAGCGCTGCTGCAGGTTGCCACTGCTGCCGCCTCCCTGCGACGCGTTCCTGCCTCGGTCCGTACCGCCACCGGCACCAGCAACGGACCCGGATCCGGATCCAGATCCGACTCCAGCTGCGGCTCCTGCTCCCGATCCCAATCCCGATCCCGCACCTGAGCCACTCCCAGGAGCTGTTACCACGCCGGAGCCGGAGCCGACGCCCGTCTGCCTCTTCTGGCCACTGAGACTGTTGAACTTCTCGATGGAGGCCTTGATGCTCAGCGAGTCGATGCCGTACTTCCTGGCGTTGCTGCTGCCGCTGTTCCGGCTCTCCGATCTCCGGTCTCCGACCTCGCCGTTGGTCTGCCGGTAGCCGCCGCCGCTGAACTTCTCGTAGCTGGCCGCGAAGTTCGAGTGCGCCGAGGCAATGATGGTGGACTTGGGTCGCGGATAGCGGTGGCTGCCCACCTTCGAGCCGCCCGGCTGCTCCTGCTGCTGGTGCTGCGCCTGAGAGGTGCGCTGCTGCCGCAGCTGCAGCGGCGGGGTGATGGGCTTAAAGTAGCATATGCTCGACTTGGTGGTGGCTCCCCCTGCGGCCGATGCCCCTCCGGCTGGACCTCCGGGGCCACCGGTTGCCGGCGGGTCGTCGCTGTCGATGTAGCTTATGTCGTCGTGCTGCTGTTGCTGTTGCTGCTGCTGCTGGCGGTGCATGTTGTTGTTGCCGCCGCCGTTGTTCAGGTTGCTGCTGCTGCCGGCGCTGTTGTTGTTGTTGTTGGTTGTGGTGGCGTGGCCATTCGTCATAGCTGCGGCTGTTTGGTTGTTGTTGAGCGGCTTCAGCTTGCCGAAGCTCCTGGTAGACGTGGAAGTTGTGGCCGTTCCCGCTGCTCCTGCCGTGGAGCGAGCACTGTACTTGAGAACTCCGTTGCCGGTGGCGTTCCTGCCGCTGCTGCTGCTGCTGTTGCTGTTGCTGCTGGTGGTGTTGTTGATGGTGGTGCTACTGCTGCTGGTGGTCGCTTGCTGATTGCCATTGAACATGGGCGCGCGTCGCATATCAACCAGCGTTGGTGCCCGGCTCCCGCTGTGGCCGTTGTGGCTGTTGTGGTTGTTGTTCCTCGAGTCCTCCCCGGCTCGACTCCGCTGGTGGCCCTGGGACGCGGTCGTCTTCACCTTGCTGGCGGCCACCAGGGCGTGGGCCAACTCGCACTCGGCCTTGAGGAACGTGGGGTCCTTGTAGCTGGACACTAGGAAGTAGCGCTCATTGGCGGCTCGCACCGGATTCGATTGGCTGCTCGTCGTGGCCGCCGCCGGCGTGGAGCGGGCCTGTGTAGCTACTCCGCCGCCTCCGCCGTATTTGGCTGCCGCCAGGGCGGCGTGGGTCTTGCCCACAGCCACCGAGCCCCCAGGAACTGTCGAACTGTGCTTGCCCTGCACCGGGTTCTTGAGGCGAGGGGCAAGACTGCCGGCTCCCCGTCCCGATAGCGATGATGTGGCGTTTCCTGCGTTTCCTCCCGGCGCCGACAGCACCGAAGCAGCACTGTGTTCCGATGTGGCTACTACCGATGATACTGCTCTCGTTGCTGGCTGCGATTTGGTCTTCTTAATGTCTAACATCATTCGACGGATGGTCGCCGCACGCTTCTTCTCTCGCTGCCGCAGTTGCTCCTCTTCTTGCGATTGTGGTTTTCCAGCGTTTATTTTTGTTGCCTGCCTACGGTTGAGTGGATACGAGATTTTGTGTTGTGTTTGTTTGCTTTTTCCTCGCCGCCTGCCAGGAATAAACTACTCTCGACCAACCGGGTGATCGTAATCGTGATCCTGTCCTGCTTCGCACCTGCTTCACGACGCACTCTCTATCCTAAGCAAATGGGTTTTGGGTGATTTGATTTGATGATGATTTCTTTGGGGGCTTTGGTTTGGTTTGTTTTAGTTTTAGTTATAGTTTTAGGTTTAGTTGGGAGTATTGTTAGTTAGCCTGCCGTTCGATGCGACTTGAACACTCGCTTTAAAGTTTAGTTTAAGTTAGAAGGGTAGCAATCTGCAAGAGTTTAGCTAAAAATACATAGAAATGTAAACTTGATTAAATGATGATCGGCTTTAGCTGGCTTTTGCTTGCTAGCTGACGAACACACAGAGGGTGGAATAAAATGAGAGGCGTAGTGGTCTGGTCTGGTCAGGTCAGGTCAGGGGTCAGGTCAAGGTCAATGGTTAATAATGGGGTGGGGGGTTAATGGGTTCTTATTTTTTCGCACAGGCCATATTATTGTATTGGGTTGGTTGGTTTTGGTTGTTTGGTTGGTTGGTTGGTTGTGGCACATGCAATTAGTTTGGTTTTCGTTTTGCGAGGGGCAGCGCTTCTGTTCTCCGTCCAGCTTCTGGCCAACATTTTTACCTTGCTGCTGTCGTTTAGCTTAAAAGTGGCCGAGGTGCTCACATCAGCACTGTCCGCACTTTCCTGCCCCACACCAGCATCATCGGTGGTGTCCTGATTTCGTTCGTAAATGGCGTTTCTTTTGGGCGAGGTCGAGAGCAGCGAAAGACCGTTCAGCTTGGCCTCCAGCCCTCCTGCTCCTCCTCCTCCATTCGATTCGCCCGCCTTGTGGCCATTTGTGGTTGATAATGATTGTGTGGTTGCTGGGGCTGGTGGTGGTGGTGGCGGCGGCGGCGGCGGTGGAGCAGCTGCTGCAGCTACTGGCTCCTCCACCTGGCTGCGCCGCGTGCGATTGCTGCGGAGTGTGAAGGTGGCCGTGGGCACGTCGCCGCTGCTGCTGCTGCTGTTTATCGAGTACTTGCCGGATCCCAGCCTTCCCGTGGAGCCCGTGGAGGCGTCCCCGCCCGCATCGCTGCTGTTGCTGTAGAGGCGGCTGTAGCGACTGCTGCCGCTCCGCGGCCTCTCCAGGGTCACCGTGCAGGTGGGCGTCGCCTCCTTGTTGCTGCCGCCGTTCTCCAGGTCCGCCGCCTCAGAGTGCCCCGACCTGGAACGTGACAGTTCACAGTTGGGTTTATAGTTGGCCGGGCTGTACTTTTCGTATATGTCCAGTCCGGAGGTGGCCACCAGACGGGCCAGCGATGGGGATGAGCTCGAGCTGGACAGCCGCTTGCTGCCATCGCTTTGGGCCTCTCTGCTGCTGCCGCTGCCGCTGCTGGTGATGCTGTTGTGGCCACCACTTCCTCCGCTGATCGGCGGCTTCTTGGCGGACTCTTGGCCGCGCCGCAGGCCGTAGTCCTCCCTCTTGGCGGATCCGCTCGAGCTATCGCCGTTGGTTGCGATCTTGGAGGCCGACTTGCGCGGTAACTTTGGTTTTTTGGTTTCGGTTTCGGTTTGGTTGGATTTTCGATTTGGAACAGTTTGACGAGTGTTTTTTGGCGAAACATTTACAGGTGTCAATGAATTGGTGGTGGTGGTGGTGGTTTTTTTTTGTTTTTGATTTGGAGTGACGGTGGGCGGTTACGTTTAACGGTAACGGTAAACGGTAACGGGAAACGGCAACGACAAAACATGTTTCATGTTCATGTTTCGAATGTCAAAAAGTTTATAACAAAAACAAAATGTAAAGAAAAGAAACATCAATGATATGGTCAATGGCTGGATTGTACACAAATGATCGAAATAATAATTATATAGATGAGGGACAAAGAAATGCGTCAGTGGCCTAATAAATAAATAATTGCACTCAACTCATTTATCTAGATATAAACATATTAACAATAATATCTATATCTCTGTCGTTATTTGAACAAATGTATTGATAAACTGTGTATTTAAAATTCAAAATCTAAGGCCAATATATCACTTAATATTTAATAACTTTATGAAACTAAATGTTAAATCACATAACATGTTTTTTTGACCTTATTTTCTTTAAGAAAGACTCTTATGTACATACAAAAGCTGCGTATTTCGATAACAGGATATAATACGCTGGATTTCAGAACCAAAATGACGTTCAAAACCAAACTTTTTCGATTTAGTTGACTAATCTGCGTCAAATTTTCGTGAATTATCTTTAGAACGCTTGAAAATACCTCGTTTTGGATTGCACTTTTTTGTAACAAATTGTGCGTCTGAAAATAGTAATTAGCGCACTAATAGAACTTTCCGCACGTATGACTTTTTGTCAACAAAACGACAACGAACAACGAGAGCGACCCACCTACATAATTTTGGATGCCAGATGTTAACAGAATGTTGTGACTAAAAGTGCGAAATGTCAAGGGGAGGCGTCTCCCGAATGTTTTGTCTTGCCTTCCTCCTACCAAAGAAAAAGAAAAAAAAAACAACAAGTGAAGTAAACTTCACCATGTGGTGTTCTCTGGGGCACGCACACCCGCGCAAACACACGCACAACCGCACACAGACAGCGATAGCCCCATTGCATTAACCTTATTGCGAATTCTTTGGGGCGGCTGAGGAGGGGCAGCGGATGACACAATTGTTGGTGTTGTGGCCTTTTGTCGTTACATTCCCGTTGTTTTAGTTGCTGGCATTGGGTTGTTGTTTTTTTTGTTATTGGATCTGTGCCAACAAGTGGTTCGCAGCTCGAGTCAGTTCAGCTCTGTTCACACACACGCATTCCATTCCTGGGACCATGGGTGTGAATCCAACTGTACTTGTGACCGTAAATGTGACTGCGACTGTGACTGTGATTGTAACTGTGCCTGGGCAATGACGCATCTGGCTATGTTTGCAGGGGCGCAGCACACAGAAAACAATTTGCATGCCAAAACACAATCACTTTTGATATTTGTATATCAATTTCCGCCAGATACAAGCGCTAATCAATTTCTTGATTCAATTAAAAGTTTAAAAAATTTACAAATCAACACCAAAGTTTCAAGGTTATGTCTTTATCACTTGACAGGTAATAATTGCGTACACAACACATATATTACATATTACCATTGATTCGTATAATTTTTTAATTTTTATTAAGCCTATCAAAATTTAAAAAATATTAATAGATAGCATATCGATTTAAGTTTGGTTACACTGATTGCTACCTTATAAATTTTTCATTCATGAAAAAAGCTATCCCGTCCAGATCGGTAAAAAAGTAAACGAGGCAGATCGGATAGATTAATATTAATATTATAGACCAGATCCATATCATAACAACCGCTCATCTATGGCAGCATCAGTTTTGCTTTGGTCGACTGTCCATATAACCAAGTGGATCTTGGGATCACATAAAATCTGGTATTCTGAATTCGGTTTATCAATTTTTAGGGAACCTTTATTTATTTTTGAAGGTCAACACGGAAGCAATTAAATTAATCGATAAGCAAAGTGATTTTCCTCAAAAGTGTTCACTTGATAATGTGAACAGTCGAAAAAAGAAAATAAGCTTTCCTTGCGCTCTTCTCCTTGCTAAATGAGCAAGTATTCCTCCTTCCTTAAAATTCCAAAACTGTTTAGGTAGCGATCACTGTATCGGTGTCCGTTATCGCATAGTCCCTATGTTTGCCGACATAACTATACACACTTTTTATCTATTTGCATAGTGTGTGTGGGTATGTGCCTTTTTATGAGGGGTTGCAGGTGTGGGTGGTTGAATGTGAATTGTGTTGTTGCAGTGATAATATCCAACATAAACAACACAAAACAAAATAATCAGCAAAACGAAAGAGCCAAAATGAAATGAACAAACAAACTATAGAAAGGGCTAAAATAACGCTGAACGAGGTGGAATGTTCGGCGGGATGGTGACGAATGCCTTCGGATTTGGCGGGCGGGACGGGTCTGGTTTGGGGAAAAGATCACCACAAACCGGGACGTGGTGGTTGAACAAACCGTGAGCCGTGAGTGAGTGTTGTCTGTTGTTGGGGTTTATTTTCGGAATCGAGTGCAATTAACCGAAAGCGGGAATATTTTAACTGAATTAGCTGATAATACAATCAAACGATTTACGAAGCAGATGCCAATGAAAGCTCTAGAAATGGCACAGGATATTATGGTCTATCTCACCAGCTTTGCGAGCCTTTTAAGTATGCCGTCTACATGTTTTTTTAAATGAAATATTACATTTCTGGCTAATTTATAAAGTTCTGACCTAATTATTACAATTTCGATTTTTTAAGTTCGGTACCATATTTGTGTTGACCTATAATGCCCAACATTAAAACAGATATAGCCATCTTAATACGTTTTATGTTTCCTTACAAACATTTTGTAATGACAGCAATCAAAACTAACTTGATTCCCTTCACGAACATAATGTTTTTCGGCTCTTGCTGGTCGATGAAACCTTTATGAGTGAAATGGGACTTCTCAAAATATGACGATACATAACGCAAGATGATTTGGGGGATTGGGTAGTGAGTAGAGTTATACCAAGGGCCCAGCATACGGGATACTTAATCGTACAGAGATTTAACTGAAAACCGAGAGGTCAGCCACCAAACTTAAGAGTAATCGACCGTAATCGAGGATGGGTGTATCGTAAGTCAAGGTTGTTCTTATAAAGTAGTGCAACTCACTCCGTATCGGCTGTACGTAGGTGAATCATAGCTGGAGCCGCTCAGATAAGAGGAGGTGGTGCGATAGGCGGACGAACTGCTGCCGGAACCGCCGCTCAGATACGACGACGAGGTGGACCCAAGGCTGCTCCTTTGCAGGCTGGAGCGCGGCGCATACGAAGAGCTGGCGGAGCCGCTGCTGGCCGAGTACGTCGAGTACGAGCTGGGGTAGTAGCTGCTGCCGTAGCCCGAGGACGAGTTAGAGCCGCCAGAGGAGTTGGGCAGCCACTTGGACAGGCTGCTGCCGCGGTCGTAGCTGCCCGAGTAGCGGGAATAACCGTTCGTGGTGGCGCCTCCGCTGGAACGGTCCACCGCACCACTACCAACGGTGGTGCTGGAGCTGCTGAGGAGGTGGCTGCTGCTGGAGGAGCTGCCGGTGGTGGAGCTGCCGCTGGTGGTGCCGGCCGACGATGTGCCGTAGAGACTGCCGCTGCCCGCCGCTGACGTTGACGATCTACGCGGCGCAATTACACGCATATTAGTGGCAGCAGCGGCAGTGATCCAACCCCAGGTTCAGGATGAAGTCGAAAGAGTCCTTGATTAGTTATTATTGCACCACGTGGTTTCGCTGAGCGACTGATCTTAATGGTCGTCTTGCTTCCGTTTCCTCTGGTCTCGTCTTGCTATGTATGAGGCTTTAGTTCCATTAGTGCCAGCTTCGATCTTCAAAATATAAGATAACGCCAAAAATACTAATTAGTTATTGTTAGCTTTGGTAAAATCAATTCTTAACAACAAATGAACTAACGAAGTTAAAAGTTTGTAAATAAAAATTATAATCGAGCTTTTAACTGGCGCCCGACAAGGGTCTTGGTGAAAGACCGCGAAAGGATACGTCCCGTGCAGATCGGGGAAAAATGTCCGACTTTTAAAAAAAACTGCACCGAACAAGTGAGAAACAAAACCAAAACACCCCGGATATTGGTGTTTTAGTACAAAAAACTGTCATTTAAAAAACGTTACAAAGTTTTACCAATAGTATCTAACTTTCCAACTTTTTTTCAAGGCGCTTCTTAAGATTAACCTTTTTAAAATTTTTTCTAATCCTCTCAAAAGTTGAACAATAATATGTCATTAAACTTAATAAAATTAAATTACACAATTCGCCGCAAAAAAAAAAAAAAAAAAACACAAATCCATATAGCCTCTTTTTTGGCCTTTAAAACCTTACCCGCCCTTAAGTTAAACTAGTCACAAATAGGAAAGGTCTCCTTTTATACTACTAATAATTGTAGAAAATTAAAGCTTTTTTTAAGCAAATCGATGATAAAAAGAACGAACATTTTGTTAGAATGAAATATAAAATAAACAACCTTGCGAGTCTTCTAATGATAAAAAAATCTGTAATTTGGGAAAATTGTTCGATATAAGCAATGATATCAATGAATCAACACATTCCGGATATTGAGAGAAATACATACTGTCATTTCTGGCTGCAGGATGGATAAGAAATGTGTGCAAATACAAGGATCCTTTATAAGGAGTTACAGTAATACAACGGTAACTATTGCTGAAACCACTTTCGCAAGCAACGGACCGGTATTATCGCAGGACAGCTAATAACAAACGTGATCAAGGAACTTCTACCAAATTGTAGGTCAGCGGAAGGAACACTATCTTTCGTGCCTGAAGAATAGGGCATTTCCTTTCGCAATACAGACTTTGACTCTGTTATGATGCGACCGAGGAGGAAAGCGTTTACGTCCAAAATACTATTGACCCGACCAAACGATAGACTAAGCATTAATTGCTAACTTAACGTGTATATGACAGGAACTCAAATATAAGAACCATAATATTGACAGCAACTACCAATAACAATAAAGAACGTCAACAAAAACAGCTACGGCGGTAGAGACGGTGACGTCGATGTAGCGAAGCTTATTTATCATAAATTATTGCTAACTTAAGTAAAATCAGTTCCTTATTCAATAAAATAGGTTTAGCTTTTTTTTATTTTAATAAAAATTCTAGTCGAGCTTTTAACTTATGTGTATCTTTACCTGCTTATCTTTATTTACATTATCCGTGAACTCCCCTTGGTTTTGTTTTTAAACTTAATTGCTGGTTAAGTGCTACATCTAAGACCCGTTATTGTTGCTGCTATAGTTTTTAGCAAAACTAAAAAGAAAAGGAGTTGTAAGAGAATTAGTAAGCCAGTTCATATCCCTCTCTATTAAAATGAAAAACATGCATAATTTTTGCAAGTCACATTTAGAGAAGATTAAGTCGTCCTCTCATTAAAGTAAAACCTATGACAAGGGAAACTTTAGATATAATAAGCTAATATAAACATATGTTAAATAACATACATACACAAAGATGGAAGACTTTAATAAAAATTAAATAAAGGCATAAAAATCGCTTAAAAAAATATATTTATCAACGATTTTTTAAATGTATGGAACACATTAAAAACCTTCGTATGCGTTAATAATAATAATAATTTGCATGTTTAAAACCTTGTGCTTTTAACCGTTATTTACATGTGGAAAAGTGAAGGCTATTAAGCGCAAGGTTATCTAAAATTCTGAGGGATGCCAAGGATAATGCGAAATTTTTTCAAGGGGAACTCGTGCGCTCCCCCTTCTTCATCCACCTTTCCACAATTGATTTTTCGCAAACGCAACACTCACACACACACACTAACACAATAATCAATTAATTAGGCGTTGGAAACATTTTAGCTGGTTGTTATTATTTTAGCTCTAGCTTTTTTAACCTTATTTTTTCTTCTGATTTAAATAAACAGTTAGGCGGAAATTAAAACCTATCAGTTGCTGCGTCACTTGTTTACAATTGCAAAATAAAAATTAATAAAAATAAAACGGTATTCCCGTTTGTCATAACAACAACAGTAGAGGGGTTGGGGGTGGTTGGCCTTATGCGGTAACACTAAAAATGAAGTTAAGTGTGTGTGCCGCCAGGCAGTCTACGTTCCCCTATGAGAAAACCGTTGCTTATTCCATACATGTGCATGTTTGGTGGGTGGCGGTAGGCTTAACTATTATAAAATGGCCACACTATCGCGAATCGATCTTTCGTTCATAAAATACTACACCTACAACTCATTCACACACACGCACTTAACAAAAATAAATGAAATTCTTCAAGTTCACACAATCACATTCGTCAACACAGGTGCAGGTGAACTTTTTCGACGGTTACCACGATTTAATCGCTTTCTTTGGACACAAAATTTATACATCCTCTGCACGTCAAAAATCGAAATAATTATGATAAAACCAACAACAAAATATAAAAACGAAACGAAATGAAATTCTATTTATAAAGGCGCACACACACACGCGCTCATGTTTGGCAGTGAAATGTGAGAGGGAGAAGGGGAAAGCCAGGAGTAGTAGTAAAACAGCGACTATACCATGCGAGCAAGCGAGAAAGCACTATTGGCGACACAGTCACACACACACACAGATGGCAGGCAGCGTACGAATTACGCAAAGTGAAATATCTTTCTCAAAATGGAAAGTGGAAAAGTGACGACGACGGCTATTGTGCATTTTTCAGACATCCACTGGTCCATTAAAAAAAAAGAAAATATATAATATCGCACTGATATGGGAACGAGTTAAATAGGGAAAAATTTGACCGCAAAACGAACATCACGAGGCAAACGAGGTCGCGCGGCCGAAAAAACGTGTCTCGCTTGTTTGCATCTTAATTTCGATGCCAAATAGCTGTCAGCCTCGATTCGCATTGCAAAATCGTTCAATTTCTGTTGATTTAAAACAATTTTCAGCACAGCACAAAACTCACTTTTAATCGGATTTTTTTTTATTTTGGCCAGTGTGACCAAACGGCTAAAGCACCAGCACTAGAGCTGAACAAAAACAGATTGAACACTATCGATAATTATCCTGGAAGTCTACCAATTAGTGTCGCCAACGCTAGTCTGTTTGAACAATATCGATATAAAAAGCAACTTTTTTTTCCCATATAAACATAAATACCCTCTTTCCACACAGTCCATCCGTGTGAAATACTTGGTTTTTTTTTACAGAGCTGAAACTCCGATTCTAACAGAGCACATCCACCATTTCTCATCCAATTTTTTTTAAAGGGATTTGAGAGACACCATAGCTTCAATACCCGAATTCTATTGTGGCAGGGTGTCCTAAAAAAATTTGTCAATGTGTATAAGAATAATTCGCGCCGAGCTGCGCTAGTATATTTAGTACGAAAAACACAATTCCTAACTATTTTTCTCAGATATTTTAGCGCTCTTTATAAGAATCACGTTTATTTAACTTTTCCTCTGGTAATCGATCAATTACATCGCAATATATCCAACATTTACAACAACTAACGCCATTAAATTGAGCAGTTAAGTCCTAAACTTTAGTTGTCAAGATTGCTCGAAAAAGTCTGTAGGGATAGCGAATACAGACTGAGATTCTGCCATAAATTCCAGGCACAATACCAATCGGAATTGTTGCAATTGTGAAGAACTTTTAAATAAGTTCTTTACCACGAAATCGGTTGGCAGATGTGCTCTATGGGAATCGGAATTAAACATTTATCAAAATTCCAGAGGATAATAAAAGTCGCAGAAATCCCTTAAGTAATTATGAGAACTACCAATACCTACCCGAAAACAATTATAATAATCCAAAATTGTAATAATTTTATTATAAAAAGCGCCAAAAGTCTGTCGTAAAATCAAAAACCCGTTTGTTTTAAATGTTGTATAAGTCAGTAAGAAATAAATAAGAATGGAAAATTTGAAGACCCATGAATGATTATGCTCAGTATTTTAATATTTTTTATTTTATCACACTCATTGAAAATAAATTTTAATCTAGTCTTGGATGCGCGATGTTTGTAACTATCGATGTTATCGATTGTGCTCTTGTAGGTTTGACGGTTCTACCAGCTCTAGTTTTTGTGTGTGAAAATTCTGCGAAAAATATTCTGTTCAGAGTTTTTTGGACAACAATCCCGCGAAGCGTCTTAACTTTCGTTGTTGTGCCGCTCAGCTTATTGCAACTGGCCAGTTGCGTTTGTGGATTCGTAAACGCAACGCAGACTATGAATTAAAAGCTGCACAAAACGAACTGTCGCGTCGCATTACGTTTCAGTGTTGCCAACTTTTTCAGAGTGCCGGGAACCTTTGCCAGCCAAAACGGACGCTTTGCAGACGAGATGTGCAAGCCGTTGGATTGATTTATATGCCCTTTCGATTGGGTGCGCTCCAGATACTCCGATCTTTGGTCTTCTCCCTCTAAATTGGGCAGAAGAACACCGGCGAACGGACGGATTCTAGCCGGAAAACGGTCAGGCTGGCAACACTGCCGGGGAACAAAATGAAGTGAATCTCGGAAAAAGGCATAGAAGCTATTGGAAAAGCCAGACGAAAGCCAGGCGATAAATGTGCAAATGCGAGTGGCCAGCGAAGACCTTTGTTTCCCGTTCCATGACGTTTTGTTGAGTTGCCCGCTGCTCTGAGTGGTTGTCATTTTTGGTCATCATCATTACCATCATTGGCATCATCAACGGAGGTCGTCGTCGTTAAGCCACCCACCACCCACAAACACCCACCAGCAAAACGGCCTTGAGGGAACTCGACCGCAGCATCTTGTCATCCAATACTTGATCTTCGATTTGGTTTGCGCATCCCATCGCACAGTTCAGGTGGGTTATTCATCTCAATCCGAGTCGGAATCCTGCACTCAGCTCCCAACTCGGTTCCCTGCAATCCACAGTTATGTCATCCACCGCCGGCAAACGCAAGGAGATCTACAAGTATCTCGCACCATGGCCACTGTACTCCATGAACTGGAGTGTCCGGCCGGACAAGCGATTTCGGCTCGCACTGGGCAGCTTCATCGAGGAGTACAACAACAAGGTGCAGATCATCAGCCTGGACGAGGACACCAGCGAATTTAGTGCCAAGAGGTAGATCGCAAGCACAAGTCACAAATAATGATATTTCTTAACCTTTATATTGTTCCCAATTTTGCTCTTTATTATGGATATTTTCATTCTTAAAACCTGTGGAATTTCTTTAAAAAAAAAAAAAAAAAAAAAATTTCTTTGAATATCTTAAAAAATATACTTCCTAATTTGTTTCTAGGTTTTTTTTTTATTTTTTGCAGCATTATTTAGTATATAGTATTTTTAAAAAACGCAGAGTCTTAAACTACTTGTAATACTATATTTTTCGTTTTAAATCAGTTCCTATAAATATTAAAATTGGTAAATTTAATTAAATTTAATAAAATTTCAATTCGCAGTTAGTTTACTGAAGTTGCACTCCAAAAGCGAACAAAAACTTTTTCCTAATTTATATTGGACAGTCTTGTGCAATTATTTATTGTACAATGATAACCCCTTTGGCTTTGTCATCATTCTCGACATAATTCATGTTACTTCAGATGTGTTCTGCAAATAAATGTTATGTTTTTAAGATTTATTATCAAGTTAAAAATCAATATCAGCACCTTCTTCGGTTGTTTAGTTTGGACTTTAAAACGAATTAGGAAATTTACAATAGTTGTTTCATCATTATCATTTTTGAATGGAATATAATTTTTCACCGTACGATTTTCTCTTTCCCGAACTAGCACCTTTGACCATCCATACCCGACAACCAAGATCATGTGGATCCCAGACTCCAAAGGCGTCTATCCGGACCTGTTGGCCACCAGCGGCGACTATCTGAGAGTGTGGCGTGCCGGCGAACCGGACACGCGGCTCGAGTGCGTGCTGAACAACAACAAGAACAGCGACTTCTGCGCTCCTCTGACCTCGTTCGATTGGAACGAAGTGGATCCCAACCTGGTGGGCACCTCCTCGATAGACACCACCTGCACCATCTGGGGACTGGAGACCGGACAGCCGCACGCCCGGGTCTATGTGGCGGGACACGTGAAAACACAGCTGATTGCCCACGACAAGGAGGTCTACGACATTGCCTTCTCGAGGGCAGGCGGCGGTCGAGACATGTTTGCCTCTGTTGGAGCGGATGGATCGGTGCGCATGTTCGATCTGCGGCATCTGGAGCACTCGACCATTATCTACGAGGTGGGTAGGCTGTCTGCTCGTTGATAATTTACCTTGGGGTCTTAGAGCAAGTTCTAACACTTCAATTAAATACGCAACGAGACAAGAAGTTAAATTTGTCATGCCGGTGATTTTTTACCCTTGCTGAACAGATGATCTTCCTTATAAAAGCTGTGCGATATTTAAGAGATAATGTGTTTTATGTAACTCTTTCAGGATCCTGCCCACACGGCGCTGTTGCGCTTGGCCTGGAACAAACAGGACCCGAACTATTTAGCCACTGTTGCCATGGACTCGTGCGAAGTTATAATTTTAGATGTTCGTGTTCCTTGTACACCCGTTGCAAGACTGAGCAATCACAGAGCGTGCGTCAACGGTATTGCGTGGGCGCCGCATAGGTAAGCCCTCCTTTTATTTCAGTTTACTCCACTCCTATTACAGTGCTCATCCTCGAATTTGAATTTGCTTTTCAGTTCCTGTCACATCTGCACTGCCGGTGATGATCACCAAGCACTGATCTGGGATATACAACAAATGCCACGTGCAATCGAGGATCCAATTTTAGCCTATACAGCTGCCGAGGGCGAAGTCAATCAGATCCAGTGGGGCGCCACACAGCCCGACTGGATAGCCATTTGCTACAACAAAGCGTGCGAGATCCTGCGGGTCTAAGAGTCAAATTTTTGGTCTGGCCCTGGCTGTAGCACATGGCTGCACTTGCTGAACAACGCACAGTCGAAAAGCAAATAGAAAAGCCAGTAAAAACACACACACTACACCCACAAAAACACACACATTTGCTGTTGGTAATTTGGAGGCGGTTAAGCGGAAAGGAGTGAGCTTAAGTTGGATCGGTTCTGTCAACACGCTTCCGCAGTTTGTTTAATTTTATTGTCTAACAAGAGAGAAAGAGAAAGGAGAAGGTCGAAGTAACGAAGAGAGGGCTTGGGAGAGAGGGAGAGATATAAGGAAATCGAGGGAGAGGGAAAATGTATTTTAGAATTCATAGCTTAGTTGATTATACAAGTATGTAAGTCAAGTCTATAAGGTATAACCAAAATATGTATTTCTAATTGTAGTTTATTTCACACTTGACAAGACCCCCCACCCCTGCAAACTTCAACCGACTTGAGGCGCTTTATTTAATTTAAATTGAACTTGATTATACAAACCCAAGTGGAATAGAAAGAAGCATGAATGAGAAAAAAACATATACATTAAAAGAAAAACAATGTCCTACCTCGTTTTTTCAACCATAAATGTTTTTGAGTCTGGCCAAAACAGCAACCGCAGCAGCCACAGCAATACACAGAAAGAAAAAAGAGAGGGCAAGAAAATAGACAGCAACAACGCTTTTTCGAAATATTTTTACTTTGTTCCATTTTTGTATGAGAACCAAAAACCAAAAACGAAAAACAAAAACCAACAAAAAACAAGAGAGAAATAAAAACAAAAGCAAAACCATGGACTTAAGCGAATGCAAAACAAACAAAATACGAAATGAATTAAATAAATAAGCGAAAATACTTACATATATTACAGAATAAAGGCGAAACAAAAAGAAACGGAAGACAAACTGCACACAACACAGCTAGAAACAATACTATTTAAAGATACAAACTAAAAGCAAAAGCAAAAGCAAAAACAAATACCGAAATATATGAGCGAGAGAGAATACAAGATTGTTGCTATATCCATTTAACAAACGAACGAAAGAAAAACAAACAAACAAACTATGATCATTTCAAACCCTCCATAAATAATCTCAAATCCCAACCACATCCAATACTTTCCACAGGACAAAAGCGACTTTTCCAGATCAAATCGAATCAATTTTTTTATGTATCTTGTAATTTATAGCGATTTCACAACTTATATATAAAGTTATATATATACAGAAACAGAAACAGAAAGCAGTACCGATAATCCCGATGATCATGTATTGTAAATACAGCATGAAAGGCAAACTTTTTAACAAACAACCAGAACAACAATCAGAAGCCGTAAAACTTTTGAACAAGACTTAGGCCCTGATTTTGTATAGCCATTTAAGAGGCCTCCCAAACCCAAACCCAAATCACCACTCAAAAATCTAAATACTCCCCACAAGAAGTTCGCCACGAGAAGAAGAGGTAGAAGAACCGAAATCGAATTGAATCCTTTTGATATTTTGTACGTTTGTAGACATCGATTAGAGGCATTCTCATTGTTTCGGCATAACACGGTTTCCGTAAAAAAAAACATCAACAAAAGCGAAAAAACAAAGTTAGGATATGATGTACTCCAGTTTCTTTCTCTTCATTTGTTCTATTTATTGTATTATCCGATTTACGTTATATTGCCATGTAACTACATTTATATATGTAATGTATATGTACACAGGACACTCTCACAAACACACACAAGCGCGTATATATAGACATCCGATCAGGCTGAAGAGGTTACTAGAAAGCTAATTGATTGATCGTTGGATGGATCACAAAAACCAAACAAAACAAAAGGACGACGAGGAGCTGGAGAAAACAAACCAAAACAGACAAATATTTAAATAAACCATTTTTAAATAATGAACTCAGAGCTTGGTCTCAAATTAAATCGGGGAGATCGGCAGGCGGACAAATGTTGCTGATATCCACGACGCCGCGGAGTGTTTCCTCTTGTTTTCCGGCATCAGGGGAAGTGTTGCTGAAAACGGTTTGAATTCTTGTATATTATTCAGGAAGTTCACTATATCCCATAAACATGCTTTCGCACTCACCTTTTAGCCGGACTCTTCTTGATGGTCAGCAGCTCGTTGACTTTCAGTTTCTTCAGCTTGACCATCAGATGACCCGTGATCTGGGACCGCTGCACGGTTGACTCATCCGGCTTGACCTCCTCGTTGTAGGCTATTTGGAATATCTTTTTCTTGACGGTGACTCTTGTGTAATTGGTTTGGACGTCCACGTCAATTAGCGAAGTGTCCAGGTATCTGCGGTGCATATAATGGTCCGAGAAAAAGGATTATTCAACATGGAAGGACATAACGGTAAAAACCATGTTAAAACGAGAAAAGGATTATTCAACTTGGAAGGACATAACGGTAAAAACCATGTTAAAACGTTTTCTGTTCATGGGAGTTCTTAATAACAGGGAAAGAGTCTTAGTAAATTGTAACTAAATGAGGATACCCTTTCCCTACTTTTGGTCATCTAACAAAGGAGTCGAAGGTGTCTTCGATTCCTGGGTTCTAATAAATAAATATAATCTGCCCTCCTTGTTGGAATCGCATTCAGTGTCAAATCAGCTGACTTTGCTGAGTGATAAGGCCACCCACCTGTACACCTCCAACTCGAGCAAGTAGTGATCGGCCTCGTCCTGGAAGTTGAAGGGCAGCTTGGCCTGGTTGAGGTTGTAGGGTCTGCCGCAGGGGGCGAACAGGTTGCGCTTCCGCGCCGGCGGGTCCAGCGGCGACTTGGGCTCGTGCCGCTCCCGACCCAGTCGATGCTGGCGGGCGATCTCCGTGCGGATCTCCGGGCAGTGCTCGCTCTTCGCCTGCCAGAAGGCCTTGAGGCGCTCCTCCTCGTCCTCGATTCCGGCACAGTGCTCCGCCAGGGCGGACTGCTGCTCCGCCACGCGGATGCGCTGCTCGTCCCGCTGAATGGCCTGGTCCGCCTGCTTCTGGACGATGATGGCCCGGTTCCTGGGCAAGGTCCGCATGGCTTGGAGGCGCTCGGACGGCGTTATCTCCAGGCAGTCCAAGCTACTCAGTTGCGGCAAGGTGGCCACCACGTACTCCCTGTAGTGGGGGTAATCCACGCAGGGATTGCCTATGAGCACCAGCTCGCGGAGATGGTGGTTGCCGCGCAGCGACTCCACGCTGGTCAGCTCCCCGATGAAGTTCAGGGTGAGATCCAGCTTGTGGAGCGACTCGCAGCCCTCCAGGTTCTCCACCCTCTCGATGTTGTTGATGGCCACATTGAGGTACTCCAGGCGCTTCAGCTTGTGCAGGTTCTCCAGGCGAGCGATGAGGTTGGACTGCAGGAGCAGGATCTTCAGCTCGCGACACCAGTTCTGGATATGCTCTATGACCTCGATGTCCTCCTGGTGCAGCGAGATCTCCTCCAGAGTGCTGATCAGGCGTTCGTTGTGCTCCGACTTCTTGCGCACCAGTTCCTCAGTGACTGCAATAGGATTCAGATCCGAACAAGGCAAACCTTCCAGAATTTTAACTACTTACTGAGCACCATGATGACGAGTGTGTGATGCAAGGAAATGGAGTGGCAAGTGGCAGGTGGAGTAGTAGAAGCAGAAGGGGCAGAGCCTACGTGGTTGCTAGGCATTTTAACATCCCTTTCCACTTTCCCTGTTATTCTGCCTTGTTTTTATTTGAGTAGCATTCAAAAGAGTTGCTTGGTTTTAAACTAAAATGAAACCAAGGTAAAACTTTTATAAAAAAAAAAACAGAAAAGTAGGAGCCTAGATCGACTCAGATGCTCATGGTTATCAGAAACTTATATACTTTACGCCATAAAGAGGAACGTTCTAATGGTATAAAAATAATCAATTCTCTATTTTATTTTCTGCACAAAAATACTTGATGGGCTTAAATGATGGGTTTAAATTTAAGGAAAGCTCTTCGACTCCCAGTGTTAAAATACATGGTGTCTATTAAAAAATTGTTTGAACGAAATTAAAACAAATATACATAGTAAAAGCTAAATAATAATGAATGACGAATTATTGTTTAAAAAAATAAGTCTAATTTAAAGAAGTCGGCTGGAAAACTTCACTTGAGGTTGAGAGAGTGGAAAAACAAAATCCTCCTGCCTTTTATGGAGGGAACAAGTAGTTCTGGAAAAAGTGTTTGTCCCTTAAATGCCCCAATTCAAGATTTTCCGAATCGAAGGAGTACAGCATTTTTGAAGAGAACCTTGCACAGAGCTTCTGAACATGAACCTTAAACATAAAGTAAATCATAGACGCGGAAATGTAATGGTTTACAATCAAAGCGCCTTTCAGAATTTTACCAGAACAAAGACCCGAAATATAAATCGGCTACTTTTCAGTCCTGCTTGATCTAGAAATCACTCACGTAATCGGTCCATATGCCTCAAGTTATATAATTAAAACAGAGCTAATGGCAGAGTGAGCAAAAATGCCTGAGGATTCTGCGGGGACTTTTTTTATTTCAAAGAAACAACACCATAAGGATGTGATCTGATGTGAGCAAGAGAAGCCTTATACATACATATATTGTATTTTTGGACAATTGCCTGGCATGAAGAAAGCTATATAATAAGACAAATTTAAAATTTATGCTTCCTTTTGTTGTAATATTTAAAAAAAACTGAAGATGAAAACGCAACTAAAAATAAAATAAAGTCTTTCTAGCCAACGGTAAGCAATTAAAAAAGAATTTTAAAAGTTGTCTTTGTTAGTTTTTGATTCTGATAATATCGATAAAATCGTTTGTTAACCGGCCAATTAATTTAGAAAAGAGGTAAGTGAATTCATGCTTACCTTATTTTATTTTTAAACGATGAGTACATTTACATTTTTGAGCACACCACACACACTTTTAATGAATTAGCGAACTCAAACCTTATAGTTAACATAAATGTGTAAATGTGTAAATCATTCTCATAACATATGCACATATGCTTAAGAAAACCACGAGTTCCGATGGACTGCCTTCTGTTTTTTTGCGCCCCCTGTCTTGTTGCCTCCATTTCTGGATTTCGCCCCTGTTCGAACGAGAGAAATCTAATCAGCTGAATTAGAATTAAGTGGTCGAACCAGCGAGTTTGCTCGGGCCAGTTTGTCAGTCATTGGACGGCGGCCAGACGGAACTAAACCCAAAACAAACCCGAGTCGATCGGCGGACAGACGGATAGAGATTCTGGCGATGGGCAGCGATAAGGACACTGATATACTGCGGCCACTTAGCGATGGCGAGGTGGACGAGCTGCTCGACCTCTATAAGGCCCAGTTCGGGGTGAGGAACTTCCACTACCTGCTGCTGTACAACCAGCGGAAGTGGGATCGCCAGCTGGACGAGGCCGGGATACCGCGCGACGATCCCAACTACATTTCCCTGCGGAAACAGTTCTTCACCCACCGCAGGGGCGACTTCCGCCAGTGGGGCACCTACGTGAGTCTGCATCGGGACATCGTCCAGAGCGTCTCCTTCTTCAGCTGGCAGCCGGACGGCGCCCCGGAGATGTGGGAGTGCCTGGAGGCCACCGAGCTGATCGAGTGGACCCAGGGCGCCCTGCTCACCAACGTGGACCTGGGCTTCTGCGAGCGGATCAAGCAGCTGGTCGCCAGCCGCGGAGTCGCCTCCATTCAGCCGCGCCAGTGCTTCGGAATGGTTCTGCCCCACGAGGCAGCCCTCGGTGCCGAGGTTCCCGAGCTGTCCGAGTTCGAGATCCGGCGGCTGAGGGACGAGGACGCGGCCGTGGTCCACGAGACCTGGCCCAACAAGGGCGAGGGCTCTCTCACCTATCTCCGGGCTCTGGTCCGCTTCAACAAATCCCTGGGTGTCTGCCGGAGCGACACTGGCGAGCTGCTCGCCTGGATCTTCCAGAACGACTTTTCCGGGCTGGGGTGCGTATACCTATGTATAGGAAACTATATTGTTCAGAATTTCTTATAAAAAAGATAAATTAGGATAAAAACATACAGTGACGAACATAATTATTGGCACAGTTGGCTTCTTCAACTTTGAGGCTCATTTTCTCCTCTTAAAATGGGGATATTTACATAAAACAAAATTTATTCACATAATATAATTAATTAACAACACAACCCAGTTTTTTTTTAATATTTTACATCTTATACGTTATTTTTAAAATTAAAATAACGAAAACAAGTGCCGAATCTTCCTGAACAAAATTATTGGCACACTTGCTTTTAATTTGCATTTTTGGAACAATTTTACCGATTTGGCCAGTTTTTTTTTTATAAACACATTGATTATTATCCCCTGAGTGGTATGGAATAACTTTTTCCAGATAAAAGTATCAAATTGCCTTTTTTTAAACCTTTTTTCATAAAATAAGGGGTAAACATAAAAACTCTACATTTTCGGACCGGAAAATTATTTGGAATTTCCACAATCTTGGAAAATTATATGGTGAGATCGGAGAAATGATAGACAGAAGCCACTAAACCATTACAAGCATCGGGCAGCGTTTTAAGGGCGCCTAATCCTTAAAAAGTGATCAGCGCACAGGTTGACTCAAGGCTTTAGCGACCTTTTGGGCACTTTTTTGGAGGGTTCCTTTAAGAATATCGAAATATTATTTTTTCCCATGATTCCTTCTATAAACTCGAACTCGTCGACATCTGCAGTGGACTTGCAGCCCCACACCATGACGCCTCTAACACCATGCTTAACTGACTTAGCAGGGTTTTTGTTTAGGAGTTTTATATGAGGCTTTTTTCAAACAGATTGGCGACCGTCAGATTAGAAAATATATAATTTTTTTTTGTCAGAAAAGATGATATTAGCCCAAAAATCAACTGGCTACTTCAAATTCTCTTTTGCATAGTCCAATCGCTACTGTTTGTTGACTTTAGAAATAAGCGGTTTCCTTCTTGCGACCCGATACGTATAGTTAGGTCTATGCAGTGTCCTCCGAACCGTAATGGGGAGAAATTTTTTCAAAAACTGTTCTTTCACCCCATCTCCAATCTTTGTTAATGAAATTTTCGGGTTTACTTTCACTTGTTCTATGATTTTGGCCCGCTTCCAGTCACTTAAAGCCTTGAGTCAACCTGTGCGCTGATCACTTTTCAAGGATTAGGCGCCCTTAAAACGCTGCCCGATGCTTGTAATGGTTTAGTGGCTTCTGTCTATCATTTCTCCGATCTCACCATATAATTTTCCAAGATTGTGGAAATTCCAAATAATTTTCCGGTCCGAAAATGTAGAGTTTTTATGTTTACCCCTTATTTTATGAAAAAAAGGTTTAAAAAAAAGGCAATTTGATACTTTTATCTGGAAAAAGTTATTCCATACCACTCAGGGGATAATAATAAATGTGTTTATAAAAAAAAAAACTGGCCAAATCGGTAAAATTGTTCCAAAAATGCAAATTAAAAGCAAGTGTGCCAATAATTTTGTTCAGGAAGATTCGGCACTTGTTTTCGTTATTTTAATTTTAAAAATAAACTATAAGATGTAAAATATTAAAAAAAACTGGGTTGTGTTGTTAATTTATTATATTATGTGAATAAATTTTGTTTTATGTAAATATCCCCATTTTAAGAGGAGAAACTGAGCCTCAAAGTTGAACAAGCCAACTGTGCCAATAATTATGTTCGTCACTGTAGTTACTTAACTAAAACCACCGTAAATCGGTAAGCTAGGGTGTTTTAGAAACGATTTAAAAGAAATCATAACTTAGTTGTGTACTTTTCAATTCTAATTTTTGATTTAGGTTCCAAACAATCATATCACATATATAATATATAATATCATAGCTGTCAAAACTAGGTACAGTAAAAACAAAAAGCTCTGAAAGGCTTATATGGGTTCTTTTTTTAAATTGATCGAATTTTCCAAAGGTTTTCTATATATAAATGGTAAGAGTGGAAAAATGTCACAAACCGTATTTAAATTCTTGGTAGTGTTTGGATAAAATCCTTTTAATCAGAATCATTAGTAAAATGTACATCGTACATTAATAAAGCTGTTTAGTTCAGTGGTAAAATTGCAACAATAATCCTATGGTTGTTCCTTTTCTGTCGATTCCAGGATGCTTAAAGTGCTGCCCAAGGCGGAGCGACGTGGACTGGGTGGCCTCCTGGCCGCCGCGATGACACGGAGGATCGCCCAGAGCGAGGAGGTCACACTCAGCGCCTGGATCGTGGCCACCAACTTTCGGTCGGAGGCGCTCCTGAAGCGGATCGGCTACCAGAAGGAGCTGGTCAACGAGTGGATCAAGCTGCTGCCCAATCCCTCTTAGCAGTTGGTGTCCCTGCTCGACATTCCGGTTGATAGTTGCACATACCACGTAGCACAAGTGGGTTAGGTCAATGAGAACACACGACGATTTGCATTTGCTATGCCTATGTACATGGTCAACAATTTTATTTTGGCATTTGACATGCGCTCACGCTTTCTGAATACACTTTACGGCTTAATCAAATTCAAAAACAAATTCGACTCTTGCGGGCGGAAGGGGATATGGAAATCGGGGGCTCGAACTACTTATTTACACACTCGGCTAGCACTCGAAACAATATCAAAAATACATTAGTTTACAGCATTGCTTTGCATTCTGGGTGAACGAACGTACATACATATATCACGCACTTTTGACTTAACTGGCACAACACCCAAATCCTTCATCTTCGAGTTTATTTACTAAAAGAATGTCATAGATCAAAACTCGGTTACACCTTGTTTAAGCGTGTGTACTTAATTCCACTTAGACATCAATGGGTTCCTTTAGAACATCAAGTGAGCTGATTAAATATATCAAAACAGGGATTTGGAAATTAAGACACTCTTTCAGTCAATTAACATTAACTACTCTAATCATTAGCCATATTCAGCACCGTCTGCACCCATACATTTCCATTCGAATTCTTTCTTGTAGAGGGAAATTGCAACTTCCCTCCAGTACGATTGAAAACGCTAAAGAAAAACCTGCCTTTTCTTAAAATTATTAAATCTAGAGTTGTGCCTCTTTAGTCAAACGTATACAATATATATATAATAAAGAGAGAAGGGGAGAGAGTCGGGCGTTGGGTGGCGGAGGTTGCGGGTTAATACTATTCAGCTAACCCGCTTATTGGATACTTTCACTAACTATCAACTAAACAAAGAGCAGACGCGTGGCTGTCCCACTCGGCATGCCGCTGCCATTCGCCAGAAGGCTGTTCCCGGGCGCCCTGTGCAGCCCATTGGATAGCTTCCCGTTGACCGACCCCCGGTAATAGGGGTCCGTCTGCTGCTCCAGCGGCGAGTACTTCACGTGGTTGCTCTGCGACAGCGGCAGTGTCGGCTTCTCCTTGCCCCGGGTTATCTGCTTGGCGCGGTTGTAGCACAGCACGCCCACAATCGCCAGCGTCATGCCGAGGCAGTTGACCCACGTCACCGGATTGCCCAGGATCAGCAGCGACACGGCGATCACAAAGATCCGCTTGGAGGCGCTGGCAACCGCGTAGGTGAGTGGAGTGACCAGCGACAGGACGCTGAAGGCTATGATGTTCTGTAGCCAGTTGAGGACGCCGTCAGCGAAAAGCAGGGCAATCACCCGATAGTCCAGGTTTTTCTGCAAAGAGGAACAAGTTGCAAAACAATAGCGTTACTTTATAATTTGAGTAGTATTTTTTCCATGTCTTTGCAGAGGGTATTGCAGTAAGACACCTCATTCAGTAAGACACCTCATATTGAAGGAGACTTCTCGCAGCACATAAAAGATTTCTATTCTTGATCAGCATCCCCTTCGGGATATACAAACTAGTCTCCCAGTTTAAAAGCTTTCTCGCTGAAACTTGAATAAATGTTTTGTATCTACTGTATGTATGTAGTATATAAGATTGGCTGACAATATCATATTGCTCCCATAGGAAAGATCGACAAAACAACAGGAAACTAATTATAACACCGCTGTTGTTTATCATTCAAGCATCTTACTTGGATTATAAGTACTCTTACGACTCTTGAATTACGAATTAAATTCCATCAAACTCGAGGGGCTTTATCATATAGGTGTTATAGGAACACTAAAAAATTAATTTAAAAATTGTCACAGCTTCAAGGTTGTTAAGCATTCATACTTTTCGCTCGACATTTAGTATTTTGGTAATAGACATTAAAAACAACAATTTGTCAAGTTCTAACTGAAGTTCCAAAGGCTCGCCGAAGCTGTTCTTGTTTTTTTCTATAATACTTTACTTCTTCTGTTTTATTAAAAATTAAAAAACTCCTAAATATGTGTGAGGTCTAAAAAAGCAAATTCTTAAAGTTATAGTTTCTAAATGCAATCCGAGATTTAAAGACAGAGTCAGTCATATTATCTCATTATTATTAATTAAATTATCAAGGTGCTGCTTACTAATGATAAAATCCTTCTTATTAACAAGAAAGGAAGCTATCTTCAGCAAACCAAAGCGTATATGTATGTCTCTAAAACCTGCGCTAGCACGAATTTTCCCTACTATTGGTAAATTGTGTGTTCGGATCGGACGACTTTATCTGATAACTCCCATAGGAGGAATGGAAAAAATAAACGGAAAGAAATTATTACGCTGACGTTTTTTATATGATAATGATTTCTTCCAGATGGTGTTTTTGAGGATTCTTGAATTTCGAATTCAGTTTTTGAGGATTCTTGAATATCGAACTAAATTTCATGAAAATCGGATCCATTGTCCAAAGGAACAATCAGTAAAAATATAGAAGGTAATTAAAACATCGTCATAGCTGCGATAATGTTTAGCCTTTATGCATTTTTCTCGACGTTTGCGATAGCTGCAAAGGTATATGCTTCCTTTCTTGTTTATATTATATATAAAACCACCCTTAAAAGCAACATTTTATCGGGATTTTTTCAAATCTGAGTGATAGTTGGCTTAGAAACTTTACAGTGAATTAGAGCAAGAGTAAAATTTCACAAAAATTGGACATTATATAGATGACAGTGACAACCCAAAAATCTCTATACTATAAAGCATGCATTTTTGAAATATAGAGTTTTCAAGCGACTCTTTCCCCAAAACATGGCCGTCATAGGAACAATTCGAGGAGTCATACAAAATTATAAAAAAAATTAAAACATTGAACAAAATCGGAAAAACCTTGTTCCAATGAATATAGACGTTTTTGTCATTTAAGTTCTAGCCTCAAGGGTAATTAAGTTTTGGTTCGCCGAAGCTTCCGTTTTTGTTCAAATTTAAAGTTGTTAGCTTTGCAAGTTAGCAGATAAATTGCACTGAAAGGCAACCAGATTAATAGTAGGCTTTTTACTCGCATAGTGATACGGATCGGAAATATTCGCTATCTACGGCTATGAAAATTTTATTAAATTTAGTTTAACGTTAACGCCAAAAATAAATCTGTACGTTTTTGATGGGCTGACGAGTTTAAATTGTTATACATTCTTTTAAAGAGAATGCAACCTAGTTTTTTAATCACTATTAGCAAAATGGTATTATTTTAATAACGTTCTAAAAAAAATAAACATGATAAATTTGCACAAGTGCTTACATCTTCCGAAAGAATAAAGGACCGAAAACAGGCAAGACCAAATCACCTACAGAAAGTGTAGTCGTTGTCTTTAAATGTCTTCGACTATTTAAACTAACTACGCAAACTGCAGACAAACACAAGTGTTTTTACGCCCGCGTGCTACATAGGTACTTTGAAACGTGGACAATAGTTTAAATTGAGGTGTTTCGGAACAGCTTTAAATGCTTTGAGTTGTTTTTCAGTTTCTTGAGCATTTTATCTAAACGGAAAAGCCAATTATGAAGATAAGATTTCCCCACGCTCGCGCAAAGCTTTCGAGGTGCGCTACTCACAATGGCCGTGTGGCGGAATACAGCAAAGCTATCCATATACAACCAAAGAGGAAGGAAGATGAACAGCGACAGCTTTCCGAGCAAATGCAACAACCGCAAATGATGGATGTTGGTGTCCTTAAGCACCTGTACGTAAACAAAAAATTACAAAGTGGAAGTAAATCACTTGCTAGGCAGGAACTGTACCTTCTTGGAGAAGATGTTTTGCATGGAGAAGCCCATTGTTGAGATGAGGGCGCTGATCAAGCCCATCATGTCGAAGGAGATCTCCGTGACGGTGGCAATGCCTACGCCCGTAATGATGGGAAGCAGGCTCAGGTACACGAGCGTCGGCTGTTTCTCGCCAAAGAAGAGGCGTGTCAGGACGACGGTAAACAGTGGCATTGTGGCTTTCACTGGAAACAAAGATTTATTGATTATTATAATTCCACTTCAGAAGAGTTTACTAATATAATGTAACTCTTTTCTAGAACCAAAAATGTTAATTTTAAAGCTGGTCTTTGAAATCGTGTTTTAATTTAAAATTCAAATTGTACACCTTGAAATAATCATTTCAGCTGTGCTTTTATCAAATAGTTTTTTACAAGCAACTAATGCAAATGCTAATACATATATTATTATTGTTATTTGTTGTTGATTGCAAATTGTGTTAAGCCATTTTAATGAAACACTGATTAAGTGTCAATACAGAATCACAAATGCTTTATCTATCATCTTATCAGATGTGCCCGCGCTTGGAAGTTGTCTCTCAGACACATCGGGCAGATTCTGCTGACGTGTTGGGGGAGCGAACCACCAGTTTGGCGGGCACTCCACTCACCCGTGTGTGCGTAAGAAACTGGCACCTTCCACAGCGAGATGTGAGAGGTGACGGAGGCCAGCAGCTTTCCCAGCGCCAGGGGCACTATCAAGCGAAAGTAGTAGGAGCGCGGGATGTCCTGGTACTTCCGAATGCGCCACAGGTTGAAGAAGGGCCCGCTGTACAGTGTGATGCTGCATAGCTGCACCAGAGTCACGGTCATCGGAAAGGGGAACTCGTTGAGGACCATCTTGCCGATCACGTTGTTGCTGGAGGAGATCACGTACCAGAAGAGGCACATTAGCAGCACCACGGCGATGTGCCGCGACCCCGTCCGCTTGCCACCCAGCATTTTCTGTGCGGGTTCGTCGGGTTTTACCCGTGCTCTCGTGGCTTAAGTCCGGGTGCGGAAGCGGATGCCGATTCTACCGCGGATTGTGGGCAAGTGGCAAAGCCCGAGACTGGAGCTTTTGGTACTGGCCTGGTACCTGCGGTCTGCTTCTTGTCCGACGCACGGGGCTTATTGCATCGCGCCTGAATTTCTTTTAAATCGTCGTCTGTTTGTTTTCTACGTGTACTACGTGCTTTATCGATAGCTTCGATAACTTAGTGAAGGCCGGTAGCAACACAATAGTATCGCGCCGTTTTGAATTGGGAAATTATAGGTCATGTTGCAGATTTTCATAAATAAATTTTCGATTAAAGTATAGAAAAAAAATGTTGTCGGGAAATAAGACTTATTTACCAAATTTAAAAAAAAAAAAAAAAAATTGAAAACTATCGATAGTCCTCAAATTAAAGGTTACCATTTGTATATGTGTTTGGTCTTATACCTTAGATTTACACTACGAGTATATCGGGTTATCTATTAAGATAGCCATTTACCCGTTTACTTCAAATTAGCGCTTACACTTGGGAATCTACTTATAAAACGGGACTTAACTAAATATGTTATTGTCATTTTTTTTAATTTGTTCGTCGATATTATTGCCCACAATTTATGCTTAAGTCCAGAACAGGTTTATTTGTTTTTTTCGTCAACTAATGAACCAAAGATATGAAATGCAAATCTTATGTAAAAACACGGTGTGATTCTGAAGAATTGGCGCAATTTATTATTTTCTCTCGATTTTGCCTAGTAAACGTAGGGTTGCAAAAAATTATCTCTAGATTTTGAGAAAATTAATTAACAGTGGAGCAAAGACACAACCCTTAATTTGTTTCATACAAAAATTGTCAAATATACAGTTATTCAGACGGCAACCAATATGAGCAATTCATGGTTACTCTAAAATGCAAATTTTGGCGCTATACAATACTAGCGCAATTTAAATTTTTTATACATATTTTGTGTGTTTAATGTTTTACTTATTTTAACGGTGTTTTATTACTTTATTTTATTGTTTATTATATTTAGTACAAATTTCATTAAAATATATTCAGCTTTTCCCGAGATATTTCCAGTTGTACTCTTATTTCAAAAAGCTAAATTGGGTTATTATGCAGTCCTCGTCCGATATCGCCGGTCTTTTAAAAAAAATCAGGAAGGGGAAGGATCTTACTTACGGTTAAAAGTGCTTAGCGAATTATGGGCGGATCAACCTAAGACGGAAGAACTTGAAAAAAAGTCGAAGATGGCATTTTCAGCGCTGCTTAATAAGAGATTGATACAATTTTTTTTTAACTATTTATATATTTAAGGCGTTGGGGTTAACCAATCGTCATTAATTTTTTTTTAAATGTTCCTAATTGTTTCCTTTAACTAATGAACTAGGATTATCCAAAAATATTAAAAACTGTTTAATTGAGAAAATAATTAGTGAGAAAAAAAGCGCGAAAATCGAAATTTTTTTTCAAAAGCTATTTTTTGCAATTTTCATTTTTTTTTCTGATCCTAGTTCATTTTATGCACAGTATTGTCCACTTTAAGATTTTTTCGGTTTTTGTGTTTTCGATTACCCGTTTTGGCTGAATCACTTCCGTAAGCGGGACATCTTTTTGCCGAAATGTTGCAACTGAGGAACGCCCCCTCCCGCACCTTTTTGGATTTTTCAATTTTGAAATTTTTGTCGAAAATAATTATGTTTTCAAATAAAGTTACAAATTTCAGATTTTTATCTTTAACCGTTTTCTCAAAACAATTTTTTTAAAAAATGTCAATTTTTCGGCCCTACAAGGTGAGAACCTGCATAAACGACTGATTCCGGGCTTAATTTTTTTCTTTTATTTTATTGAGGTTAAAACAAAAACTAAAAAAAATAAAAATATTCAGTTGTCAATAAATTCTTTGCAAAACGCAAACAGAATCTAAAGACACAAAATAAAGCAACGGTAAATCAATTTTGATATATTATATGTAGGGGAGGGTGGCCCGATACCAACCCCCTAAATGGCAAAGGCGATAAAGGTGAGAAAAATCAATTTTTCAGTTCAGTTCAAAAATTTACTATGTAGAGGGATCAGTTTACTATACATCTAATTGATTAGTAAATGCGTAGGTGCTTTGAAGCGTTAGATATTCAGGCAAATATAAAACTGCACTTTTTGGTCGTACTCAAAAGTAGTGGCCCGAAACCGACCCCCTATTACTTAACAGAAAAATTTAATAACATAAAATAGAATTTAATGATTTTGACGTTTATTAAGAAATATGCGTGAATGACAGCTAGGACTATCAACTATCAGAAAACCTTACCCTCCGATTTTTATGCGGAGAAAAAAAACTTTAAAAATATTTAAGCTCAAGTTCAGTAAAGAAAAAAATGAATGTCACAGGCGTTGAAACAAAACAAACGGAAAAATTGCAGTGAAACAAAAGAAGTCAAATTGGCTATCTATCTCCAAAATGTCTGTGTTATAACAGCTTTTCACCGACGTTACCGACAATTCGGCTAGCATCGCCATCTCTGAGCAACATGGGGGGGGGATGGGTCGGTATGGTACGACCGGTCGGTATGGGACCACTCTCCCCTATATGAAGACGTGTCTTTGATACAATTGTTCCTCTTTTTGAACAATGCCTAGCAAACGAATTGAAAAAAAAATGGATTTATGATAATTCACTTGGTTTACATCAACTAATTTAAAACCGGCAAAGGAATTAATAAATATGTTTGATATTAAATGAAAGGTTTTAAAGGCAAAAAAGGCTGTATTTGTGTTTTTTGTGGCGAAATGAGTAATTTATTTTTATTAAGTTAAATGACATATTACTGCTCAACTTTTGAAGAGTATTAAGAAAAAAATGTAATGAAAAATATTTAGAAATAAATATAAAATAAATAAAAGTGAAAAATTGGGAGCGTACAAAAAACACGACCGTTCGCTTGAAGAGAAAAGTGAGAATCGGACTAAAATAGGACTAAGATATAAGGAAAACAACTTTATGAGATACGGTCGTTTAGAATGTATCATATATTTGGGTCAAAACGCGGTCTGGAAGGTCTAGGGGGTGGTGTCGCTTCAGATCGATTGAGATCACGTTCGATGTCCCTGGTACGCATATACCAGGAGACTCCAGGGATCATTCTTAGAGCTTTGCCCTGCAGAACTCGGATTTCGTTAAGGGGGGGGTAAGGTTTTAAAGGCCAAAAAAAGGGCCATTTTTGATCTTTTTTTGCGGCGAAATGAGTAAGTTTATTTTATTGAGCTTAATTACATGTTATTGTTTAACTTTTAAAGAGTATTAGAAAAAAAAATTATTAAAAAATATTAAGAAATAAGCCTGTGGCGGTTAATCTTCCGAAGCGCCTTAAGAAAAAGTTGTTTTGCGGTGAACATCATAGGGCGTTAACGGATCATCTTAAAAATAAAATGTGATATGCGTTGTAAAGATAATGAATTTCCCGAGGTAATCAGGAAGAGATTTTTTTAAATTTATTTTTGTCTATTTTTGGGAGCACTTGAAAGTGAAAAGTGCGATTTTAGCTTAAAAAATCGCTGTTAATTTATTTTTTAAAAATAGAAAAAAATTAAAAATTAAAAAAAACTCTTCCTGATTACCTGCGTATTTATATTGAGAATTTGTGTTAAAAATTTGAAAAGGATCGGTTCAGTAGATTTTGAGTTCTGATGTTCACCGACTTTCAAAATAACGTCTTCGGCAAAATCGATTCAAAGTATTTTTATACGTGAAAATACGTCCAAATACGGTTGTTTAAAACGCTGTAACTTCGTTAGTTTGACTTTAATTGACTCAAAATTTTTACACAATGTTCTCGACACATTGATCATTCAGAAAAAAAAAAAAAAAAAAACATAATATGTATCAATTGTCGTTATACCTTTTGATATAATGCATTTAATATTCACTAAACGCGAACAGAAATCTGTAATATGTATATGTATGTATGTATGTATGTTAGGGCTCGACTATGCTTGTGAATAAAAACAAAATTTTCGAATCTAGCAATCTGTGTAAGATCCATCAGCCTTGCTTTACAAAAGTTTCTTTCTAATATTTCAGTTTCTGTGATATCCTCGTCGACTACAATTCGTAAAAAACAAATTTGTTCGGTGGAAAGTTAAAAATATAGCCCGAATAGTGAACGACTATAAAATTATAAATTCAAATTGTCAAGCTTTCTGTTACGCAATATTTCCAAAGCAAGTTTTACAAAATTCTGACTAATACTATATTCTATATTTACTTATTTTATTAAATTTTTTTTAAAAGGCAATTCATTATAATTTTTGGCTTTCTTTAGTTTTCCATAATTTTGTAGGTTGTATACAAAGGCCTTCCAACATGAGTGAACCCGTGCCCTCCACTGAGGCAGTCGGTGTAAAAAAAGGTCAAAGCATAAGTAAAGAGCTGTGGAATGACAATGCATTTTTGAATTATTTGCGCCACTTCATTAAGCATTGCGGCGACCTGAGTTACATGCAGTTGGCCCAAGAGGCCGCCAGTTCCTGGGAAAAGATGACCGGTAAAGAAAAGGACTGTTATTCCAACATCGAAGGTACCGCGATTGCAATAACGGCCGTGGCTTCTGAGACTGCCAATAATTCGAATAGCGGCGTAAAGGCTGTGAAGTGTCACACCAGGCCACCCAAATCGTGCGCAAGGGCGAAAAAGACCTTTGCCACGCCCCGACGAAAGGCGGCCCTTGGCAAGCCGAAAAGACGTGCCGTTTGTCCCTCGAAAGATAAAGAAAAGGAGAAGAAAGAGAAGGAGGGATGTGCCACCGAAGATGCTAAACTCAAGAAGACGGGTCCGATAACCATAAACGGGTATCTGAACTTTTTACGTTCTCTCAGGAAGAACGGTGGCTTAAAGCTCCGGGAACTGGTTCAACAGGGCCCCGTAGCCTGGCGAGAGCTCTCGGAAGAGGAGAAGGATCGTTTCCGCCAGATGGTAAGCGCTTTACTACATTGCTGAATACTTACAAATTCTGATCTATTCATTTATTCAATTGATCCACGTAACATAAATAATTCTGTAATATACCTTTACAGGCCAGCGAGGTCACCGCATCTGCATGCAACGTAAGTTCTTCCTAAGGCGTCAAATTCCATCCGAGTCCCGCCATTCGTACTATTTTATGCGATTTTTGTTACTTCTGTAAATTGTGTATCTATCTAAATTTAATATCCGTCAGTTTTACAAAATTTATATTAAGAGTATACGACAATTAAAATATTTGACCAGAAAAAGCAAGAAAAAGTGTTTTTACTGGATCCTTGAAAAAGTATTTTTATAGTTTAACCATATTTTCGTTTGGCTTCCTAAAATCAAATTTCTGCTTCTTTATTATTCGTGTGTTAATGTAACTTTATATTCGTAACAACGTTTTATACAATGGAGCATACTTTTTCTAGAATAAAAAAAAATTTGAGAAATCTTATATAAAGAAGCCACGCTTTCGGCTTGCGTGCAGTTCAACTCGGTTCATTTGTACACAACATACACATTGGGCATAACACACACTTCGCACAACACACTTCACATATAGCAATTCGATCAAAGTTGCAGCTCCAAAGATCGCAAATAAATACACATTTGTGGTGGCATATTTATATACCCTTAGAAATGAAACATCAAGCAAAAGAGTTCCGTTAAGATTGTCTTAAGACGTTATTTCGATTTTTCGTTGGTTTCAAAGACTTTGTTTGTTGTTCAAACTATTCTTCTACCGCTTATAATTTTATTTGCAACCAATTTAATTGCTATCTGTGTGCGTGATGGGAGTAGACCGATGTCCGGATAGAAGAGCCAAAAGGGGCGTAGACTTGGTCTGTCCGGTATGCAAAGCTGAGGTTTACCTAGTCGAGGTTTGCATAAGATCATGAGTAGCTACATCTTATGCATTCGGCCTATAATTTGTAGGATAAAAATGTTTTACCCTTACTGTAGGGTTCTCCACGGGGTATATTGGGTACTTGTTTCATATCTCAGATTTGGGACCTCACAAACACTTGGCTGTAGTCACATAAAAAACTTATGTATAAAAATAGCACAAATCCTTTTCTGGCTAGAGAGAGAGTGGGAGAAAGTGAAGGTCAAAGACTCTCGTCAAAACATTTGTAACGGACGACTAGGAACCAGATTATGAGTTTGAAAATTTCTACCCGCTAGAGAGAGAGAGGTAGGGGTAAGGAGAAAGGCTATTTTCAAACATATGAAGCGGGTGGCTAAGAAGCAAGTAATTCGTTTTAAAACTCAGCGACTAGTTTCCTCAAACCAAATGATTAGTTTCATAACTCTTTTCTTTGCTCTAAATAATTTTATTTAACGCTTTAAACTAGTTTTAAAATTCTTTTCAGTACTCCCAATAATTATAAAACTTGTATTAACAACTAAACATAATCATTCAAATTATTATATATTTTTATAACACCCAAAATTTGTTAAAATTAAAACTTTCGGTTTCTCAGTATAACGAACAAAAAATCCAATTTGTAGTACTAACAGCGGCAGGCGATTTTAAAATTTTTCTTAATGTGGGCAGGATTTGCTGTCTGTTATTTTTATGTTATGATATTTTTCAAATGGTTTTTTTAAAGATTCACAACCCGCTAACCTGCAATTCTACATGATTTTAAAGTTTATTTTACATTTTTTCCGCCAGAGGGCGAAAGTAAGAGGTAGAGCTTAGGCGACCCGCCAAGACGCCAAAGCGACATCTGCCGGCTGACTGCTTTTTTAAGCGCCGTTCGCACTGCTTAGCTCGCAAAGCGACAACTATTGAGAATTTTGCGTGGGTCGCGTCTTGGCTTTCGTCTTAGGTTTTAGCTTTGGATACTGGTTGGGTTTTCTAAGGTCATGTTCACTAGTTCAAACTAAGAAATTTTTTGATACAAAAGGTTCAAGTTACTCCAAAGAATTGATTAGGAAATGTGTGTCTTAACTAAACTCTACTTCTACACATTCCCTACAAATAATAGGCCGAATGCTTAAGATGTAGCTACCGTTCGCTTCAAGCTGCGGCTATATTAATTTAACATGATCTGCTAGTACTGGCCGTACAACCATTAAATTAATAGTACTAAATCGCTACAAGATTCCACAGCCAATACCTATCAGTATATAACTATCCTGACTTGTTTCAACCCACCCACGCACATGCTCATAAATTATTATATATTTCAAAAACATTCGACGCACCCCATCCAAATTAGGATAAGGCACGGCCTCATATTAATGTAGGAGCTAGATGTTAAATTAGTGCCCGTATAATGTGGGCCGAGACTACACCGTCGTTTGTTCACCATATTAACGTGTATCATTTTATTTAAATTTAAAAAAAAATCAATATAAATGGCTTCCGTTGTGTGTGATGTTTGCTACGAAAAATTGCTCTTTCGGGCTTTGAGCTTCATTACGATGAATGCTCAAAATTAAATAAATCTAACAAAATTACGTGTGATCTATGTTGTTCAAACTTAGATATGAGCAAGTTTAGTGCTCATTACGAGAAATGTGTCGGACCCAAAAATGCGTGTAAAGTGTTGATGGATACGCAACGAAAAGTTCTAAAACTGCAATCACCAATAATTGAGGTTTTTGAGGAAAATTATAACCTCCCCTCCACGTCGGCTGCAACCACCAAGCGTCAAAGGATTGACATACATAATCTGAATACCCTGAAGCAACAATCTCAAAAATTATATGAGGATAATGACAACTTGCCCTCCACGTCGGTTACAGCATCCAAACGTCAAAGGATTGATCATAATAGGATGCAAGGGCATAAAACCGTTAAAAGTAAGTCTCAACATATTACAGTTATATGTGACTTGTGTGGTGACTCATAAACTGAGTCAGGAAGGATTAGGCACATAAGATCAGAAAAACATAAGAATGCGATTGCAACGGATACTGGAAATGTTGCTATAATTAATTTATCTTCTGAATCTCAATTTCCAATAAAGTCATATCGAATTAGGGACCTTATACCAACGATGTAATTGATTTAAAAAAATTCTATAATAAATATCGCCTAAATATTTTAAAATTTATTACTCGTTGGATGACTGAATATAAATCCATTAAATTTAACTTGCAAGTTTATGGATTATATATAAAATAAAATAAAACTGATGAAGCATTTTGGTACAGCGTACAGACCAGTGTATGATGAGGATGACATAGGATACCTATCCAATGCTAGCAGTGAGTTTCAAGAAAGAGACTCAGGATGGGCGATCAAATCATTTACATATTATATTTTGATCTGGTGATTGTTAAATTGGAACATATTCCTGTAAGAGGCTTTATTCCGGCACCCCCAACAATTAAAGCTAAAAACGCTTTAATAAATGTTAAAAACCACGAAGATTATTGTTTTAAGTGGTGTTTGTTAAGTGGTATCGCATATAAAAAACATGCGACTGAAATTTTTACAACACCCAGACAACGCAGAGCTGCTAGGGAACAATTACAGTTCGCTCATACATATTCGTCTGTGAATATATCATCTCAAATAATAATCTATAGAGATGTAACAATGCATTTCACTGAAATAGATTTTCCAATCACCAAAAAGGGGATCAAAAAATTTGAACAATTAAATCCTGACTTTAGCATCAACGTGTACGAAGTTGATCCTACAGGAAAGCAAATTGTTGGACCAGTCGTCAGAACTAATTTAAGATCAAGACAAGCCATCTAAATTTATTAACCTTAGCCAATAGACCATCCATGCATTATGCATACATAACGTGTATGAAATCATTATGCTACTTGCAGCATTTAAAATCAAGGTCGGCTACATATTTTGGTGAAAACTGTTTACAGTTTATAACAACGACAAGCCCCACGCATGATGCAGTGGAATGTGGTATGGTGGCAGCAGAATATCCCAAGCCAGACACCACCACAAAGTTCAAGACTTTTTATAAAAAATTATCTCCTCCGGTGGTAATATATGCAGATATTGAAGCTGTCTTGCAAAATTATGATCATACCATAAATTCGCCAACAACTTCGTCTACAACCAAAGCACAAAAACATACCGCATGTGCGGTGTCATTTTGTGTGGTACACAAATTTCATCCAAACCAGAACAAACCGCAACAAATGAAGCCGAGACCCCGAAAAGGGGCAGGGACTCTGTGAGCTGGCCAAAGGTAAACGCCACCCAAAAAATCGAAGTGCTCTCCTATACCGCTTGAAGCAGTAAGTGAGATTGGCCGCATCCTGGATGAGCTCTTGACCATGGTCAACGCCAAAAAGCCAGTAAGGCATTTAAACCAGGGGATGAAAAAATCCATGGCCCGAATGCGCGAGCTGCAAGAGTCGGTTAGCTCCTACTTGCAGAGTTCCCCGAAGGATGCTGAGCATCACAGCTGCTGCAAGAAAACTGTGGAAGGACGCAGCCCGCCGCGACGGGTATCGAATGGTGTGCAAACATCACCGCTGCCTCTTCCTGAAGATGACAGGGCCACCAAACCTGGCAAGCCAAGTGCTGAACCAGGCAATGGCCAAAAGGGCGAGGCAAAAAAACCACCGTCAGCAGGTGCCAAAGAAGGTGACTGGAAGAAAGTGGAGTCACGAGCACGGCAGCCACCCAGGCGCAAAAGCCGGCCAGATGCAATCCTGGTGAAATGCAATGACAAAGCTGCATATGCTGACGTCCTAAAGGCGGTACAGAGCGAAAGCTCGCTGCAGTCGTACAAGCAAAGTGTAACGGCTATTAGGCGCACTGCGGCAGGCGAAATCTTGCTACGGATGAACAAAGCTGCGGATGAAAACACCCCAGGCCTCCAAAAGGCAGTCCAAAATGCTCTTGGAGAAAAGGCTGAGGTTCAGTCAGTTTCAGACAAGGTGGTAGTTGAGATCTGCAACATCGCCGAGTGGACCACAGCTGATGAAGTTTTAGAGGCGGTGTTCGCGCAATTGGATTGCGATCTGAACGCAGATGCAGCGCCCAAACTAAGAAAGGGCTACAGCGGTACCCAAATTGCTTCGATGACGCTCCAAAAAAAGTGTAGCAGACGAACTCCTTGGTCGACCCCTACTCACCAAAGCAGGAAGGTGTCTGGCACCAGAGTAGTGAAGGCGGAGCAGCCATCTGGAGCTCTAGTCAACCACCAGCACAGCTCACCCATAGGAAAGCATCCCATTGCTTCGCAAGAGCCCGGTATAGGAACACCTATATATATAGTTGCTACATACCCCCGAGAATCCCGTTGCCAGACTTCCAAATAATAATCGAG